GTGTTACCGATGTGTGACTTCAGCTACTCTCTGTACTGTGTTACCGATGTGTAAATTCAGCTACTCTTGTGCTGTGTTACCGATATGTAAATTCAGTTACTCTCTGTACTGTGTTACCGATATGTAAATTCAGCTACTCTTGTGCTGTGTTACCGATATGTAAATTCAGTTACTCTCTGTACTGTGTTGTCGATGTGTAAATTCAGCTACTCTCTGTACTGTTTTGTCGATGTGTAAATTCAGCTACTCTCTGTACTGTTTTGTCGATGTGTAAATTCAGGTACTCTCTGTGCTGTGTTACCAATGTGTGATTTCATCTACTCTCTGTGCTGTGTTACCGATGTGTAGATTCAGCTACTCTCTATGCTGTGTTAGCGATGCGTGATTTCAGATACTCTCTGTGATGTGTTAGCGATGTGTGATTTCAGCTACTCTCTGTGCTGTGTTAGCGATGTGTGATTTCAGCTACTCTCTGTGTTGTGTTAGCGATGTGTGATTTCAGCTACTCTCTGTGCTGTGTTACCGATGTGTAGATTCAGCTACTCTCTATGCTGTGTTAGCGATGCGTGATTTCAGATACTCTCTGTGCTATGTTAGCGTTGTGTGATTGCAGCAACTCTCTGTGATGTGTTAGCGATGTGTGATTTCAGCTACTCTCTGTGCTGTGTTAGCGATGTGTGATTTCAGCTACTTTCTGTGCTGTGTTAGCGATGTGTGATTTCAGCTACTCTCTGTGCTGTGTTAGCGATGGGTGATTTCAGCTACTTTCTGTGCTGTGTTAGCGATGTGTGATTTCAGCTACTCTCTGTGCTGTGTTAGCGATGGGTGATTTCAGCTAATCTCTGTGCTGTGTTAGCGATGTGTGATTTCAGCTATTCTCTATGGTGTATTAGCGATATGTGGTTTCAGCTACTCTCTGTGCTGTGTTAGCGATGTGTGATTTCAGCTACTCTCTGTGGTTTGTTAGCGATGTGTAGATTCAGCTACTCTCTGTGCTGTGTTAGCGAAGTGTGATTTCAGCCACTCTCTGTACTGTGTTACCGAAGTGTAAATTCAGCTACTCTCTCTACTGTGTTACCGATGTGTGACTTCAGCTACTCTCTGTGCTGTGTTACCGATATGTAAATTCAGTTACTCTCTGTACTGTGTTACCGATATGTAAATTCAGCTACTCTCTGTACTGTTACCGATGTGTAAATTCAGTTACTCTCTGTACTGTGTTGTCGATGTATAAATTCAGCTACTCTCTTTACTGTTTTGTCGGTATGTAAATTCAGCTACTCTCTGTACTGTGTTGTCGATGTGTAAATTCAGCTACTCTCTGTGCTGTGTTACCGATGTGTAGATTCAGCTACTCTCTATGCTGTGTTAGCGATGTGTGATTTCAGATACTCTCTGTGCTGTGTTAGCGTTGTGTGATTGCAGCTACTCTCTGTGCTGTGTTAGCGATGTGTGATTTCAGCTACTCTCTGTGCTGTGTTATCGATGTGATTTTGTAGGCGTATATCAAGTTACATAATGTTAATTATTGCCTATTTGTGTAATTACATCTCTGTTACTGACTTTAAACATTTTTTGGTGGTGGCACTATTTTGAAGGTAGATAATGTTTACGTGACACATTGCAGGTGAATACGTACATTTTTTCATACATAAACATTGATTGTTGAACTATGCCACTTATGTACTCTTTACTCAAAGTAGGAGTGTCACACGAATTCCGTTATAGCATTTCAGAACAAGCAACGGTAGAAGTGTTAGACGGAGGAAGAAAATAGAGGGATAGAGTGCTAGAAGAGGTAGGTGTTATCACAGATCTTTATAAAAGTTATACATTCATATTATAGGTCAACTATTTAAAACACAATTATAAAGTTTATTGATCACAAACTTGCATCATTATCTGTATAACCTATGATGAAATACACTTATGTTAGAAAATGAAAATAAAAAGGATTTGAAGGATATCGATGTTTCCTTTTGAGGTCGCAAAGTCCGTTTTATATAAGTTGGATTAGATGTCGGAAAGTAACCTTAAACTAAACTTATAACAAAACTGTTAATCTATAAATATAACATTTTGACTATATAGGTGAAAATATTACGTCACATTCATCCGCCTGGTTTGTATTTTGGGTGGTGACAAGGCAGGTCATACACCTGCTTTATCGCGTAGCGCTCTTATCAATAGGTAACAGCGGTATTACGATATTACACCGTGGCAGTATTGATTAGAATGTAAAGTCAGCGTTGGGTATATTCATACCCTAACTGTGTTTCCGATGATAATGTGCTATCTCATGCAGGGGCGTAGCTTCCATAGGAAGCTAAAAGCCCGGGCTTACACATAAAAAAAAATCCGTGCATAGAGTATGTCGGACAAAATTACAAAAGCAAGGTTGAAAATAAATATCAGGGGTTGAAGTTTGTTGTTAAATAATTAAAAAAAACACTGTCTCAGAAAACGATTCAAAACATCTTTGAAAGCATGAAATTCATGACCCCTCGCCTGGGCTTACACATTTCTGCTGGGCTTGGCTACGCCCTGTCATGTACACAATTGTATGAAAGAATGACCAAATAAATAAAAGTTAATTAATTTATCTAAAGTTTAGATGTAAATTGTTAAAATATATTTATCATTACCACTCGACATAAACATATTTTCTCATTAATCACCAATCGGTATATGTAAATAAATAAATGATCACTCGACATCAATGATGTAAACATACAATACTATAAATATCAGCACTCGGCATAAAAAGGCATATTTATGAATTACTATGTCACTCGAACTAACTTATATATACAGATACATAAGTATGAAACACAACTCAGTATATGTAATTAAATAGATATATCGGAAAAAATACTAAATAAATAGATATTTTAAATATAAAGTTATTTTACAACAAGTTATGAATGAATACTCGACATAAATGATGTCAACAGATATATTTATAACTATACCTCGACATATGTACGGATACCATGAATTACCGCTTGATATGTATAAACAGACTTCTACCAATCGACATGATTAATGTATAAAAATACTTACTCGTAATAATAATGTCTACTCCATGTAAGTATACAGACATATTCATAAATTCATCAATCGATTTATGTAAATATATATGATAATGAATTAACAGTGCATGCACACATATACTTATATATCATTTTCTCTGACACTTTACAATTATATATATATATATATATATATTCAGATATGTTCCAGAATTATCACTATACATATATATTTAAGAATTACCACTATACATATATACAGATATATTTAAGAATTACCACTATACATATATACAGATATATTTAAGAAGTACCACTATACATATATACAGATATATTTAAGAATTACCACCATACATATATACAGATATATTTAAGAATTTGGTAACAGACAATCAGATCGGATGACATTTGCAATTTACACGTTTATTTCTGCAGTATATGCAACGTGACATCACAAACATACATCGTTTTGACATGCATTGCTTTGAGATTTTTAGTGATCAATAAGACACATTTCATTGGAATCTTGATGTATACATTACATTATACAAATCTGCTAACTTCAATGGAACGATACTTTGAGGCCAATATATCAAAAATATCCTACTTCCTGAGGGTGGCTTTTGATACACGATGTACCGACTCATCAAGGTTCTACGGAAGCGTATTCCGGCCACGTTGTGTTTTATTTTAACTCGAAATTTTGAGTTAGTAACTCGAAATTTAGAGATAACAACTAGAAATTTCGAGTGAATAATCCGAAATTTTGAGTTAGTAAGTCGAACCCGATATTACGAGATAACTCGAAATTTCGACTTACTCAAAATATCGGATTACTAACTCGAAATTTCTACTTAATAACCCAAAAATTTAGAGCTGCTATCTCTAGCTCGAAATTTCAAGTTACTATCTCGAAATTTCGAGTGAAAATAAAACACAACGTGGCCGGAATACACTTCCGTAAGGTTCAACTCAATTCAATTTTATTTAATTCACTCATTACCTTAAATCCTACGATTTATCAGTACAGTGTGCCTATATTTACAGTGCAGGTACAAACACAAGAACAAACAAAAGAAGAACACAGCTTACAAAACACACAGACTACACAGGTGAACACGTAACACATGTAGAAGTTTTAGTGTAGTGTAGGTCAGAATTAGGAGATTGAATCTGGCCAAGATAGCGGTGACGGACGGACATAACGCAAAATTATAGCCTCCCCCTCTCTTCTCGGCGGGGCAATACTAACTATCTGTCACTATTTCTCTATTCTCATGATTTTGTGAAAATCCTTCGATGCAATGAAACAATGACTTGGTTGCTTTTGTGCTACAACATAATTGTAGAGAGTTTCCAGATTAGTCTCACAGACTCGCCATCATTCCGAAGGCCGACTGTAACTACATATAACAAAACACCTGTTGATGAAACAGCGCTTGATAAATGTATACAGCAATGTTTGATTTTGAATTGATGCCACGACATAAGAAAAGAAATACTTGGCAGAATAACCACCAAGAGACATAAATAAACAGGTGTATTTCTTTATTCCTTCTTTCACTATGTTTTCAGACTATATATGAATGGCGCTATGACACACGTATGCAAACATCTTAATTAATTAATTACGGGTTCATATATTAAATAATTGTCAGTTGGTATTTTTCAGTTAAGAGTTGCATGTCGTATGATTTCCCCCCTGACATGTCAATTCCTGCGTGGTATTGAAGTCTGGGTGGTTAAAAGCACGTACACATCTGTCGGACGGGTTATCAGAAAGGTCGTAGTTGTTTATTAACGTGCTACGGCGAACCGTAATTACGATTCCAGCTGTCAGATACAGATCTCATTTTGGTAATAGTCCTTTAACAAATGATGGTCAGCAATTTTAGATAAATATCAAATATAAAGGCCGAGGTCAGTTGAAGGAATTGAAAATTTACATTTCTTTATCATAGAAAGATGTCGGAAACTACACAGAACGATGGGCCGCTTACATCTGAGGAGGCGAAACTTCTTCAAGCCAGCTGGGAGATCCTAGCCGAGGACAAGAAAACCAACGGCGTGAAACTTTTCATCAAGTGAGTACATAAAGATATGTATGTGAGCGGGTTTCGATCAATGTGGTATGTAATCCGCTTTCAGTAAACCCGCCCATCTATCTATAACATACTTGTATTGAGTGTCAGGTAATAGAGGTGTCTTGGCTTTGAATGAATGTGTATTGTGTATCTGTCAGTAAAATGTACACTACCTTTCAGAATAACATTAACACCATATCGTATTAAGGATATTGTAACTAATCAATCGGTGCACTTTTGTGAATACTGTCTACCTATCTACAATCAAATAGGGGGAAGTCGTAGTCCAAAACGAAGAAATAAAGAAATATGATGGTAAACAGTATACTATATACATTAAAAATGGATTGTTTTCTCTGGATATCAGAAAAGTTAAAAAAAGGCGATTAAATGATTAAAAAGAAATAAATACGGACTGAAACAAATTATCTCCAGAAAGACTTTGATGTAACTTCAAAATTTACACAAGAAAAGTAAAATAACATTTATAAGTCAATATACTGAGACAGCGAAAATATGTCAGTTAGGAAACCTGGATACTGATCGGCGTGTTCGTGAGAAAGGAAGTAACTGATAGTTCAAAAACAATTTTAATTTTCATTTGAACAAATCTTACATGTTATTAATCATTTTTTGAGAGGTAAACAATTTTTAAGATGGTGTAATAAACAACATTTTATCAACGACTTTTAAATGCACGTGAAACCGACAAGCAGTGTAGAAAGATATAATGATACATTAATTTACTGAAGTTACGTTTAATGTGTTTGTATATTCTTATTGCTTTATCAGTTGAAACTAAATCATAATTGAGCATTCCAAAAATTGGCAAAAAAAGCAAAACTGCCCCTCCTAAACAAAGAAAGAAAAAACACGCACAAACACATACCAAATAAAAATCAATCAATTGAAGTTGACGTAGAAAAAGAAAGTATATGAACTTGGGTAAAGTCTGAATACCATGAGGCCCTGAACACAATCTCTTAGGTCACGTGCTGATTGATATTACTATTTGATTTCAGACTTTTCAGCAGATATCCTGAGAGCAAGGAAATGTTCAAGATGTTTCATAATGTACCTCTGGAAGATTTGGATTACAATGGGTAGGCATTATTCATCAAGTTAGCTCATTTACTCACATCGTCGCAGTAGTTAGTTCAATAACTCACGTCGTCTTAGTAGTAAACTAATCGACTCAAAGTGTCTCAGTAGTTAGCTCATTAACTCACATCGTATTTAGCTCGTTAACTCATGGTGTCTCAGTAGTTAGCTCATTAACTCACATCGTATTTAATTCGTTAACCCATGGGGTATCAGTAGTTAGCTCATTAACTCACGTTGTCTTAATATTAAACTTATCGACTCAAAGTGTCTCAGTAGTTAGCTCATTAACTCACATCGTATTTAGCTCGTTAACTCATGGTGTCTCAGTAGTTAGCTCATTAACTCACATCGTATTTAATTCGTTAACCCATGGGGTATCAGTAGTTAGCTCATTAACTCACGTCGTCTTAGTATTAAACTAATCGACTCAAAGTGTCTCAGTAGTTAGCTCATTAACTCACATCGTATTTAGCTCGTTAACTCAAATTGTCTCAGTAGTTAGCTCATTAACTCACATCGTATTTAATTAGTTAACTCAAAGTGTCTCAGTTGTTAGCTCATTAACTCCTTGCGGATTAGCGACCTTAAGCAAAGTCGTTTATTATTATTATGGTTATTTCTTGGGTAAAGCCGTTTACTCTCGATTTATTTGTACTGTTGTACTGAATTAGCTGCAGTCAATGTGATAATTAATATTGTATTGGTTAATTATGTTATACTGACGTCATTAGTTCTTAATGAACCCAGAAAGGGTTACTATCATGGATTATACTTTCCTCATATACATTGGCGACTCAAGTGTTGAATAAAAGATATGTTTTTGAAACTTGACGAAACGTCCCTCTGAATCATTTCGGTTATAATGTTTTAAATTTGTAATTGTTTCTAGCGAAACAACCAAAGCAAACCGTCGGATGGTGGCCCACGGTATGAGTGTAATGTACGCCCTAGAGTCTTACGTCGACAGTCTCGATGATTCGGACTGTCTTGTAGAACTGGTGAGGAAAACGGCACGCTTCCATTTGGATAGAAATATTGGGGCGAAACAGTTCATGGTAAGTTGACTTGTTCTATGATTTGGTTTGAAATCTTCTGAACTGCAGGATTTCATTTCCTCCACCCATGCGGTTTTATAAATATTTTAAATCATCTAGCGTGGTCAGTGACTCAAAACTGCTGCCTATGACCTTGTGACCTTTATCTCCAACACAATACTGGTGTCTGTGACCTTGTGACCTTCATCTCCAACACAAAAATGCTGTCCGTGACCTTGTGACCTTCATCTCCAACACAAAGCTGCTGCCCATGGCCTTGTGACCTTCATCTCCAACACAAAACTGCTGTCCATGACCTTATGATCTTCATCTCCGACACAAAAGCTTGGCCAATGCTCATACCGTACACGTTTCTGTTCAACTGTAATGAAAGTCCTCGTTATTATAATACATATTTGAGTGACCTAGAATTACCGCTTTTAGTACTGATTTTTCGCCCATGTGTAAAATCACGCTGCGCTAAATGGCAGACTCCGGTGAACAGCGGTATTTCAGGGGTATCCATTCTAAATTTCAGCTTCTGTAATAGAACAAACAAACCAGTATACTGTTACGTAAACCTCGGTCAGAAGTTATTGCTGGTGTACGTCTGAAGATGGCAGATCACCTAGGTCTTTAATAAATATAAAAAATTTGGTGGTAACATTCGCCTTTGAGCTAGTCGTCCGGGGTTTGATTACCGGAATAGACATAAAAAGGTATGGGTCATATTCCCGACCACATGGGCTTTCCCCGGATACTCCGGTTTCCTTCCACAGTAAAACCCCTTGCGCGTCTTCATCCGGGAAAACAAGATTGAATAATAATTTTTTGGAAAAACTTTTTTTGCAATTGTTGTTAAATAGATAAAGGCTTATTTTTAAAGTACGAAATGACGTTAGCCACATCATTATAGGAAGAGGAGATTACGCCGAAATGGCAGCAATATAAATCACACACTAAACTCGCTTTGGCAGGTTCTCGTAGCTAAAGTGGAAGGTAGTGTTTTCGAGAAAAGAGCAAATCTAAAAAGTATACATATATGCCAATAGCTCACCATTAGCAAAACCAATACTGAAACAATTAGTATCTCGTAATCTTTACAGATACTGTTTATTTTGTTAATAAATTATCTAACTATTAACTAATGAAAAGGTGCTATCATTTTGATATCACAATGATTGACACAAATGTCAAAAAAAGGAGAATTAATACAAACGGTCTCTTAGTATCGTGTTCGTTCATCCAAATTTCACCGGGCATGGGGTACAGATAAAATCAACAAGGTTAAGTAGAAGTGGTAAAGAATAGAAGAATAATGTCTCATTTTGACAAAAACACTCACAAAAAAGATGAAATAGTTACTTTTTATCTTGTATATTTATGCGCTTCATTTCTAAGCTGTATACAATGTATCAGTGAATATGATAAATTGTTTAACCATAGATAAATACTATATCCTAAGTAGAAGTCAAATAAATATCACAAATAATACAAGTAAGGGATAAATACTGTATACACTTTCTATATATATATAACCTTAGCGATAATCAAATGCATTTACTTTCTATATCTATTTATAAATGAGTGGGATGATATCATCAATACGGGCTATTTTTGGTCAAACTTTCAAGACAATCTGTCGCTTTAACGCAAAACACATACCAAACACTGAGTAATGATTACGTCACAAATACGTGTATACGAAAAATCTCGATATATCTGGAATGTTAGTCTGTTAGATGTTTGCAGCCTAGGGCTATGGAGATATGTAATACTACATCTAAAGATTATCACTTCATATAAATTAAAAGGGGAAACATATTAATTAATTTTGACAGTGTTATTTCAGAAGCTTTTTGTTTCTGCGGAGATTTTTTTTCTGTACGAGAAATAAATAGAAGAGCCGGTTATGTATATGATTTTAAGGTACTCGTTACATCTGTATTAAAAAGACGTTTTAGTGAAGCTGTTATTTTGTATAACCATAATCCTTGATGCTGTAATCCTTTATGAATAATTAATTCATGGCGAAGTGATGATAAACCCAAATCAGACAGATAAATAATGGATTATAGCGCAAAAGGATTTGGTGAACAAGGTTTATCCACGACAAAAAAGAGCCAATGAAATGTATAAATGTTTGAAAAACCACGAACATTAAGCCCCGCGAAAACATGTGATTTTACCAGATTTTTCCTTTTGCAGTGGTTGATACCGGTAATACATGAACTCATTGACGACGTCACGGAGGGGAGGGACATTGCAGACATCGACGCCATCAAGAAAGCATGGGAGAAAATCCTGACAGTAGTAGCAGAACTGGTAGCGTCAGAGGCATCGGATCCACGAGTATAATACAATATTGTAAATAAAATCAGCATACTGATATTATTTAGTTGATAGTAGCAGCATTTGTTTATATAAAGTACGCCATTTCGGTGTCCATGGTTAAGACTATCAGTTTGATGTTCATCGTTTTATGAGAATCTACATGTAGACATTGTTTGGTTAATATCACCAATTAGCGACGGCTACTCTTTTGATGTCTATGATTACCATCAACACCAGTAAATTTATGCTTAGAGTAATCATTTATCAATGGGATCGGTAATGTGATGATGATATTTTAATGAATATCCACTAATGGTAATTACACAGCTTAAACGAATGTTATCAGGAATATATTTTAAAGTCTTAGTTTAAATTTTGATTTTTGAAAACATTGGTGATACAATTCCCGGACACTAAATATAATCGAATTCAGGGAAATTTCGATTTTGATATTACCTCTTTGTGAAAAAATAGAATCTTTATGGAAATCTGACCTCGCTGCAATATTTACCTCAGATTGAATAGCTTTTGGGATAATGTCTATGAAATGTTGAAAGGAAAGCAGTTAGATTCAAATGTTAGAGTAAATCGCGAGTTTATTGTCTTGACAAACTGTAAAGTTGGTAAAAATGGCGGGATTTCGTGGGCATCAATAAATAGCACGAATCTAGGTATCCTGCAAGCATTTAACAGAAAAACAAAATATAAGAAGATTTATATTAAATGGGAACAAGCCCAAATCCGGACAACCCTGAATTATTAGATTCAAGAAATCAAACAAGCAGAGAGGGCATTTTTTAAAAATATATTATGATATATGTTAATTACTTACATTGTGTAGTCATCAGCAGGGATAGTAATCCATTTATCATACATGATATATACTTATATATGTACATATGTATCTGCAACATGGGGTAAAGTTCGACGTTAGATTTTGCGATGGAAATTCCTAGATACGTTTAACATACTAAACCTAGTACAATATGATGATAATTTTAACACGGGTATCTACTTCTATTGTACCGAATGCCATGACAACGTAATATGTTTGTTGACGCTTTAAATCACCAAAATTGAAATATAAATAAGATACAACATGCTGTCTTTCTGAGACGCCGTATTATTGACGGAGTTATGCCCCTTACAAGTGTTTATTCTTGTTGGTATATTCAGTGCTTTTAGAACATATATATTTTCATATGTTGATTTTTAAAAATCGACCGAATTATAAATAAAAAAATGTTTCACACATTTTCTTTATCTTATTTTTTAAAACTATCGCTTTGTTTACACACGTACCTCAATAAATTTAGACACGTTGATTGTGACGTCATCGCGTCAACAGAACTGTAGGGGAAACCCTTCACATGATCACATTGAATTAATTTGTTAATAAGGTGAATTTAAAGCATTTTTTTCCATAAACATTACCACGAGACTATAACAAGTGATACCAGTTCATTCTAAGTATTCTGTATTTCCAACACGTGTCTAATACAGATAGTATGTAGTATGTAGAAGGACAATCATACTACTCAATCGAAAATCGATCATATCTCACAAAAAAAAAAAAAAAATAAAAATAAAAAAAAAAAAAAAAAAAATAAATAGATAAGTAAAATGAAATAAAGAAATAGATGGAAATTCAATCAACATATCCGATTTTGATTCGTGGTCCTTTAGATAAATTACAAAATGTTTCATTTGTTTTCTTTCTCAAAGAGGTGTATCGTTATAGTAAACTGACTTGTGATTACTATGGTTATCGACTCAAGAAATGCTAAGATATCACTAATTCCAGGCGAAAACTACAACTGCATCTAAAATTTTGATTTCTGAGCACCTGTCATGGTAATAAATTACGAACGGGTTCACAACACGACCACGTGTAGACACCAAGGAAATTCCACTTGATGAAAAGCTTGTTGCAAAAACATTATTTTGGAAAGTATGGAGCTCTACATAGTCCACTTCAATATGACTAGTCCAATTTTAGTAAGCATTTATTTTTCATCCAAAATATAATTAATGGTAACAAATGGCCTCGTCGAGACACTGTTTACTGCTTCCTGATTGAAATTACAAAGCTGAGGTTCTAAAGTTCTTGAGAATAAAGGATCTCCGAATCAGAAATAAGCAATAAATACAATATATGCCGAAAACATGTCATTTATGCGACATCAAATTATTGCGACTGAGGCGGTAGAACGACAATGTCGGTATCTTAGCGACATATTCTGATGTCTTTTCCATCTATAACCCTGTTTTATTCGAAGCATTTTGTCGGTCCTGCCTAACTTGACATAAAAACATTCGAACTCCCTTAAATCGAATACTCAATTATCTCGAAGTTTTCCCTCGGCCCAGCCGAGTTCCCGTTAACGAGGTTCGACTACACTGGCTAATTGCGCTCCAATATTGAAGCTGTATGATGTAATAATTATCTGTCTCTACCGTTCCTTACTCTCTTTTATAATGAATTTCAAAACGTTACAGGATTCCATATACTAAACATTTTATTGCTGGTTCATTTAGTTGTTTACCTAACCTTTAATCAAAGTCTTCACTATCATTATAAGTTTTATCGTAGCAGGGTTACAGCATTATTGTACTTCAGTAATTTTACTTTAGTAATGTAAAGAACAATTTGTGTTTTCAAAGCTCTCCAAACAGTTTTTGATCAACTTTTAAAATCCTCTTCCCAAGGAACTTTTTATTTTCCCACTCTGCACTTTCGAATACCCCATTCCAAACTGAACGCCTTCGTTATCTTGTTATGAGAGCTTTTGTTTCAAAAACTATTTCGTGAAAAACAAATCCAAATCTAAGACGACATATACAGAAGAAACGATCGTAGATGGGATCAAGTTTCTTGTTGACAATATATTCGTCGAGTTTGATGGTGGCATCTTTCAACAGACTATTGGCATAACTATTAGAACAAAAAACAAAAAACTCAAATTCCACAAAATAAGGGCAAACTAAGAAACTAAAGAAAGATTTGCATGGAAACTCCAGAAAAGGTACAAGGAAAATAAGACAGTTCGTATAGCTATGGAAAAAGTTTGTTGGAAGAGCTGACCACCAAACTCAACGAACTGTGCCCTTCTGTTGTCTTGTTTTAGTTTACATATAAGGCTGACTTTGTAATTGATATCATTTACGCATTCTCCTTTTTACATGCATGATGGAACGATACAGTTGGAGGTGGTTTGCAGATCAATCTGTGATCGTAATTGATTCTTAGATTTGACTTTAGATTCATTTTAATTGCTTTATCCATATTTAACTGTAAAATATAGGTGTTTATCAAATAGATGGTATACAAAAATACATAGGAGATATAATCTTCCAAAACAAATCATAGCAGTTTGTTAATAGTGAGGTAAAGAAAGACTGAAACCACATACAGTTTTAAATATTCACCATTTAAAAAAAATCATTTTGTGAACAAACATTTACAATGTCATTTAAGTGTTTTTGTCGGATACATATATTTCATATAGTTTATATGCGACATAAAGAGGACGCATTTGAGTTACCATTGGATATTATATATTCTTCCTGAGTTTGACAGGATATCGATATTCTGACGGGTGCGAGGCACGAGTGGAAATGTCGGTATTCTATGTCATTAATCACTAATTTGGGAACGCTACATTATTTTAGTTTTACTTGGGGTAAGCGATGATGAGGACAGAAATGTTATTTCTTTTGGCATTTGAAAAGTTATTACTTTTAAGTATCGTGTTCATAAATCAGAATTTTTATTCTTTTGGTCAGTGTCCGTTTATTTGTTTTCAATAAAATCAAATATCATGGTATTTCAGTGGGACTCAACTTTAAAAAACAATGTGGCACATGATTTCATGGAATCACGCGTAATCAACTTGTATTGAAAAATGTGCCTTTAAAAAGTTGCTCGGTTCGGTCTGCTCTATTTTTCAAACACTCCATGAACTACTAGGAACCAGTTAAACAATAAGCTGAGATCAAGTCGATATTACGTGAATAATTGACAAAATGTGCATCTTTAATAAAAAAAAACATAAAAAGGAAACAAAAAGAAAATGAACCCCTAGAAATCTTACTTTTCTCTTAAAGAAATTTATACATAATCATTAAAACATATGTACTTCCCTATTTGACTTCCGGAAACAGAAGGGGAATTTCCGACAGATTGATCTTTGCTCGCGGCTGTCTAGAATATAAACTGATATCATTCTTTAACGACCTTTTTCCGCATCATGGGAGTATTGTGTTGGCGTGGAAACTACTAACCAGGACAAAAATAAATCACGTTACTTCAATGATTGAATTATTTCAAAATGAGACATTGTTGAGTATGGAGCCCGAATATTTCAACACATCAGCGGATTGTCCGGCAACCCGACAACGTAAGTACAATCACAGTATTCCTTTGCAGCAGGTATTCATCAGGCTTAATTTGTTATCCTAATTGTTGTGTAAACAAACTTTTCCTGCGTATATTTTGCTTTTTAAGCTAGCTTTGATCTTTCTGTTATCATTCAGACAAACTGTCATCCGCTTGTTTTTTTTTTTTGCACTACCTGTCACTTTCAACCTTATATGTTATATCATCACCATCTCCATTTATTGTTTCATACACTCGTTGCTCAACTTCCATCTTAATATATTTGTAGGAAGTTAGTCACCCTTCTTTATGGTTTGTAGGCTATCTGTGACACTTCCTTTATCGTTTTGTAGGCTAACTGTCACTCCTCCTTTATCGTTTTGTAGGCTAACTGTCACACCTCTTTATTGTTTTGTAGGCTAGCTGTCATTCCTCCTTTATTGTTTTGTAGGCTAACTGTCATTCCTCCTTTATTGGTTTGTAGGCTAACTGTCATTCCTCCTTTATTGTTTAGTAGGCTAACTGTCATTCCTCCTTTATTGGTTTGTAGGCTAACTGTCGCTCCTCCTTTATTGTTTTGTAGGCTAACTGTCACTTCTCCTTTATTGTTTTGTAGGCTAGCTTTCACTACTCCTTTATCGTTTAGTAGGATAACTGTCACTCCTAATTTGTTATTTTGTAGTCCTACTGTTACTTTCCTTTTTTTTGTAACCTGACTGTTATTCTCCCCTTTGAGGTTTTGACGGATTCGTGTCGCTCCCTCCTTTCTTTATTTTGTAGGATGGCACACCCCTGTTATCATTTTTTTTCCGCTGGGTAATTGCCACCCCTCCTCTTGTTATCTTACAAATACACTTACAATCTTTTAAAATTAACATTTTATAATCGTGTCTGTCTCTATTTTTATGCTAGTGTGTAGTTATAAGCTGTTTCTGACTGTTGTCCATACAATATAAGCTGTTACAAGACAGCTACAATGGTGACATAGGATATAGACAAGTAATGGTGTAAAATTGTGTTTCTTCGGATGTCTTATAATCAATGCTTCAATCATTTCGTTATCAGTTTCTAGGGAATTACAAGTACATTTTTGGAAGGTAAATTTACGTGGGAAACATATTACAGGCCTATATTCTCTAGATTGTTTATAGTTAGACTGTTGGTAGATGATTACATCCGAGCAATGGTGTTTTATTTCCCAATTCAGATGACGGCGATAAGTGGGAATGTGATGAATGTGGTTACTACTCTAGCACGGACGCTCTCATTTGTGAAGGCTGTTTCTCAAATCGTCACCAACAGATAGACAATCAAATGGCCACACTGAACCAGACAGGTAAGTATTTGAAGTAAAAGACTTATCAAACTACACCAAAAGTCGGATCTTCCAGTTTGTACACCAAAAAATGAATATCATTGTACCATACAGTGTTGTGTCTTTAAGGACTGGTGTGAATCAAATGTTAGGAAATAAAGAATGTGTTAGGTTTGTTGTAAAGAGTAGATCATTACTGAAGCCTCTAGCTGGATGATGTAGTAGTTTAATTCAATGTTTGGCTTTACATTGCTTATTCTTTAAATTATCCAACAAATGATATTTTTAAATAAGATTACAATACCGATGTAATTAAAAGGTTTTGTACATAATTCTACAAGTAATACCTAGACTTGGACGTTCGTAATAACTCACCTCACCAAGGTTTAATGTTATTGATTGTCAATTTCCTGTTTTGTGTACCCTTATTCTGATATAAGATTTCCAATACTAGAAGCCTTTCTTTTAGTATGATTAAAAACTCAAAAAGACAGTAAGCTGATCGGTAATCAACATTTTATTAAAACACAGCATGGTTTCTCTCGCCATGAGCTTTGCATAATGGTATTTTGATGTAAAAGTTTGGACATGTTGTACAAATGGTAGTAGATACGTAGTTATCTTTTATATCTGTAGTGGATACGTAGTTATCTTTTATATCTGTAGTAGATACGTAGCTATCTGTTATATCTGTAGTAGATACGTAGCTATCTGTTATATCTGTAGTAGATACGTAGCTATCTGTTATATCTGTAGTAGATACGTAGCTATCTGTTATATCTGTAGTAGATACGTAACTATCTGTTATATCTGTAGTAGATACATAACTTTCTGTTATATCTGTAGTAGATACATAGCTATCTGTTATATCTGTAGTAGATACGTGGCTTTCTGTTATATCTGTAGTAGATGCATAGCTATCTGTTATATCTGTAGTAGATGCATAACTATCTGTTATATCTGTAGTAGATACGTAGTTATCTGTTATATCTGTAGTAGATACGTAACTATCTGTTATATCTGTAGTAGATACCTAGCTATCTGTTATATCTGTAGTAGATACGTAGCTATCTGTTATATCTGTAGTAGATACGTAACTATCTGTTATATCTGTAGTAGATACATAACTTTCTGTTATATCTGTAGTAGATACGTAGCTATCTGTTATATCTGTAGTAGATACATAGATATCTATTATTTCTGTAGTAGATACATAACTATCTGTTATATCTGTAGTAGATACGTGGCTATCTGTTATATCTGTAGTAGATGCATAGCTATCTGTTATATCTGTAGTAGATGCATAGCTATCTGTTATATCTGTAGTAGATACGTAGTTATCTATTATATATGTAGTAGATACGTAGTTATCTGTTATATCTGTAGTAGATACGTAGTTATCTGTTATATCTGTAGTAGATACGTAGCTATCTGTTATATCTGTAGTAGATACATAGCTATCAGTTATATCTGTAGTAGATGCATAGCTATCTGTTATATCTGTAGTAGATACGTGGCTATCTGTTATATATGTAGTAGATACGTAGTTATCTGTTATATCTGTAGCTATATCTGTTATATCTGTAGTAGATACGTGCTATCTGTTATATCTAGATACATAGCTATCAGTTATATCTGTAGTAGATGCATAGCTATCTGTTATATCTGTAGTAGATACGTGGCTATCTGTTATATCTGTAGTAGATGCATAGCTATCTGTTATATCTGTAGTAGATACGTAGTTATCTATTATATATGTAGTAGATACGTAGTTATCTGTTATATCTGTAGTAGATACGTAGTTATCTATTATATATGTAGTAGATACGTAGTTATATGTTATATCTGTAGTAGATACGTAGTTATCTATTATTTCTGTAGTAGATACGTAACTATCTGTTATATTTGTAGTAGATACATAGCTATCTGTAGTAAATACATAGCTTTCCCAGAGGGACGAAACAACTTTAAAACACATTTAAATTAGTTACTTTAAAATTAATTTGTTCACGAGGTTCTTTTAAAAATACCTATTTCATGAACGCTTGATTTCGAGGGAACATATGAAATAAATCACTTTTAACTAATCTTAACAGTTCCTTATTACATCCTCGAAATCATTGAAAATAAACCCCAATAAATAGAATGAATTTTGAGTAATTGGCAATTACTGTATCTGATTATAGATTTGTAAACAAGGTTTACTAACTTGTGTGTCTTTCGTAATATTTAATGTACGATTGGGCTCATATGATTCTAATCGATGATTCATTTATATATACATGATATTTGATGACCGCATTATCTGAAAGCGTTCAGAGCTCGTGACAAGGAAATTATTTAATTGATGCATCCTGTTCAGCTGCCTAGCCAAGATCCCCTACTTCATTGTCATTGTTTGTTAAAATATAAAGCTGTTGCTGTAAGCCGATGTCCATCAAATCTTTTATTATTGCCTATCATTAATAAGGTCTGTTATGATTGTAACTCACTACGTTGAAACGAACATGAATTTATCACATAAAACTCAACACTTATATATGGGTGTAGCCTTCGACGGTCATCTAGCTTTATTCTTACAACAAAATTCAATCATATTGAGCCATTCACGAAATCTTCCGACGTCAATTATTCCTCCAACTTCCGGTATTAGCGAGTCACTTCCGGAGCTCCGTGAAGGTTTTGCTACATACAGAAAAGCGAACATCGAAAATCATAAGAAAAATAAGTATATGCCAGAACAGGTTGACTGTCAAGACTTGAATGACCATGCTACACTATAATGCTATTTATTATCCCGACTGACACTTGTGTCGCACCTTACTCACGTGCGATATCGAGCAATACGCCACCGCGCACGTTCCTCAGCTCGGACACCTGTCCAAAGAACCTCGTCTACTAAGAGTACGCATGTACGGAATGGATTACATCCATTGTGTTCCGTGACTATAATACATTCATATATACTGTCATTAGATCGTGGGTGAAATTCCTGTGTTAAACATTAGATATCTTGGCAGACGCTATGAGCTGGGAAGTCTACTTTATTTTACCTAAACGCCTTTGTGAAGTTTCATTGTCACTTGTGCATTCTTCCATTGGATAAATATTATATTTTCTATACTTATAATACAGTGTATCACAGGGACGTGAGAACATGGTACATGTAACAAGCTCTCGTGTCCCTGTGCGTATAACCATATTTGTTCTCAATACGAACTATAATTTGTGTCATTGATGCCGGTATTGCGATAATCAGTTTTACAAAGGGCATTATCTATATTGCAGGTGTTGAGAACGAGACCCGACTGATACTGATAGGAAAGACCGGCACAGGTAAAAGTGCTACCGGAAACATGATACTAGGAAAGAAGGCGTTCCAGTCGGCGGTGTCATGTAGGTCAGTGACAAGGGTATGTCGGAGGGGGACCAGTCTGCGGTTCGGACGGATGCTATCGGTAGTCGACACTCCCGGACTCTTCGACACAGGTACATGTTTGACAAGGAATCGTTGATAATGAAACATCTTAAACCCGTTGATAAAATATATAGGTTTTAAGATATGCTTTCATTTTCTATGACATCTCATGAAACGAAATTTTACAAGTTTGAGACTAGTCTCATTAAATTTTATATGAAGTGAAAACAAAATTAAGATACATTTTGTCTTTTAACTTTGTTATAATGTTAAACGTTAAACAATTTGTTGCCCAAATTTTTATTCAGGACATCCATATTATGATATCACAAGCAACTTTCGACTGGCACTGCCAATGAAAAATGTCCAAGGGTATATCAAACTAGTGACGTATACCTAAAATTATAACACTGAGAAATTCAATGAGTAACAGGCCATTTCTGTGATGGTTTAGGAAAATTAATATAATCCCCAAAAGATATGTTGTAACCAATTGAGTTGCACGCAGTGTTGGTTTATTATGAAAGTCAACTTTAGTAGAGTGAAACATTCTTATACATTCCAGGTCTCGATAACCATGAAATCACCAAGGAGATTTTAAAGTGTGTGGGGATGTCCGCCCCTGGACCGCACGCTATACTTCTTGTAATTTCGATCGATAGGTTCACGAAAGAAGAGTGTGATGCCGTTCGGATGCTTCAACAAGCGTTTGGCGAGGAAATGAACAAGTATCTCATCGTGATATTCACGCGCAAGGATGAGCTAGATAGATGTTTGAAGACCAAGCACGATTTGGTTAGCGAAGCTCCACCCGACCTTACAGCCATTTTAAAAAGCTGTGACTTCCGGTTTTTAGCATTTAACAACTTTGCTATAGAGAGAGAATCAGAACAGCAGGTGCAGGGACTTTTCGATATGGTTAATGAAATAGTTTCTGCAAACAAAGGAGAATGCTACACAAGTTGTATATTTAGTGAAACGGAACGAATTATCAAAGACAGGGAGAAAGAAATAAAAAAGCAGTTTAAAGATTCTGCCAGAATTGCACTTAAAAAATGTGAAAATAGACTTGCTCAAGAATGTGAACCAAGAATAGACTCGAATCGCAAGCAACAAGAGTTATACCGCAAAGAGCTGAAAGAGCTTCATGAGTTACGAGATAGCTCAAACAAATTTCTGGAAAATGCTACAGAAAGAAAGCATGTACGCAACCATAAACCGGTAATAGATCGCCCGGCAAGGTCGAACTCACCTAATTCCAAAGACGATCTTTATGAACGGATGCTCGATTGCGAAAAACGATTGAGGAATCTTCAAACACAAGAAGGACACATTATATCATCGATGAAGATGACATTTTTAGCAAGGGAACAAGAAATCAAAAAGAAGCTGGAGAAATTGAAACTTGAGGTTCGCAACACGGTCAGAGAAGAAATCGAAAAAGAAGATCGCAGTGTTCTAAGACGAATTTGGACACAAGTTACAAGTTTTGGAAAAGGCTTAGTTGATGGATTCAAACGGATTTTCGAGTCAAAAGCAACATGAAAAACACATTGTAAATAAGCACATAGAAGAATCACATGTAACATTATACCAATATATACATAGACATACAGGTATAAATGAAATATACGTTACAGACGTGTTTACTAAAATAAATATCGTGGTTCAATTGGTGTGGTGCATAGTCTGTCATGTGATCTATTGTTAAAATATTTTTTTCTGCTCGCTGAGTTGAATTCTGTATATATTTATCAACAGAGTACGATGTACTTTATGTATATTATTGAATTATTGTTATATGCATGTCCAATAAATGAGTAGCGAGCATCATTCCCACACGTCATTAAGTCATCTGTTAGAAAGTAATTGATTTTTGTTTGGACGAAGACACAATATAGAAAAGTAAAACTATTATCCTGCTAACGATTGTCTGATAATACCTGTTTTACGTATACCTTTAAAACAGTGAAAAAGTCACTGTCAATATAAGAAGACAAGATCGTAGAAAGATATGTATAGGATTTTACACGCAGTGACAGCATTTACTATCAACGCTATTAAATAATGGTTCGAGCAGGGTATACACATGTATAGAGTGGTATAGTCAAGGGATGGACGGCAACAATATATATATATATATATATGACCTTGTAGACAAACAAATACTCATGCAATGCTAATTTTCTAAGTAAAAATACAATAAATTAAAGTGGGAATCTAGACCGAACTAATAAACTCAATTACTGATACTTTCCTAAGTTCCTTTCTGTTACGTACAGATATCAGTTGGACAGGTTTATATGGAGATGGACGGTTCCAATAATACTTTTTAATGAACTTTGTACGAATATTTACTGATAATAGATAGATCTGAACAAAATGGAGCTCATCTTCTATCTGGTTTTGATTATAAATCCGACATAACGCATTATCCCTCGGAATAATATGATATACATAACTTCTCTACATAACTGATGGGATAAAAGTCATAATTTAGATATAAGTTTAAGATATCCATCTGGGATAGACTGTGTTAAATAAAATTATGTTGTAAAACTACATATTAGGACTTTTTTTTTAGAAATAGCATTTTGAAGACCGCTCAACAAAATCATCCCATATTTGAATGAAATCATTTATCAAACGCTGCTCAAAACAACGTAAAAATACCTGTTCATTATCAACATATTGAGTTAACCAGACGTTACCAAAACCAGAGGACAATAATAGTTTCTTAACTTGACAACGTCAATTACAGTTTCTGTGGTTACATTCTTGCATTTATACGTAAATTGATTTAAGGACACAATTATTACATTTGCTTAATTTCAACCAATGGTTCATTATTCGACAGTTCATAAAAATACGCATAGGTAGGCGTCCTAATTCCGAGTATACCATAAAAAATGGTGTTCTGCATTTTTAACTTCTTTTTTCTTCTTCTTTAAAAATCAACATGTACTTTTTGTACTGTGTCCTCGGCATTAAAGCGCCATGTTTCGCAACCATAATTAAGAACAGAGGAAACATATCAATAAAATACGTTGAGTTTTGATTCTACATTGAGTGACAAATCATTACAAGTTTTTAATACATTATACATGCATTTTCGACCTTGTTCAATACACCAAGATAATAAAATCTGCCAAAAATTTCTACTTCATATCCATTAGAATATAATTTCTCATCAGCTCTTTATCTTCTACCATTTCGAAATACAACAGTTTCTCTCTGTATTGACTGTCAGATCCCAGTTATCACGATACAGTTTTAAAGAGTCTAACATTTTTTGCTAACCATAGGCATATTCTGAGAAGGTGACAATATCATGTGCATACATAAGGTGAAACAAAGAAATATCTCTTTAAAACAAAGGAAGTATTTATAAGTTCGTTTTAAAGGTCATTCACATATTTTGGAATAAAACAAGGGAGATAACTCCTGTCCATGCGTCAAGCCTCGTGAGCATGTAAAGAAATCAGACAACTTAGACTTATACTGAACACAAGACTCTAAACATTAATAAAAAGATTTACAATGTTCAATAGTTTTCCTGTGACTCCACCATGATAAAGCTGATAAATATGGTATTTACAAATATGAAGTGCCTCTGAAGAGGTAGGTTTTAGTAGGTCTTGGTTTAAGACAGCTTGTCGATATTTTACTGATTCCTATACTGTTATGGGGGTGCAGGGGAAACCCGTTTGCTTGGCTATGAGAGGCACGATAAAACCCATACATCACAGATTAGAAAACCACGCTGTCTTCACTTTACCGCCAATTTATTCTACGGAAAACAACAACACACATATAAACACGAAAACAAGGATCTGGAGGCCGGGTCAAATATCCGGAACTAGTCAATTATCTTACACTACCTGACCAGTTATATAGATGTATACAACATCCCCGCACCCCCCCCCCCTCCCCAACACACATATAAACACGAAAACAAGGATCTGGAGGCCGGGTCAAATATCCGGAACTAGTCAATTATCTTACACTACCTGACCAGTTATATAGATGTATACAACATCCCCGCCCCCCACCCCCCCCAGGAAAAAAATTGCAAGCAATTTTGGAAGACACTGGTCAGCAAGTGTACGATAAAGGAACACAATATATGGAATTCTATCCTAATTAGAATACATGAATTAAAGGAAATTTGATATAGGAAAGCGTTATCAGCAAAAAGATACAATTAATGACATATTATAAACCTTATGAAGAAAATTGATCAAGGTATACATGTTATTCCCAGAGATCAAATGATGCACACTAGCATGACACAATATTATTATGAAACTGAGTGTATAAACATGATCATTGCAGGATAAATGACAGATTTTTTTCCATACAGGACAAACCAGGTTATAATAGTAATGTAATGAAAAATTTCAAAAACTGACAATAAGACATTGAATATATGTTACCACAAACATCTCTTACAATCACCTGTGCACTAGGTAGTTACACTCACAGTTTCGCCCGCAACACATAATGAAATCAAATTGCGCAGGATTTGTATAACCTCATAGTGAATTACATTGTTACATTCTATTGCTGGCAATCATAATCATTTCATACAAGATCATAAGTAAATAGTCACTACAGATTCATGTGGAAAACTTTGTGATTTCATACTATAAAGTTGAATTATTTGTAAAATCTCATCCACTGGTTAAGAACCACACAGGATTATTCAATAGCAATCATTTGAAATCAATTTCAATGCAGTAGTAATTAACATATAAATGTATTCTTAAGAGAAAAAAAATATATTCTCCACCATGTTATGGGGGTGCAGGGGAAACCCGTTTGCTTGGCTATGAGAGGCACGATAAAACCCATACATCACAGATTAGAAAACCACGCTGTCTTCACTTTACCGCCAATTTATTCTACGGAAAACAACAACACACATATAAACACGAAAACAAGGATCCGGAGGCCGGGTCAAATATCCGGAACTAGTCAATTATCTTACACTACCTGACCAGTTATATAGATGTATACAACAATACAATTTAAATACTACTGGGATTACTGATCACTATTTTGGAAGGCTTTTTTAAACTATTTTTTTAAGAGTAATTTTGGTTTTTATGCAACAAACGTGTACACATGAGTAGACAGTAATTTTAATAGGAGTCAACTGATTTATTTAGTGCTTTACTGAAATGCCACGTTTAATTTTTATTAAATAAATAAAAACAAATTGATTCCATTTATAGATTGGATGGAAATGCGACTTTTAATCGAGCAATTAGTACAACAGGTTACATTGTCTAAATCAATTATATTATTACAGGGAATGTGAGAACAATTTTCGGCATGAAAGTAACTGAAACATGACTGTTGTATAATAAATAAAAACTAGTTAAAAAAATAATTACTTTAATTTGAGTGTCCCGTTAAACATCCTAAGTAATTACTGTTGGGTCAGCTGATGGTGACATACTCATTAACAGGTTAATACAATAGTACACGTAATTTTACCGGGCTCCGATCACGGAGGTGAGACGATCGCGACCAGCAGTGCTGAAAATTATAGTCGTCACAGTAAATGGACTCGCTGTGATTGCCATGGTGTAGTCCATATGACTCGTCCTGTTTATTTATCAGCGGCAGGCAAGATGTCTGGTAAGCCCTGGAAGGTAACGTATTTCAACGGCCGCGGAAGAGCAGAAAGTACCCGGATCGTTCTTACCGAAGCAGGAGTGCCATTTGAGGACATTCGCATTAACAAAGAGAAATGGGATGCAATGAAAGAATGTATGTATATATTTAAAAATGTGTATGGAATGTGAATACATAGAAACCAACTGTCGAGAATTATTCACTATTCGGAACATATCAGATGTTTCCATGTATTCATACAGACTTTGATGGAAGTTAGTGAATCGGAGTGAGGTGTTTCGAACGTTTCGACAAGGCCGACAGGCCTGTAATATTGGACACTCAGTTCTCGATAGAAAATATACACAGGATTTAAACTTTGTGATTATCTCTTTTACAATATAATCTATTATAACAGGCAATCATTCGCTTATCCCCAATATATAAACATGAAAATGTATCCTGCTCACCTCGAACAAACATAAAGAGTTAGTGGCAAAAACACTATGTACATATGAGTGGATATTTCTCGGTATCAGGAAGGTCATTGCCAAATATTAATATCAGTCTGTCTTTATCTCAGCCGAGGATTATTTTCGTGTGAAGGTAAATTATGGATTTTTTCTTAAACGTTAAATAAATGTGGTATGGATAATTCATCACAAAATGATTCCGAGAAGATTTGGAAAGTTTGAAAGCTTGAAGTCCGGTTAATTGTGTAACTAAAGTTCTGGTGTCATTGAAGGAACACAATGCTAGATATAACTCTGTTATGGAGCGAAATATCAGTAAATTGTAAGTTCTAAAATAGTTCAAAATACAGGAAACTAAAACCATTTTATACGTGGTATTTTCATCCTATAAATAATTAAGATATTTCCTGTATGGATCTTTCAAGGAAAAGTACATGTTTGAACATTTCATATGACAAACACGGAAATAAGTGCTAGATGTTATATAATTTACTAGGAGCAGAAGGGTGTTTTACAATCTCGTGACAAGGAAATTTCAGATTTGTGCTGTGCATATTGTGAACATTGTGAAAATAAAGAAAATGTACATCCTCGATACTCCAGAGGTTATAATCACTTTCGCTCTCTACACCCCAGGAAGATGGGAAAAGGAAGAAACACTTAAACAGCGCATGTCACAGGTCAAGTGGTCAGTCATTGTCCAGAACATGTATACTACGTCATTAACAATAGTATGCCTATTCCGGGCCTACTATATATGTACATCAGACAAAACCAAAGTAACCAACGTTTACGGGAATGAACACGAATACAAGAGACTAATATAATAAATACAAACATTCACTTGTATTACTGTATGTCACATACATCATGATTATAATTGATCCTTTCATTTGTATTTTCCCCTTAATTATTACTATCTTATCGATTTTCTCCCCTTTACCACAGGTTTGTTACCACTGTTCACTGCACACAGCCCCATTCGTGGTCTCGTAATCATGCATACCAATGAAATGGGATCAGATGTGCACCACTCTGTGGTAGCGAACGTTCTAATACCCAAACGTTTCCGTTGTGAGAAGTGTGAAGTATGCAGTTGTTGTGATTTCACGTGGAAGTGTTCGCAGGGTACTGTAGTAGCGGGCGTTTTCCATTGAGAGAGGTGTGAAGTATACAGTATGTTGTTGCTCGATTTCTTGTCACTCGACATTAATTCTCCCCACAGTCTCACTTGGGTGTAATAAATCCATTAAACTTGAAAGCAGTGCGATCACCTATACAAACATTACTTTGATTTTGTCACATATCTCGAAAATCAACCAGGATTGCGACCAGAGGGACAACTCCATAAGTCAAAGACTAGAAAAAAAAACCTTAGAAGTTCTACTGTCAGCACTTGATGATGAAAAAAAACTTAGACGTTATACTGTCAGCACTTGATGATGAAAAAAAAACTTAGACGTTATACTGTCAGCACTTGATGATGAAAAAATAAACTTTATAAAACACAGAAAACATTCAAAATTGGGCATGTAAGTGTTTACTTTATATTTGTTATTTAGATGAATATTTCTTGCTGAGAAATTACGATATGTATGTCATAAAAAACTGACCGAACGCTCCGTGGTAGCAGGCTAGAACGAACAAAACGGTCATTCTTACAACATTCACGTGCAACGTACTTTCCCTGTTCAATATTCATGATTCGCTCTTATCCTTAACAAAAGACAAACATTTTCTGATTTGTTATGAAAAGCAAGAAATTCTGTCACTGTCGAACGCTCCGACATGAATCGAACCAGGGTATCCGGTGTAATGAAAAGCGTGCCCTGTCTACTGAAAGACAGAGATCGTATTAATCACAGTGCATTTTTGTATGTGAAAACCGCACTTCTTTTAAAGCACAACCAAAATAACCTCAATTTAGATCAAACATAATCCCATCAAATATAAGGTATAATTCATTATGTCACTGACGCTGTCTTTAGTTAGATAACTGACACATTCTTACAAAAATACAGGAAATCGTAACCACAGGAAAGGAACTACTACAATAGGGGAGATAACTCCAAGAGTGCGAAACTCTTTACTAAGATAATAACTGATACTCTATTACACATGAAAACATCATTGTTGAAATTTAAGAAGTAACGAGCACGTGCACTTTTTGTCGCTGATGTCCTGATAACCAATATGTATATTAAATGAATTATCAAGTACGATTTGTACTGGTGAAATCCCTATAGTTTCCCTCGGGAATTTAACGGACGTTTCTGTTGATACCAACAGCAACACCTACACATACCCTCCCTATCCTGGAGACCGACGAGGGGATTGTTCTCAGTCAGTCATCAGCCATCCTCAGATACCTCGGTAGGAGGTTTGGTGAGTCCTCGTTCTTATATTTCTGTCCCATGTATTTATGTTCATTATTGTGTTTTGTTATTCATTCATTTTCGAGTACATTTTAAAACCATATTATCAAATAATTAAAAACGCATTAAGTCAGTGATAAGCAGATGTGAAATCTTTCCATAGAACATGTATAAATAAGAAAAATGTCTCATGAGTGAAATAACTCAGTTCTCTTCCGCGGTATTTACTTTGAATACCTGTCCTCTATGATTGGTATTACAGGAGGTTGATAACATTTCGTATTATTGAGGGTCATCATGTTAATTATATGTACCACGAGGCTACCACTTCCCATTACACAGGTATGTACAACGGCGATGTCATGGAAGAGTACAGAATTGACCTGGTCATGAACATCATCGATGATCTGGTCGATAAAATACTAATACCAGCGCTTTTTGAAAAGGACCCCCTGATCAAGGCAAGTATGTTAAACTTATCTATATTTCTTTTAGTTTGATAACGAAGAACCCGTTGTGACAGGAGGCACCGGGTCGGCTCGGGGATGTCTTATGGCGACAGCAAAACAACGTTTATGTTGCCCTAACCATAATAGCAAAGCATCAATTAAAAAAAGGAAAAAATTGGGATCACACAAGTCATTTTGCTTGTTATTTGATGAGAGAGAGCCATTTCGTTCAGATTACCCCTGTTACCCACTAACTATCTTTTGAGAACATTGCCGTAAATATCTGGCATCACTTCAACGCTATTTGTATTCTTGTGATTTGACATGAACAACCTGTATTCATCGTTTTTAAATCATGAGTAATATACTGTCCCAAAACACTCCCGGTGTTAGGTTAACGCAACAAAGAACACACAAGTGAATATTACATTTCAATATGAATTTGGATTTAAATTTAGAATTAAACAGGAGAACCAAACAATTTTTACTGCATTAACCTACTTAATGGTGTAAGTTTCCAATAGTTACAATGATTATAAGCATCTCTTACACAACGTATCAGACGTCAATATCAGCTTCACAACAAAGCACGAATCCGTCTCTTAATATGATTTAGCACTGTCCTTCAAACGATTTCCCATCTAGATGATTTTATAGAATCAACTGAGACGTGTTTCTTTGTAATTTTCTTTACAAAATTCAGTCTCCTTTTAATTCGTAACTGTTTGATTTTCAGGCGGAAAAGATGAAAAAGGTTGAGGGTGAAGATTTAACGGGTTATTTGAAACTGTTGTCGAGAGAACTACAAGCTGGCGGTCATGGATTTTTTGTCGGAACTGAAGTGAGTTGTTACGGGTAACAAAGAATGTGCACCCAGAGACATCATGGAAGATTGAATTATTTTTTTTTAAAGGCAGGTGCCGGCCTCTCCAAAATAATACTTTAACTTCTGTTTGATGTCGCCGTATATATATATATATATATATACCGTGGGTGATATATTTTAAAGGTTAGTAGTAGACTTTGACAAGTTGGCGACTACATAACTAAAAGAATAGGAGCCTGAAAGTTGTCCACGTCGTTAAAAAATCTCCCGTGCGGTCCCGTTATGAATTTATTCGGAGATGGTCGTGAACACTTTCAATCTGGCCATCATCAAAGACTCGAAATGGAATTTGTGGAATAAAACGTGTCTTGTCAGAAATCACCAGGTATTACAGTAGAATATTCAGAGACAGAATTTGTTGTTTTATTCTTCAAAGATTTAAACATGTAGCGCACATAATTTATCGACTCCAGATAATTTCTGAATATTGCCTAGTACATATGTTCTGCGCATTTTATAAATCATGCGTTTCTATTTCAGCTTACTATAGCTGACGTTAAAGTGTTCACTGTTTTGGAAAATATGACGAGCGATTTTCCAGAAACTATGGCAAAATGGGACGACCTCAGAGAATTCAAGGAGAGGATAGCATCACGACCAAAGATAGCTGAATGGATTAAAAAACGACCAAACACTTGGTTCTAAATCGTTCGGAGGCTTTAAAGGAAAACCTGTCCCGAAAATCTGTTCAATTTAGTAATTGATATAAAGAGGATGGGTCAGTTTTGTTCATAACCATCTTTCAGTCAGTAGAAGTACGATGGCTGCCCATCATCAATGTTTTAACAAAATGTTGCAAACAACCAGCAATTCGACCAAATGTAAACTATGTGAATCCATATTGTGTGCTGTTAAACGTGGCTATCTGTATATACATATCATGTGATCAAGTCTGAGAAAACATGTTTGGTTTAGTATAAAAAGTTGAAATATTTCTTCTGAAATATCTTCACACTTATAGTTATAATGTGTCGGTATATGAGTATGAATGGGGATAGTACTTGTCTTTAAGTTATTTTCAGGTTAATAAATTTGTATTCTGTTGTAAGTCATTGTTCCGTTTTTCATTTTAAATTTAGAATTCCATATTTCATCTATTGGGGTATCACAAGTTTAACCCGCGTATCAGGAAATAATCTGATCTGACAGGTTCACTACAACAGTAAGTACGCACAGCTGGAAATACTGCGATTTGATTGGTCAAAAGTAGGTGAAATTATCAATATATGTTACATGTATCTTATTTTCACCATAAAACATTGTATTTAACTACGAAAATGTAATCAATTATGATATTATATATTTGGTCAGTAACTATCAGTCTAATACAATACTGTACAGACAAAACGAGACAACATCCAACAATTCCTGCTATCCTCTTTATATACCTAGTTATACTCTAACCAAATAGTTCATATTTCAATTTTCTAACTTTCACAATATCATGAAAAATGAAACTTGAGATTTTTATCGGTCAGACATGATATACATACATAATTTCTAATGCTTTCCAAATGTCATGGTAACAACAAGCGAACATCGTAGATATATACACTGTAACTAGAGTGTGACGAAATTGGGCTATAAAAGCCCGAGGTGACTCCTCCCATCATGATGTCGACGAACTTATTTCCGTCTATAACGTTGTGTCAGTTTCTTTAGAAATATAGACGGTCACCACCAGACGCCAATCACAGAATGCACATATTTTATTCCAAAGAGAAATGACATATGAAAAATTATCATGATATAACGTAGACTATCCAATGGTACGCACAGATCTTATTCCAAAATAAAACTTTAGACCTGTTAACGCATTTACATATAAATGTTCTATTTGATTGTACACTGTGATAAATCTGATGAATCAAGTTTCTTATATTGATGTGTTCCCCCTTATTGACACATCCTCATCACCATCTGGTGTCTATCAATAATATGGCCCTGACATAGAACAACGTGTTTATCAATAAACACAAAAACGCTTTATCACAACAAAACCTAACAGTAGAACTATTGATTAAGATTTCAATAAACATCACAAGTTAATTTTACCTAGCATGATTTCCAGTCACGTGATAACATGGCGATATAGATATTTATGTTGTAAATCAACAAAGACACAATCTTCACAGCTGTCTCATTATGGTTATGGAAAAAATAACAAAGATTGTTTCCCGATAATTGTCATTTATTTAAATGAATGTTTACAATGAATATGGCAACAATATAGGTTATAGAAATATACACAAAACACCTAACGTCATAAGTAATAATTAAAAGATGACGTGTATAAAATGCCTAACATAACCGATATAGAAAGATTACCAGCAAAACGTTCTTATTGAAAACATAATATATCCTAAAATGTTGTTCGTAAAGAAAAGTATCACCGACATTTAGTCAAGTTCCTTTGAATTCAGATGGAAAACTTGTTTGTGAAAACCAATAATTCATAGAACATGTTATGTATGTAATGTATTAACGTACATTAATGGAATTCCAAGTATTAAAGAAATTAAGCAGGGGTGTCCTTTTTCAGCTCTACAATTCACTGACTTTTTTAGGCTGTGTATCCAAAGACTGGTGCCATTTGGACAGATTACGTCGAAGAGGTAGCAATCTAAAGTAAACAAGGCAAGTGACTTTTAGAAAATGAACAAAAACCGCTGACAGAGCAGTGATTTAATATTTGACATAAGAAAAACCTAGTTCTTAAGTATATCCATACTGATATGGTAGCAACACTTAGGAATGATACCCCTTTATATGCTACAGTGAAAAGGTGGGGGACGGAATTAAACGTGGCAATACCTTCGGGATTCCATCTAAGGAAGATCTTGCAATGAGGAAGCTTTCAGCCCGAGACTATGGGTGAACCGTGAGTCCATCATTTCACACCTAAACAATGGAAGAGCCCTAGTTCAGAAGGCAAAGGAAAGGTTATGGTCTCGGTTTTCTGGGATGCTGATTGTATTCTGATGATATGTTATCTGCAAAAGGGACAAACAATCAATGGCACATAGTCTGCATAATTTCTTAGGTAGGTAGGAGAAAACATTAAACTCAAGCGTCGTGGAAAACTCGGTAAAAGTGTATTGTTCCGCTAGGTCAATACCTCTGTCCACAGGTCTGTCATTGTCATGGATGTCATTAACTATTATTCGCCTGATCTCACACCATAAGACATTCATCTAATTCTAGAATTGAAAAAGGCCATTTCTGGTACCCACATTCGGTAAGATGATTACGTCATACATGCAGTGGAGGACTTTCTGAACGGTCAAGTCCTCTTGAAATCTTTAAAAGTGACTTTAGTGTCCTTAAACATCGCTGACAAAAGTGTATAGATACTGAAGGGGATTATGTTGAAAAACAATCGATTTGTCAGCCAAAAGTCAAACTCGTATATATGAAGGTCACAGCTTATCATCAATCAGCCCTCGCGTATCTTGAAATCGTGTATTGTAAGTTGATCCTTCCGTTGTTGGGATTATTTCACGGAATTAAATATCCATTATGTTACATTTGTATTAATTATTCACACGTAATATAAATCCTCTATAATTTGTCCTTATATTTACAATTCAGTTACGAAGTGAGAATGTAGATTTATTTTTTGTTTTTGTTTTGTTATTTAAAGACAAACATCCATAACTGTATTTAAAAGTAAAAGCTAAGTACTAAAGTCTCTTTGGTCTTGGTTTCTGTTTTCGGTAAGTTTATGAAAGAACTATTAATTAACACGTGAATATTGGAACAGAAACCAATGAGCACCGCTTGTACATGTTTTAAATATGTCTTTTTATCAATACCATAAAAACTCACAATCCGACCCCACAAATAATGATTTACTGAAAATAAGCCTGTAGTTTCTTCCATTCGTAAACCTGCATTTGCTTATTATCAGAGAAACTAAGTCCCGTCTTACTTTCGACGTTTAGGGTATATTTTCAGCTACATGTATTGGCTTTTTCAGAGGGCTACAAATAATTAATTGTCAAAACTACACAACATATCACAATCCTTCCCCCTTACTTTCTCAATGATATAGGCATAAGGAACACGGAAGAATAGATATCTTAAAAATGAAAGTGCGATAATGTCGGTCAGATTTACAGATATATGAAATAGTTACGGATAGGAATCCCTCGGCATCCCGAAACCAACTCGATAATTGGGTATTTATGCGATCATCATGCTAACCTTGTACGAATTTTTAAAAAAAAATAAAGCTGATAAAGCATTGGGGTCTGTGTTTAAACGCTGTCGTTATTGGCACTTGATGTGGTTCCCATTCAGTGTTTCCTTATGATTGAAATGAATCTTATCATACAATTTTGCAAGTTGAAAACATAGTAATACTAAATCATTCAACGTATATCTTCATTTTCATAACAGTCAGTCATATATAGACAATGATTAGATCTAGACAACAGTGCCTTTTGAATGATATTTTCTGCCACGGTGAAGGTAATGATAGGAACCGCGCTTTTATCAAAAGCAAATATCGTCAGTAAGCTATTGAAATACATTGGTCGTGCAAGAGTGCATGGAAATAAAAAGCAATGAATGTCTATGGATAGGTGTATTCAAAATGTGTAAACAGTGTTATCAAGTCAAAATTTTATAAACAATATTGGACGGAACCAACAGTAAGGCGTCAGGCCCGTATTAAAAACATGGACTCGTTTAATTTGCCACCAGAAGTTTGGAAGTCAATGGCACTGTGTACCCGGTCTGTCAATATTTAGATTATTAACAACGGAAAGACAGTATTTACAATTTACGTCCGGTACGCGTTTACTTAACAATGTTTTTAAAGGTCCAACGTTTGTGTTTACCTGTGTGCTTTTGGCCTATTCCCGCATGAACCACTACGTCTGCACGCAATCGATATTGAATGTTGTTAAATGTAATGCAGTGGAACGTCTACGGAATATTTAGCTGTGGCCTGTCAATTTTGTATTCATCTTACTACAAGAAAATATACCGTTGTATCGATCAGCAGAAGACATGCCTCGTAAGCCATGGAAACTTACATACTTTAATGGCCGCGGAAGGGCAGAAAGTATCCGGATTGTCCTCACCGAAGCTGGGATTCCTTTCGAGGACATCCGAGTCTCCAAAAAAGAATGGACAGCAATGAAAGACTGTATGTATGCATGTCATTAACATATGTGTACCTTAAAAAACAACACGAGAAAGTATTGACAAGAAAAATTACTCGTGTTCCTGTTAAAACCATCACAGGTGTGATTCATAACGAAACGTGTAATGATTAATAGCTAGTAATGTCAACATACAGAAAATGCCCTTGTAGAGTATCTTGGAACGTGCTATTTACTTTTATGGTCTTGTACGATCTGTAAAGTAGAGTTAATGAATGATTCATAACGACTAGGTGTACGCATTATTAAAAATCAATACAGATGTATGCGTGTTCGTCGGGAACACAACAGATAATTAATTGTGGCCCGCCACTTCTCTATTTAATTGCTTTCGTCACCTTTATGTTTCAAGACTTTAGCCATGTATTATATTTGTGCCGCACCAGTTTTACTGTTATATATATACTTTAAAATTTAATTAACACTTTTTTCGGCTTTGTATGTTTATATAATGAACATCATACCGCAAAATTATGTTGTCATTGGACTTAATTTCTATGGATGTAAAGAAAATGCTATTACGTGGACTCTTGGTGTCGCATATAAATATAGATTATTAGATCTACTTAATAATTTAACACTTTATGGAAATATAAATTCATGGATTAGTAATTAGTAGTACACATAATCAACCAAAATAAATCTCCCACGAAAATGAATGATTTTACAGTAATGTATATCTTTTAATTTTTATGTTAATAATATGATTATTGAAAGAATCAGAGTAAACCATGTGAATTAAACCTCTGTCAAAACGAGAATATTTCATGCCACTTTTACTGTACAGTTAAACTCTATTTGTGTCAGATGTCTTGTATATACATCGTTTCTTTATTGTGTAGAATCGACTATAAAATGCATATTTTATTAACAACAGCCACACCTACACATACCCTTCCTATCCTGGAAATCGACAACGGGATTGTTCTTAGCCAGTCAACGGCCATCCTCATATTTCTCGGTTCACAGTTAAGTAAGTTTTTTTCTCATTTATTTTTGTTGCTTTATACATGAATTGTAAGCCTTCGTATGCCATTTGGTATTCTGATATCAAACCAGAGCTGAAGACAAATATTTGATTAAACAATGCAGCTGTTGCAGCATATGGAGGAGAAGATAAAACATTCTAGACGTCTAAACCAAGGAAGAATGATTACAATACCATATAGAATGTTCGGTCTCAAATAAAAGAAGAAAAGGCACGGAATTCCAGAATGTTTAGTCTCATAGAAAAAGAGAAAAACATTTCTTGATAGGTTTAGCCTCCAAGGAAAATAGTAATACATTTCCAGAAGGTTTAGTCTTAGATGAGAATAGTGACATATTTCAAGAAGGTTTGACTCAAGGAAGATTTTTGGACATTCCGTGTTTACCATATTACAGTATTATGATCGGCAATGATTGTTGTGGTGAAGCCGAAAGTGAAGTAAGGTTTTGTGTTCTTTGTAATGAAGATTTTCTATGGTCCCCTCCAACATTACAGATATGTACAGTAAAGATATCATGGAAATGTACAGAATTGACCTAATCATGAACATGATGGATGATCTGATCGATAAGGTACTAGTTCCAGCACTGACCGAAAAGGATCCTAATTTAAAGGCAAGTGTTATATACAAACAAATTCACGGGGAATGAGGTATTTAATGTCTGTATGCAGTAATTGATCCCGATATGCTGGCGTTCTAACAAAATTCAGTGTTAAGCAAATAAAACCAATTTTCTGCTATTCTGGTTCATTTCTTTAACACAAAATCACCATTACCCGTAACACAAAACGAAATTAGGTGTCCGGACATGCATCACCAATGCCACCAATAACAGCATACAAACATCAGCAGCATCAGCAGAAACAACAACAACAACAACAACAACAACAACAACAACAACAACAACAACAACAACAACAACAACAACAACAACAACAACAACAACAACAACAGCAGCAGCAGCACCATCACCACCACCACCACCACCACCAGCAGCAGCAGCAGCAACAACAACAAATAATAAGTCAAAAGTTTTTGTTTCGTTGAAATGGATATTACCGCAAATATGACGAAATATTGATAATACATAGAAAAAAAGAAATGGAGGGACGGACATGCCATAGACTCACTGGTACTTCAATTGCCAGGAGTGCTAAAAACCTTTTCATGGACTTAAAAACGTACAAGGTAGTATATCAAAGTCTCCACAACTTCTTCATTTGCAGGCCGAAAAGACAAAAGCTGTAGAGAAGGAGAATTTACCGGGTTATATGAAAACGCTTTCCAGAGAACTAGAAGCAGGTGGAAACGGATATTTCGTTGGAACAAAGGTAAGTGGTATGACGGATAACGAGTGAAGTTGGACGGATGACAGCACCAGGATGTAATCCAAATGCTTACGTTACAATAAAGACTCCTATTTGTATTTCCGTGTTATGGATCAATGACATCAGAAATGATTAAAGTTGCTTCCATAATTTCATCAGATTGCGATATGTTTGACATTTGTAATGAACTTTTTAAAAAATAATTTCTTACGACGCCACATTGGCCAATCAGACATGACGTTACTAAATGACGTAAACACTTTTGATGTTAAGAGATGCTATGTAAAAACGTTGCCAAAGAAAATGTTTGTTTTATACAGAATTGAATTATTAATATCATGAATGAAAATATGGATTTATCAGGACAGCGTTTACTTTCTTCAATTTTCTAGACTACTGTTTTATTATGATTCTGCCTACTTATCAGTAATATTTTTTTCTGTCACGATATGGTCGGCGCACGCTCAGTCAGTATGACATCGGACCACTGTAGCCTCCGAGGTGTGTGGTTCGATTCCTACCTGGCGCGGTTCATGTTTATCAGGAAAATGAATCACCAAAAGGCATGCACTTTTGAAGTTGTGCCCATGAGTAACATATTTAACGAAATGTCTAATATAGAACGTGATTGGCCTCTCGCATGATACTCGGTAAAGTTGTAACTAGTCAAAACATGTACAAAGAGAAACCTCAACTAAATGATCTAGTTCATTCAAAAAGTTCTAGTATTTCAATTAAATTCGATTGCATAAGAGTTTTACAGATATGTATCATGATAAGCTTTGATGACTGTTCCAATTTTTTTTCTTTCTCTATTTCAGCTTACTATAGCCGATGTTAAAGTTTTCACTGTTTTAGAAAACATGGCAGGCGCTTTTCCAGAAACTATAGCCAAATGGAAGGACATCAAAGGATTCATGGAGAGGATAGCATCACGACCGAAGATAGCAGCTTGGATAAAAGGACGACCAAAATCGTGGTTCTAGATTTGTGAGAGGAGTAAGAGAACCTTCACGCCTTCTTTCGGAGCGAGATAATTGAGATCCTCTCTCCCATCCTTAGAGAAGTAAATGATCATCTTGTTTTACTCCGCTGGTATTCTACAAGACGTATTGTATTAGGGATGTTATTACTGTAGTAACGATATAAATGGGTACCAGCACCCCCCCCCCCCCCCCCGCCCTCGACTCAGAAGCTCAGTAAAAATTGTGGACACACTATTCCAGGGTAAGAGCAAAAGATCGATATTGACAATTACTTGGTATAATTAAAATTGACCGCATCATTTATGTGTAATATCCATTAAAAGGTTTCTCCGTTTTAACGAACTTACATGCACGTACCCGAGGATGTATTCATGTATCTACTTATCATCACGTTGATATTTTGAAGAAATGTGTTCGAAGTTTATAAATATATGTGCCATGTTGATATGTTTAACACATATTATAACACAATATACATATAAATTATACAGTGATATAAATACAGTCCAACATATACATCTATCAGAGTTGATCAGGGTAAGTAGAACATCAACACATTTGTCGATTCATGTACCTTGTATCACCTGGTCGAACATCCTTTTTTATCATGTACATAACAATAAAACACATCGGTGACTTAATTCGTTGTTCTGTCTCTCCCTATATGCTACTTGTGGCTAACATACCCAACTTCCTATTGGACATTCGTCTATAGTACAAGGCAGTGATAGGTAGCTTAGGACTGTTACACGAAACGTGTAGTAGATTCCCTATACAGTAAAACAATGCAATATCGACAGGCATGTTTTGAAATAGTAGTAAAACATAATTAGTTTAATCAGACTTATTCCAAAGGATATCAATCTGCTCTCTATCATACTATAGTACAGTTAGGGACTTGTCTCCATAACATCATTGATTATAAGTATGTTAACAACAGATATAACAAAAGGTCATTGAGAATTGATATGAAATAATTTGCGCCTATCAAGGTTAAAATCACATGCAACAGGGTCTGATGATAATCACTATCAGTTCCTTAATCGTGTACCAGAATCATCAACAGAAAAAAACTTGATATTTATAATTATATCTTTAGATCGGGTAATGTCCCAAGGTCATGTAAAAAGGCAACTGTGATTCTATCCCCAAACACGGTAAAGATACAATCCCTCCAGTTACCCCTAATATCACTCAAGAGATCGTTTTGTAAAACTCGAAAGCGGATGATGAATTCAAAGTTAATTTGGTATCTAGAATCTAATAATATAACATCACCCCCACGAAGCTGTTTTAGATCTAAGAGAGGTACCAACGATCATTTGGTTAGACTTGAAACCTTTGTACACGAGTCTTTTCTATCGAAGGAGAAGTTGGTTGAGGTTTTCTTCGATTTGGAAAAGGCTTACGACACAACGTGGAAATATGACATAATGAAAGATCTGCACGATATAGCTATTGCAGGTCATTTACCAAATTTCATTTCACATTTTTTGTCCGATTGAGTATTTCAAGTTTGGAATGGAACGACCCTTTCCAATGTTCGTCAGCACGAAATGGTTGTACCATAGGTCAGCAATTTCTTTGTTTCACTTTTCGGAATTAACAGTATTGCCAAAACTTTATCCCCTTCAGTGGAGGGTGCTCTTTATGTCGATAACTTCATTATATGCTATCGACCTTAACATATGAATACCAATGAAAGACAACTACAGCAATATTTAAATACGCTTCATATTTGGGCAAATGAAAATGGATTTAAATTTTCACAAGCAAAAACAGTTTGTATGCATTTTTGTCAAATCCGGAGACAACATGACTATTGAAATCTCTCTCTTTGTAGTGTACCCATTTCAGCTGTTGAGCAAACAAGATTCTAATGTGAAATCTTCGACAGGAAATCATCGTTCCTTCCACATATAAAAATATCTGAAAGTCAAATGCCTTGAAACACTAAATACTCTAAAAGTAGTGTCCCAAACTGATTGGGAATCTGGTAGAAAAGTTTTGCTAAGACTTTATAGAGCTCTTACTATATCAAAATTAGACTACAGTTCCATTGTGTATGGATCTGCTTGACCTTCATATCTCAAATTATTAGACACTGTTCATCACCAGGGTCTGAGGCTCCCTCTTGAGTTAACTTAAGAGTTATGATATAGCATTTACCACGCCCATAATAAAATCCTGAAGCAAGTTTACTTATTGTGTCCTTACTGTCACTACTTTTTCTGCTCGCCATCACGTGTTCGTGTTTACAAAGTGCACTGTCTCGGTTTCAAAACAATAACGTAACATTAAAAATGCTAAAGTTGAGAGGGGTTTCCTGAACCAAAGAAGTAGTCAAGCTTGACATTGGAAATCAACTGTAAATATTGGGATACCATAGATACATAATTGGAGGTAAAAAAATCATGCACAATCAATAATAAATTGATGTTTTTAAACTTATGTCACTTTAAGATATTTAGTTGAGAGACAACGAGTAGGCAGGAAGTGGAAACGATATTTCTGAAACGCAGAAAACACCATGTCAAGACATACAAATTCAAAATTGAGACTCCATTGGTCAAATTGGTCTAATGGAAAGTGTATGGAAAACATTTACATAGACAGTATAATGAACGAAACTTAATTAATTCTATCAAGAAAATCTGTTTCAACTAATGTAACGATCACATTTGTCAAGTTTGTGAGACGTTTTATCATATAATACAAGTCAGACACTGTTGGATTGTTCAACACACTCCTCTTACAGGTCTAGTATATCAAAAGTACAGCACTGAATATTGAATTTGTTTCTTCCTCACTCATTTAACGTCATTTTAATTTCGATATCATTTGTATTATCATCTCTCCAGCCATTCCTTAATTTCTTTCACTTCTGCCATCCTGTCGCTGTGCGCCTTTAACTTCGCATTATCTGTAAAGGCCTTGATTGTATCAGCACCCAAGTAGCTTTTGATGACACCAAAAAGGCTGAACAGTCCATGATCAGCGACCGTCAACTATAAAAAATTTAAGTGCACGTTTAGCAAGGTAAGTCATGAAGGACCGTTTCTGAATTTCTTATACCATGTCAAACGTTCCATTCAAAATGCATTGATATTGAAAACAGAAAAATAAATTGTAAACAGCATCTTCATATTCATTACATTTAGAAGCTACATAATAACTTAAAATAAATACAGTCTAACCTGTATTAAACGGCCACTGTGGGGAAACTATGAAAGTGGCCTTTATAGAGAGGTGGCCTCTTAATTGAGGTTCCTTATTTTCGAACCCAAGTTGCGGCAATTTGCACATTGATATTTGAATACAGTTTAATAATCAGGATTGTCACTGTCTTCCTGTACTTGGGAGTTTGTGGTTTGGTCTGAGTTCGTTTGCTGCTCATATATCGAAGTGATTTGCCACAATAGTGATAATATGCCTGTATTGTGTATACCAGTGACGTAAATGAAATCAAACTCAATATATAATGCATGGTGAATTGTGTGCCATCGTGCCATCAGCTGTTTTCAACTGACAAAAAACTGTCTTATGATAAACAACCAACATCAAACATGTGTCTTCATCGACAACCGACAACAAACATGTATCTTGATCGACAACCGACATGAAACCTATCTCACGATCGACAATTGACTAAAACCTGTCTTATGATAAACAACCAACATCAAACATGTGTCTTGATCGACAGCTAACATCAAGCATGTGTCACCAAGCATGTGGCACGATCGAAAACCATCAAATAACCAGCCCCACGATCGAAAACCTTCAAATAACCAGCCCCACGATCGAAAACCAACAAAGAACCCGTCTCACGATCGAAAACCAACAACGAACCCGTCTCACGATCGAAAGCCAACAAAGAACCCGTCTCACTATCGAAAACCAACAAAGAACCCGTCTCACGATCTACAACCAACAACGAACCCGTCTCACGATCGAAAACCAACAACGAACCCGTCCCACGATCGACAACCAACAAAGAACCCGTCTCACGATCGAAAACCAACAAAGAACCCGTCTCACGATCGAAAACCAACAACGAACCCGTCCCACGATCAAAAACCAACAAAGAACCCGTCTCACGATCGAAAACCAACAAAGAACCCGTCTCACGATCTACAACCAACAACGAACCCGTCTCACGATCGAATACCAACAAAGAGCCCGTCCCACGATCGAAAACCTTCAAATAACCAGCCCCACGATCGAAAACCAACAAAGAACCCGTCTCACGATCGAAAACCAACAACGAACCCGTCTCACGATCGAAAACCAACAAAGAGCCCGTCCCACGATCGAAAACCTTCAAAGAACCCGTCCCACGATCGAAAACCAACAAAGAACCCGTCCCACGATCGAAAACCAACAACGAACCAGCCTCACGATCGAAAACCATCAAATAACCAGCCCCACGATCGAAAACCAACAACGAACCCGTCCACGATCGAAAACCAACAACGAACCCGTCCACGATCGACAACCAACAACGAACCCGTCCACGATCGAAAACCAACAACGAACCCGTCCACGATCGACAACCAACAACGAACCCGTCCACGATCGACAACCAACAACGAACCCTTCCCACGATCTACAACCAACAACGAACCCGTCCCACGATCGAAAACCAACAACGAACCCGTCCCATGATCAAAACCAACAAAGAACCCGTCTCACGATCGAAAACCAACAACGAACCCGTCTCACGATCGAAAACCAACAAAGAACCCGTCTCACGATCGAAAACCAACAAAGAACCCGTCTCACGATCGAAAACCAACAAAGAACCCGTCCCACGAACGCAAACCAACAACGAACCCGTCTCACGATCGACAACCAACAAAGAACCCGTCTCACGATCGAAAACCAACAAAGAACCCATCTCACGATCGAAAACCAACAACGAACCCGTCTCACGATCGAAAACCAACAACGAACCCGTCTCACGATCGAAAACCAACAACGAACCCGTCTCACGATCGAAAACCAACAACGAACCCGTCTCACGATCGAAAACCAACAAAGAACCCATCTCACGATCGAAAACCAACAAAGAACCCGTCTCACGATCTACAACCAACAACGAACCCGTCTCACGATCGAAAACCAACAACGAACCCGTCTCACGATCGAAAACCAACGAACCCGTCTCACGATCGAAAACCATCAACGAACCCGTCACACGATCGACAATCAACAACGAACCCGTCTCACGATCGATCGAAAACCAACAACCAACAACGAAAACCCGTCCCACGATCGAAAACCAACAACGAACCCGATCGAAAACCAACAACGAACCCGTCTCACGATCGAAAACCAACAACGAACCCGTCCCACGATCGACAACCAACAACGAACCCGTCCCACGATCAAAAACCAACAACGAACCCGTCCCACGATCTACAACCAACAAAGAACCCGTCTCACGATCGACAACCAACAACGAACCCTTCCCACGATCGAAAACCAACAACGAACCCGTCCCACGATCGAAAACCAACAAAGAGCCCGTCTCACGATCGAAAACCAACAACGAACCCGTCCCACGATCGACAACCAACAACGAACCCGTCCCACGATCGAAAACCAACAACGAACCCGTCCCACGATCCCAACAACGAACCCGTCCCACGATCTACAACCAACAAAGAACCCGTCTCACGATCGACAACCAACAACGAACCCGTCCCACGATCGAAAACCAACAACGAACCCGTCCCACGATCGAAAACCAACAAAGAACCCGTCTCACGATCGAAAACCAACAAAGAACCCGTCTCACGATCGAAAACCAACAACGAACCCGTCTCACGATCGAAAACCAACAAAGAACCCGTCTCACGATCGAAAACCAACAAAGAACCCGTCTCACATCGAAAACCAACAAACCCGAGATCGAACAACCAACAAAGAACCCGTCTCACGATCGAAAACCAACAAAGAACCCGTCTCACGATCGAAAACCAACAAAGAACCCGTCTAAAACGATCGAAAACCAAAAATCAGTTTCAACCCGTCTCACGATCGAAAACCAACAACGAACCCGTCTCACGATCGAAAACCAACAACGAACCACGATCGAAAACCAACAAAGAACCCGTCTCACGATCGAAAACCAACAACGAACCCGTCCCACGATCGAAAACCAACAAAGAACCCGTCTCACGATCGAAAACCAACAACGAACCCGTCTCACGATCGAAAACCAACAAAGAACCCGTCCCACGAACGCAAACCAACAACGAACCCGTCTCACGATCGAAAACCAACAAAGAACCCGTCTCACGATCGAAAACCAACAAAGAACCCGTCTCACGATCGAAAACCAACAAAGAACCCGTCTCACGATCGAAAACCAACAAAGAACCCGTCTCACGATCGAAAACCAACAAAGAACCCGTCTCACGATCGAAAACCAACAAAGAACCCGTCTCACGATCGAAAACCAAAAAAGAGCCCGTCTCACGATCGAAAACCAAAAAAGAACCCGTCTCGTGATTGATAACCAATGTCAAAGCTGTCTCACAATCGACAGCCGACATCAATCCCGTCTCACGACTATATCCGACACCAAACTCGTCTCATGATCGACAACCGATAAAAAAATCGTCTCACAATCGACTAACGTCAAACCCCGCTCATGATTGTTAATATTGACAGGTGACTCAAAAGATAATTCATGGGCATGGGTTCTTCACGGATTAGTATATTGTAAAACGATGGACGGAGAGTCCTTAAATATCAGTTTCAGTTCAACCCGTCTCACGATCGAAAACCAACAACGAACCCGTCCTACGATCGAAAACCAACAACGAACCCGTCTCACGATCTACAACCAACAACGAACCCGTCCCACGATCGACAACCAACAACGAACCCGTCCACGATCGAAAGCCAACAACGAACCCGTCCCACGATCGAAAACCAACAACGAACCCGTCTCACGATCGAAAACCAACAACGAACCCGTCCCACGATCTACAACCAACAACGAACCCGTCCCACGATCGACAACCAACAACGAACCCGTCTCACGATCGAAAACCAACAACGAACCCGTCCCACGATCGACAACCAACAACGAACCCGTCTCACGATCGACAACCAACAACGAACCCGTCCACGATCGAAAGCCAACAACGAACCCGTCCCACGATCGACAACCAACAACGAACCCGTCTCACGATCGAAAACCAACAACGAACCCGTCCACGATCGAAAACCAACAACGAAACCGTCCACGATCGAAAACCAACAACGAAACCTTCCCACGATCTACAACCAACAACGAACCCGTCCCACGATCGACAACCAACAACGAACCCGTCCCACGATCAAAAACCAACAACGAACCCGTCCCACGATCTACAACCAACAACGTAGCCGTCCCACGATCGACAACCAACAACGAACCCTTCCCACGATCTACAACCAACAACGAACCCGTCCCACGATCGACAACCAACAACGAACCCGTCTCACGATCGAAAACCAACAAAGTGCCCGTCTCACGATCGAAAACCAACAAAGAACCCGTCCCACGAACGCAAACCAACAACGAACCCGTCTCACGATCGAAAACCAACAAAGAACCCGTCTCACGATCGAAAACCAACAAAGAACCCGTCTCATGATCGAAAACCAACAAAGAGCCCGTCTCACGATCGAAAACCAACAAAGAACCCATCTCACGATCGAAAACCAACAAAGAACCCGTCTCACGATCGAAAACCAACAAAGAAACCAACAACAAAGAACCCGTCTCACGATCGAAAACCAACAAAGAGCCCGTCTCACGATCGAAAACCAACAAAGAACCCATCTCACGATCGAAAACCAACAAAGAACCCATCTCACTATCGAAAACCAACAAAGAACCCGTCTCACGATCGAAAACCAACAAAGAACCCGTCTCACGATCGAAAACCAACAAAGAACCCGTCTCACGATCGAAAACCAACAAAGAACCCGTCTCACGATCGAAAACCAACAAAGAACCCATCTCACGATCGAAAACCAACAAAGAACCCGTCTCACGATCGACAACCAACAACGAACCCGTCCCACGATCAAAACCAACAAAGAACCCGTCTCACGATCGAAAACCAACAACGAACCCGTCCCACGATCGACAACCAACAACGAACCCGTCCCACGATCGAAAACAAACAAAGAACCCGTCTCACGATCGAAAACCAACAAAGTGCCCGTCTCACGATCGAAAACCAGCAAAGAACCCGTCCCACGAACGCAAACCAACAACGAACCCGTCTCACGATCGAAAACCAACAAAGAACCCGTCTCACGATCGAATACCAACAAAGAACCCGTCTCACGATCGAAAACCAACAAAGAACCCGTCTCACGATCGAAAACCAACAAAGTCTCACGATCGAAAACCAACAAAGAACCCGTCTCACGATCGAAAACCAACAAAGAACCCGTCTCACGATCGAAAACCAAAAAAGAGCCCGTCTCACGATCGAAAACCAACAAAGAACCCGTCTCGTGATTGATAACCAATGTCAAAGCTGTCTCACAATCGACAGCCGACATCAATCCCGTCTCACGACTATATCCGACACCAAACTCGTCTCATGATCGACAACCGATATGAAACTCGTCTCACAATCGACTAACGTCAAACCCCGCTCATGATTGTTAATATTGACAGGTGACTCAAAAGATAATTCATGGGCATGGGTTCTTCACGGATTAGTATATTGTAAAACGATGGACGGAGAGTCCTTAAATATCAGTTTCAGTTCTCTGTTGTAATATATTCACGAGTTCTTTGGTATTCAAGGAATGTGAATCTTAAATGCAATATTATGTTACTTAATTTATGTTAACCAATCAATGTCTAACTCTCATGTATTAACACATAAACTGTAGGCCGGCAAATACTACAAACGTGAATGTATGCATGATCACATGTGTGTAGTTGTGAACAACAATACTATTGATCACTTACATATAGACATGTAAACTTACTTGGTTTCTTTTCTTTCCATACTTCTGGCGTCAGCCTTATATCTTCAAACGTCTGTTTTGCCGCACAGAGCGCCAGGCGGGTTAATTCAGCCCGGCCGGATGCGTCATAATATATTACCTTATACTGAGGCATGCTTGACCAGTGAATGGTGTGAGGTGTCTTTAGTGGGATGTCAGTCAGTCAGTGATGTCGATTTTAGAAACAGAACGCTCGACTGCATATAAATGTTAGGTAACTTTTAAGGTTTCTCGACCGTTCCTCATTATGTATACGTATGTGATGACCGTGCCCATTAAATACTTATTCAACATCCAATTTATTGCATGAAATCTGATAGTGTCAATTAAATACATAATTTTATAACTTTATCAAAGTATTAATGCACTCGGCAACCTGTCCTATGCTTCTAGCTCCCAGACGAGTTTCTGCTTTAATTCTGTTTTACTTTGGTGGTGTTTGTTGTTCTTTAAACGGAATTTCGTGTTTGAAAGGGTTTTCACTGAAAAGGCATCCCTTCGGTGGATTCCAAGATCTTTTGTGGCGTTTCATGGCGATTTGACGTTTGCACTCTACCGCGATGAGATCCACCACGCTGACCTGACCCATGTGAGGTAATCAATTCTACTGCCCAAACCCTAGACTATCCTTACTAAACACAAGCTGGTTTCGTTGTCAGGGTCTATGGCGGCCAAGCATGAAACAAGAAAAATTGGGATTCGCTATTACAACAAATGATTATTTCTTATGGAACTGATTGTGACGCAATTACAATTCAGAAACGAAATGTTACCTCACAGTTTTTCTTGTTGCTTCTTTTAGTCTAAGAGAAATTTTCTCTAACCGCCAACCGAGCAGTTTATTGTGGCTTGTATTTAGCAGGGTTACATAGGCAGAGTATGCGCCCTTTTAATACATTGTAACTGAGAAAGACTGTAGGATGTTAGGGTTTTGGCAATGATTTTTTGCTTCCTCATTGTTACCAATTATTCTCTAGTGTCAGAAAACTAAACTCTTGTTTGTAGCAACAAAGCGAAGGTATGGTCAAGGCGGCCGTAGTTTCGTATCTCCACGACCTGTATTCTCGTCATCATATAAGTCGGGTGTGTAACACATTAATGGATCTCTACATTAATGATGATGCCTATGTACCTTACTTTACAATTGATATATAATGAAACGTTGTAGCTGACAGTTACGTAAAACTATTTCTAATATTTCGTTACTGTCACTACAGTTTCAATATTTTCATGATGTCTTTGCTTTAGAGTCGGAACGGGTGATAAGCTTTCAATATAAACTGTGTGGTTAAGCCGCAATGCTTAAAGTAGCAAAGTATTGAATTAGGTAATGCTTGTCATCTTAAGAGCTGACGATTGCTTCATATTAGTGAAAAAGTTACTTGTGTGGCAGTTACAAAGTTCAAAATGGCTAATGGTGAAAGTATAGTCACTTCTGTGATCGTCAAAGTCAACTCAAGCTTAACCTTCAACGGTCATTTGTATGTGAATGTCGACACTTTAACTCGGATGGTTTACAACCCGTAAGTAAAATATGAAAAAAAAAACGACACAGATGGCTAGATTGTATTGTATCTTGATAAAGGGGCAGGTTGCCTCGACAATTTGACAATTCGCTTGTCCTTACTGTTGCTATTACTTCATTGATCATTTACTAAATATAGACATATTCACAATGTTCATTTTTTACGATTCAGATGGATTACACAACGATGAACAGGAAAGGTATGTATTTACATTATAGTGTTTATTTGAAAATGATCACTGTATTCATTGCGATTTTGGCTTAGGACGCTTCTCAAGATATTTCTTCACGTTTTCATTAGCAGCCACCTTCTCGGAAAGACCTGGAAGAGTTTTGCTGTCACGAAACCTTTTGACTGAATTTTCACCGAACGTTACCGGGAGTTGGTCAAATATACTGAACACAGCTAGATCGGCGATTGTCATCTGTAAATAAAAACTCAAAATGGATAATTATTCATGTGGTATAAATCTGCCATGTACAAATATCTACTGCTTTCTCATAGTATAAAAAACAAGAAGTCTATAGCGCCCTCGTCGCACACTAGGATAGCTCAGCAATTTACGAAAATTACATTAAAATAATGCTTTAAATTTATAACTATATAACATAACTGTTCCGGCCCGTCTATCTCCAGAGGTCAGACCCACCGTTAACATATTTGAGTTCCTTAACCCAGGAATATCATATTTGGGGAAAAAAACTGTCATTCCTATAGAAGAGGGAAGGTTTAAAACATGGCGTCCTTTCCTTCTAAACTAGATCTCGGAGGAACAGGTCATCCGTTTAAACAAAAGTTGCATTTCTCCAACCACAGTTTTTTCTGACTGTATTCCACCACAATGTCATATGTACCGCTGTAGCTGACAGTGTATTATACAAGATATATGCATCTTGCACGAGCACAGGTGATGGTAAAAATGTAGTATATCTCGTACATACACAGGCGTTATTAAGTCTGTGGTATATCTTGCACATGTACCGGTGTTGTTAAGTCTGTGGTATATCTTGTATATGGTGTTGTTAAGTCTGTGGTATATCTTGTATATGGTGTTGTTAAGTCTGTGGTATATCTTGTATATGGTGTTGTTAAGTCTGTGGTATATCTTGTATATGTACCGGTGTTGTTAAGTCTGTGGTATATCTTGTATATGGTGTTGTTAAGTCTGTGGTATATCTTGTATATGGTGTTGTTAATGGTGTTGTTAAGTCTGTGGTATATCTTGTATATGTACCGGTGTTGTTAAGTCTGTGGTGTATCTTGTATATGGTGTTGTTAAGTCTGTGGTATATCTTGTATATGGTGTTGTTAAGTCTGTGGTATATCTTGTATATGTAGCGGTGTTGTTAAGTCTGTGGTATATCTTGTATATGGTGTTGTTAAGTCTGTGGTATATCTTGTATATGTACCGGTGTTGTTATGTCTGTGGTGTATCTTGTATATGGTGTTGTTAAGTCTGTGGTATATCTTGTATATGGTGTTGTTAAGTCTGTGGTATATCTTGTATATGTACCGGTGTTGTTAAGTCTATGGTATATCTTGTATATGTAGCGGTGTTGTTAAGTCTGTGGTATATCTTGTATATGGTGTTGTTAAGTCTGTGGTATATCTTGTATATGTACCGGTGTTGTTATGTCTGTGGTGTATCTTGTATATGGTGTTGTTAAGTCTGTGGTATATCTTGTATATGGTGTTGTTAAGTCTGTGGTGTATCTTGTATATGTACCGGTGTTGTTAAGTCTGTGGTATATCTTGTATATGGTGTTGTTAAGTCTGTGGTATATCTTGTATATGGTGTTGTTAAGTCTGTGGTATATCTTGTATATGGTGTTGTTAAGTCTGTGGTATATCTTGTATATGGTTTGTTAAATCCGTGGTATATCTGGTATATGGTGTTGTTAAGTCTGTGGTATATCTTGTATATGGTGTTGTTAAGTCTGTGGTATATCTTGTATATGTACCGGTGTTGTTAAGTCTGTGGTATATATTGTATATGTACCGGTGTTGTTAAGTCTGTGGTATATCTTGTATATGGTGTTGTTAAATCTGTGGTATATCTTGTATATGTACCGGTGTTGTTAAGTCTGTGGTATATCTTGTATATGTAGCGGTGTTGTTAAGTCTGTGGTGTATCTTGTATATGTACCGGTGTTGTTAAGTCTGTAGTGTATCTTTTACATGGTGTTGTTAAGTCTGTGGTATATCTTGTATATGTACCGGTGTTGTTAAGTCTGTGGTATATCTTGTATATGGTGTTGTTAAGTCTGTGGTGTATCTTGTATATGTACCGGTGTTGTTAAGTCTGTGGTATATCTTGTATATGGTGTTGTTAAGTCTGTGGTATATCTTGTATATGGTGTTGTTAAATCTGTGGTATATCTTATATATGTACCGGTGTTGTTAAGTCTGTGGTATATCTTGTATATGTACCGGTGTTGTTAAGTCTGTGGTATATCTTGTATATGTACCGGTGTTGTTATGTCTGTGGTATATCTTGTATATGGTATTGTTAAGTCTGTGGTATATCTTGTATATGGTGTTGTTAAGTCTGTGGTGTATCTTGTATATGTACCGGTGTTGTTAAGTCTGTGGTATATCTTGAATATGTACCGGTGTTGTTAAGTCTGTGGTATATCTTGTATATGGTGTTGTTAAGTCTGTGGTGTATCTTGTATATGGTGTTGTTAAGTCTGTGGTATATCTTGTATATGTACCGGTGTTGTTAAGTCTGTAGTGTATCTTTTACATGGTGTTGTTAAGTCTGTGGTATATCTTGTATATGTACCGGTGTTGTTAAGTCTGTGGTATATCTTGTATATGGTGTTGTTAAGTCTGTGGTGTATCTTGTATATGTACCGGTGTTGTTAAGTCTGTGGTATATCTTGTATATGGTGTTGTTAAGTCTGTGGTATATCTTGTATATGGTGTTGTTAAATCTGTGGTATATCTTATATATGTACCGGTGTTGTTAAGTCTGTGGTATATCTTGTATATGTACCGGTGTTGTTAAGTCTGTGGTATATCTTGTATATGTACCGGTGTTGTTAAGTCTGTGGTATATCTTGTATATGTACCGGTGTTGTTAAGTCTGTGGTGTATCTTGTATATGGTGTTCTTAAGTCTGTGGTATATCTTGTATATGGTGTTGTTAAATCTGTGGTATATCTTGTATATGTAGCGGTATTGTTAAGTCTGTGGTATATCTTGTATATGTACCGGTGTTGTTATGTCTGTGGTATATCTTGTATATGGTATTGTTAAGTCTGTGGTATATCTTGTATATGTACCGGTGTTGTTAAGTCTGTGGTATATCTTGTATATGGTGTTGTTAAGTCTGTGGTATATCTTTTATATGTAGTGGTGTTGTTAAGTCTGTGGTATATCTTGTATATGGTGTTGTTAAGTCTGTGGTATATCTTGTATATGGTGTTGTTAAGTCTGTGGTATATCTTGTATATTGTGTTGTTAAGTCTGTGGTATATCTTGTATATGTACCGGTGTTGTTAAGTCTGTGGTGTATCTTGTATATGGTGTTGTTAAGTCTGTGGTATATCTTGTATATGGTGTTGTTAAGTCTGTGGTATATCTTGTATATGTACCGGTGTTGTTAAGTCTATGGTATATCTTGTATATGTAGCGGTGTTGTTAAGTCTGTGGTATATCTTGTATATGGTGTTGTTAAGTCTGTGGTATATCTTGTATATGTACCGGTGTTGTTATGTCTGTGGTGTATCTTGTATATGGTGTTGTTAAGTCTGTGGTATATCTTGTATATGGTGTTGTTAAGTCTGTGGTGTATCTTGTATATGTACCGGTGTTGTTAAGTCTGTGGTATATCTTGTATATGGTGTTGTTAAGTCTGTGGTATATCTTGTATATGGTGTTGTTAAGTCTGTGGTATATCTTGTATATGGTGTTGTTAAGTCTGTGGTATATCTTGTATATGGTTTGTTAAATCTGTGGTATATCTGGTATATGGTGTTGTTAAGTCTGTGGTATATCTTGTATATGGTGTTGTTAAGTCTGTGGTATATCTTGTATATGTACCGGTGTTGTTAAGTCTGTGGTATATATTGTATATGTACCGGTGTTGTTAAGTCTGTGGTATATCTTGTATATGGTGTTGTTAAATCTGTGGTATATCTTGTATATGTACCGGTGTTGTTAAGTCTGTGGTATATCTTGTATATGTAGCGGTGTTGTTAAGTCTGTGGTATATCTTGTATATGTACCGGTGTTGTTAAGTCTGTAGTGTATCTTTTACATGGTGTTGTTAAGTCTGTGGTATATCTTGTATATGTACCGGTGTTGTTAAGTCTGTGGTATATCTTGTATATGGTGTTGTTAAGTCTGTGGTGTATCTTGTATATGTACCGGTGTTGTTAAGTCTGTGGTATATCTTGTATATGGTGTTGTTAAGTCTGTGGTATATCTTGTATATGGTGTTGTTAAATCTGTGGTATATCTTATATATGTACCGGTGTTGTTAAGTCTGTGGTATATCTTGTATATGTACCGGTGTTGTTAAGTCTGTGGTATATCTTGTATATGTACCGGTGTTGTTATGTCTGTGGTATATCTTGTATATGGTATTGTTAAGTCTGTGGTATATCTTGTATATGGTGTTGTTAAGTCTGTGGTGTATCTTGTATATGTACCGGTGTTGTTAAGTCTGTGGTATATCTTGTATATGTTGTAAGTCTGTGTTATCTTGTATATGGTGTTGTTAAGTCTGTGGGTATCTTGTATATGGTGTTGTTAATCTGTGGTATATCTTGTATATGTACCGGTGTTGTTAAGTCTGTGGTATATCTTGTATATGGTGTTGTTAAGTCTGTGGTATATCTTGTATATGTACGGTGTTGTTAAGTCGGTGTTGTTAAGTCTGTGGTATATCTTGTATATGTATCCGGTGTTGTTAAGTCTGTGGTATATCTTGTATATGGTGTTGTTAAGTCTGTGGTATATCTTGTATATGTGGTGTTGTTAAGTCTGTGGTATATCTTGTATATGTACCGGTGTTGTTAAGTATATGGTGTTGTTAAGTCTGTGGTATATCTTGTATATGGTGTTGTTAAGTCTGTGGTATATCTTGTATATGTAGAGGTGTTGTTAAGTCTGTGGTATATCTTGTATATGTAGCGGCGTTGTTAAGTCTGTGGTATATCTTGTATATGGTGTTGTTAAGTCTGTGGTATATCTTGTATATGTACCGGTGTTGTTAAGTCTGTGGTATATCTTGTATATGGTGTTGTTAAGTCTGTGGTATATCTTGTATATGTACCGGTGTTGTTAAGTCTGTGGTATATCTTGTATATGTGTTGTTAAGTCTGTGGTATATCTTGTATATGGTGTTGTTAAGTCTGTGGTATATCTTGTATATGGTGTTGTTAAGTCTGTGGTATATCTTGTATATGTACCGGTGTTGTTAAGTCTGTGGTATATCTTGTATATAGTGTTGTTAAGTCTGTGGTATATCTTGTATATGGTGTTGTTAAGTCTGTGGTATATCTTGTATATGTACCGGTGTTGTTAAGTCTGTGGTATATCTTGTATATGTACCGGTGTTGTTAAGTCTGTGGTATATCTTGTATATGGTGTTGTTAAGTCTGTGGTATATCTTGTATATGTTGTTGTTAAGTCTGTGGTATATCTTGTATATGTAGTCTGTGGTATATCTTGTATATGGTGGTTGTTGTATATCTTGTATATGGTGTTGTCTGTGGTATATCTTGTATATGGTGTTGTTAAGTCTGTGGTATATCTTGTATATGGTGTTGTTAAGTCTGTGGTATATCTTTTATATGTAGTGGTGTTGTTAAGTCTGTGGTATATCTTGTATATGTACCGGTGTTGTTAAGTCTGTGGTATATCTTATATATAGTGTTGTTAAGTCTGTGGTATATCTTGTATATGTACCGGTGTTGTTAAGTCTGTGGTATATCTTGTATATAGTGTTGTTAAGTCTGTGGTATATCTTGTATATGTACCGGTGTTGTTAAGTCTGTGGTGTATATGTATATCTTGTATATCTTGGTGTTGTTAAGTCTGTGGTATATCTTGTATATACCGGTGTTGTTAAGTCTGTGGTATATCTTGGTGTTGTTAAGTCTGTGGTATATCTTGTATATGGTGTTGTTAAGTCTGTGGTATATCTTGTATATGGTGTTGTTAAGTCTGTGGTATATCTTGTATATGGTGTTGTTAAGTCTGTGGTATATCTTGTACATGTACCGGTTTTTACTGAAGCTACGGTATATCTTGTCATGAGTTAGAAACGACTTATCACACTTTGATGAGAGAAACGATTTTTAATTGTCTTACCGCTGATCCAACCATCCATTCTTTTTTCCCTTTGATATTTTCGAAGTGTTCCACATATTTCGGAATAACCGTTTCTCCCAAAGCAGCTTTTAATTCATCCTAACGGACATAGAAAATAAATACCGTGAAGGGATCACAGATGTAAATAATTTCAATGTAGAAAAACATTGTATACAGCAGAATTTGAGTTGTTTAGAACTACAAGGTTTGTTTGAAGGTGTATTTGCCACATCGAGGTAACCATGTACTTTTGTTAAAAATTTAATAAAGTGATTAACCTTATTTAAGGTATTATTAACATAAATGTTGACAAAATAACTTACTGATTAAAGAAAAAAAGTTCACTTTACACCGACTGACAGATTTACGAACGATTCATTTAAATTCAGTTTGGTATGGATATATTAAGGCACTTTTAATACATGTAGGTGTAAATATTTTGTAAAATTCAAAATGTGAAACTAAAACAAAACGAACAAATACAGGTTTATATATGACATGCACAACACATTGTTAGTACACTTCATTCATTTTTACCTTCTTTTTCTCGTCCTTTTCAAAGAAAATTTTAATGAGGTCATTAAAAAGGTCATTTAAGGTTTCTAGTACAACGTCCACTTCGGTGTTTTCTTCAGGAGTTTTTCCATAGAGATCTAGAGTAAAGAGTGAAAATGATTACATAACTATTTCATTGGTTACCATCGGAACACACCATAATCGATCTAAAAATCGATGAACATCTACACAATGAACATTTCTATGTTTAAGTATATCATCTAATTCTGCTTTAAGACGTATGTACTGTGTAAGAATATAAATGATTTTGCATATACTATAAATACACATATAGACTATTTAAATTTGAGTGTTTCATGTGACAAGCCTCTATACGTACCAAGGTCACGGGCTACACAGCGAGCTATTGCACCGCTCTGAGGAAACGTCACCTTTTTACCTGCAGAGTATTCTACCTCCAGAATAGGGAGCTGACCCTGTGGCGTATCTGGGATAAAAATTGACAATAATTTGAAAACAAAATTAAGAGACAAACCACCGATATGGACCAGTAGTATATAAGATGAAGATTATACATTCATTCTATAGCGTTTCATATTTCAATTAGAAGACGTTTTGTCGATCAGGAAGAAAGGAAACGGAGAAAGAGCCCTATGCCAGTCAAAATAGATAGCACGCTCCAATAGCAAGTAACGCATACAAATTGTGACATTTTATGTTATCTCATTAAATACTTTTGTGGAGATAATGAGAATCGTTCTATAAAAGTTCCCGAACTGTAATTGTTAGGCCAATGTTTTAGACATAATGTGAATCGTGTTAATGAATATTTTCATCTGCTTTTGAATTATTATTATTTTTTGTTTTGTTTTATATGCGCGGTAATGTATATTACTAATATTTAATGCAAACCATTTAGTATACGTTCACAACAAAGACAAAGTGTAAATATAACTTGTTTCGAGAAGCTTGCTTGAACTTTTTTCCGGCTATTTACATAATGAGATGACGCCGACACATATATATTTCAGACTTACTTGGTTTCCGTTTTTGCCATTCTTCTGATGTCAGACGTACATCCTCGAAATCAGCCCCAGCAGCTGCCAATGCCAATCTGGTCACCTCGGCCCTTCCGGGAGATTCAAAATATATGACGGTATATTTCACCATGCTGTTCGACGTTGAATCAGTGTATGAGAGCAGGTATGTCTGTACAGCGAGCTTGATCTACAGTGGTGAGATTTAAGGTCGGGTCACTTATATAGTGCCGGCGAATGGGGGCACTATATGGAACGTCGACAGGGTATTAAATAGAGCGCGGTGATCAACAGCTAGGTGAACTGTATGAAGAAATGGTGTACACAGCCCTGTGGTGTTAAATGGATTCTAGTTGAGGTGCGTGCGTCGTGCGAGATCAATATAGCGTCAGTAGACCATAATAATAGTTATATACCTGGTATACAATAACTAGGTTTGTCTAGGTTTATTTCAATATTCACCTCTTCAACCATTACGAAGATTTATCGTTTGTGAATAAAAGTAAAATTGTGCAGAGAAGTAAAAAAAAAGATTCTGTTTGAGGGTGCACCATATCTTTTTGTTATTTAGATGTTTTAATGTTCTCGCATAGTGTTAATCAGTACCTTTTTCATCTGTGTTCTGCAAATAGAAGACTACAGTTTCACATAATTTCTACCATCTGTTTCTACACTGTACATATGATATATACCTTATCTGTATACATTTACGTACATGAAATATGAGCTTTCCTTTTTTGGTGTTCATTAAAAATTCTCTTGAACAGACAGTTTCACCTTCAAATGTTACGATTTGTGTAAATAGCCTTCCCGCTACAACACGTATTCACACCTTGATATGAAAGAATGCTACAGTTCAGGTCAACTTGTAGAACGTTATTTGTAATCGATAAAAAAGACGGTAAAAGTGAAAATTGCCTGATTAACTTGTAGTCAGACGATGAAGACCTTTTTGTCTGGTATATCGGCTATTATATACAATATAGAGAGCGTATCAAATAAGTTATGACAGTTGAACGCATTTTTCTTGGCGATTTCGTGACTCCAACGGAATCCATGTTGCTTGGTGTATGACTGAACGTTACCTTAGATAGTGAAAAATCGCTGTACGTTTACCTTTGTGGATTATCTGGTGACTGTTATAATCTTGACACAGGTGTGAAAACAATTTCATGGACTTTCTTCAGAAACGAAACGTTCACAAGTTGAAATCATGAAGATGAGAGAATTTCTTGTTGATAATATTTTCGTTGAATTGGCATATCCATTGGACCAAACTGTGCCTCTCTCGTGGCTGACTCGTGTTTGTTTCATACAAGGTTGAAAATATGTCACCAAGATCTTTCAAAGAAATTTACAAGAAATTAATAATGTCCATCGAGGAAACAACAAGAATTGAAAATCAAGAACATGACAAACTCTTCTATAACTGCCGCTTTCCTATACTTTTCTAAAGCCCACCAAAAGGGGCTGCTTTTCTGACGAAGCTGTAATATAACCTTGGTAATTTTGATTTTCACATTATTTAAATTTTCATTTTCTGGATAGAAACAACCTGCTTATGATGTTTACATGTCGAACTTTATGCGATATTCTTGGGGCTGTTCCTAATATATCCAGTGTCAAGTTGCCTTAATGTCGATATATATCAGAAAAACTCAAATGCGGGGTTTCAAGAGATGCAGATAATGGTGATTATAGGAAAGTTTTATGTTTGTTTCAATGATTGGCTATCTCCTTGCGCAATATTTAGTGTGACGTTTGCGATGTTTGTTAGTTTGGCTGTTGGTCCGGTGTTGACCCTGGTCTTATTTTTGGAACGTTACATTACTTAGATTGACCAAGGTTTACACTTGTCGTCGATCAAACAGAATACGCATACATTTAAACTTATCCCAATTTTATGCTTCCAGATATCTAGATGTGAATCTTCCCTTTCCTCATATTTTGCCCTTGTTTCGTCGATTGGAAATTTGATTTAAGATTCTGTCGGAATTTTCTATATATTTCAGACTGATTTGTACTTTATTTCTGTATCAATTACTAAGAACATGTATAGTTCTTTCATAAATTTTGATACTTCTTGTAGCACACAAAAGAAATATATATCTTGTTGGGAAGAAAAGCACGGCATCTTTACCAATGGTCCAACCATCCACTTTTCCTTCCCAAGAATTTCCGCGAAGATCTTCATGAACCTCGTTACTGTTTTACTTTGAAATGTCTTCATCAGTTCGGCCTGTAATTATGATCATACGCATTTATGCAAGATATATTTTGGATTGTGTAATTTTCCTTCAGTTGCCTCAGCGTAGTGAGATGACACATTCAAATGCATTTAAATAACACAGGATTTGAAAAGACGCAGGTTGATAAAAATCATGGTGTTACTGATGTCACTAAGAAATAGCTTATTTCATTGTTCGATATGAAGCTGGATGTTGTTCTCCTCGTATACATTTTAAGCAGTTTCTATGAAATTTTTCTTTTCTTCATATTTAGCCCTAGTTTTATTGAGTTCGGATTGATATTTTTCAAGTGTTTTTCAATACAGCTAATCATATAATACTAGTATTTTGTTAATAAGTAACATATCAAAAGTGTAAATTAAGTTGTACTTAGTGTAAAGCATCATACCTTTTTCGCTTCGTCTTTTTCAAAAAATCCTTTATACCTCTCTTGATCTAAGTCTTGAACAGTGTCAATGACTACATCAACTTGAGCCATTTTTAAGTTGGTTTCGCCATATAGATCTGCATTATTAATTTTTGAACTGTACTGTTGTCGTCATTAGTAGCAATGATAAACATATAGAATTGGTTAAGAAGATACCATACATTGTCTCCTTGATAGACAAAAAAATCCTTGTAATTGCTCAAGATCTTTCTCACGATATTAAACACTTATATTTATAAAGTGATATATCCTTTTTCTTCCTCATATATATGCATATTGCAACTACTGATTATCGGTCCCAGCAAGTGTTTGAACAACTCAAAACGGAATTCAAGCAATTTTTTCGAGTGACTACCGATCTGAACCAGCTTATTGACAATGCAAGTAGTTTGAAATTGGATAGCGGTAGGCAAGTGTCCACTGCTGAAAGGGGTTATCGGTTAACTAAAGTATCGACTGCTGACAATTGTGTTAAACCACTACGATGCAAAACCCAATGAATGGAAAATATGGTAGACCTACCAGTGGCTATCGCGGTCAACTTTGTCGACTACCACTGTTAGCTGGAGATCTTAGCCAGTATATAGGGGCTATCCTTACTTTGTTTGAGGCCCGGCCAAACCTCGAATTTAACTCGGACGTCCTCAAAATCTGTCACATGATTTTTAATATGTGTAGTCATCCATAATATAAAAACATTCCTGAATGTATAATCAATCCACCCTTTCGCAGTATTGATTACCTAGGTAACTGATGTTGCTTCTCAGTTAAAACTGGAGGATGAAATAAAACTTGAACGGAAATCAATTACAGTAGACTGAATAAGGCGTGATGGTGGATTAACTCTAACACTTAAGAGGCCGTAGTGGCAACATTCCTTCAACAACATTACCTGTGTAATCTGTGATTTCGAAGTAGTTCATTGCCCTAATTAGTTTTACTCATAGAGTGGTACTGTACAAGTACAATTTTATACTATTGTAAGTATTTTAGTTCCTCATGTGGTCTAATTCATATGTTTCAAGCTGTACTATTAAATGCATGTTATTATGTAAAGTAGGGATTTTGAAGTCATTTGATTAGTGATGTTGAAGTGTTCAATTACTGCTTTCTAGTACCTATATGAAGTAGGACAATTAAAGCTGATAGTGTCAGATATAAACCTGTCAAATCAACATTTAAGAATTGATGATGAACAAACAATATAACAGTTTTCAGAATGCTTCTGAAATGTTTCTTTAGACGATACTGTCTTCTGGTCATCGCATCCAACGAAGTACATACATTTTTAGTGTCTGTTTTTTCCTTATAAACGCGTTTAAGTGCTGTTGGGTATAAAATGCTTTTCTAACCAGTTAGCATTGTTCGTTGATGGCTCAACGCAACAGAACTATAAATATAAAAAATATAAAAATAATGACCACGAAAAGATGCACTTTTAGGAAAAAATAATACAAACCGGTGAAGACTTATTGTCATTATTTGCTGAGGAAGAAGTCATCGATATAACAAATACTGGGATGACGATGGGCTCCATATTTTGTAGTGAACGATATCAGGTCCTCTTGGCGTATTCTTGACACCATCATTTAGTTATTACTTGTAACATACTAGCGATGTTTTGTCTTTTTTATGAACATTCGTAATTCAATAAATGACAATTATCAGAAAACAACTTTTGTTATTTCTTCATAACCAAAGGGACTGCTGTGAAGTGTTCGTCGTTGTTGATGGACACCATCAAAACTGTCTTTAAAACAAATGTTAACCCTACCTTGGTGTTCCATTCAAACTTTATGCCACGATATGGAGTGATATGTTTGATATGTTACTGTGTTTATGAGAAAATGAAATAATTCCGAAATGATATATACAATAACTAGTATAGAGTGAAGTTGATAATGACTGTCATATTGTACTAATCTAAACACCTCGGTATGCATCCAAATGAAACAACAATGTTTATTAGATTTTTATGTGAGTGTTTTCAGTTTTATTTCCAGTGTTTTGATACAAAATACTAAGAACATTATTGGGAGATAAAGGCCATCGTCGAGCTATGTCATCGTCCTGAGTGTGTTGTTCTTTTCCTTCTGACGATAAGGGTCACGTGGTGATTTCTGCTTCGTGATTTCTCATTTCTGTTGTTTACACGCTTCTCGAATCGTAACCAACATGTGGACTACACTCTGAGGCAGTTTGCATCGGTACTTGAGTTTTTTTCATGCCAACATAAATTATATTATTGACCAACCAGATTGGAACTTTAAAGGTATAAAAAAATACACATATGAGCAGATTGACTAGATATTTTCATTGTAACAAATAACAGATAATCCGTTAAGGTAACATTGCAGGCAACCATACTGTTATTACATATTCCTAAATCTGGGTCCTTGTTTTTTTTTTTTTTTTTTTAGCTGTAACGAGATCTTGCCAAACAAACATAAATAATTTCATATATTGATTTGTTTCTATACATGTTTAGCAGCCAGTGACAACTATAATTCCAATATTATAAAACAGATATCTATTTCAATCATCACATTTACCTACTACATTTGTGACATGTTTGATACATGTTAGGAATAATGTCTCATTCAATATACCTAACCTAACCAAAACCAGTTGTGTGTTATTGGCTTATGAACTGCCAACGGTGTGGTAACATTACCAGTAATGTAAGCCTAAGTATAACAAGACAAAAAATAATAAAGAATGTTAAATAGAAGAACTGAAGAACTGATATATTGTAATTAGGCAATATGATTTACAAGTATATAAATGTAAACTCAACATTCAATTCGTTGAAGAAACTTAAGTTCGCTTGTTTATCAGATATCTCTTAAATGCCTGAATATTTATTTACTATTTTGTTATTTTAAACGTTAAAGAAATTCATACGGTCTATAGATTTGGCACACTTACAACAAACGTAAACATAAATATAGTGATGAGGGTATTTCATTGGTGAAATCGTCCACGGGAAATACCACCTAGATTTACAGGAAATGAAATGTTCTGATAATGATTTGAAAAGAAAAGTTCCACTATAACATCGAATTCAATATTCGGTAGTAGGACGGCGATCCAACCATGCCTTGATTCTTGGAACAGACCTCACTCGATCTGAATGTTTTTTTATCGTAGGACTCGCAGCATAAATATTATGTTTACTTGTGTCAGAATTCATCTTTTCCAAGTAGTCACACACACTGAACAATGCGATGTCAGCAAGCGTAAGCTGTAAGAATACACAATATTAACGTTAGAATACACTGACAACACTTTTAATGAGCACTGTAAATGTACAAATTAATCACGTTCGATTAAGTTTTGGAAAAAATATATATTACTAAAAAACAAGTCTAAATTAACTGTGGCAAACAAACATGGTAACTTTATTAGACATGATTGAAAGTATTATGTTAGTAAAAAACCACTTATGTCACCAAGAAACATCTTCTGTATAGTGAAATTGCAAATCTTAGAAGCCGCGAAAATGAATCAGTCTACAGTAGTTATATCTTCACAACCAACCTCACTCTTCCGGAACACCTGGTCTTATTCTCCTTGTACTTTTTAAGGAGTCTCCGCGTAAATCTTTCTTTTGTTCACATTTTGGCCTAGTGTTATGGAATCTGCGTTTGGTTTATGATTTTGTTGCCATGTTGGTATTTTCTTGATTTTGTTTTTGTTCCATACGGTGACATATAATTTTTCATTATTATTATATTTTCATACTCGACTGATATATGAGACAGGTTTCGCTTACTGAGCGTCTGATAATCGTGAAATCCTAACATAGAATCTCTTGTCGTAGACAGACAGGATACGTGAAAGAAGTCGTACTTACCTTTTGTGCAACCAACCAATCATTTTCTCCTAGCATTTCCGTGAAGATTTTAAAAAACCTCGGCACTGTTTCAGTTATAAATGTCTTCATCCTATCGGCCTGGAACATGATCGCATGTAAATGTTATTCAGATGTTGTTAAACGACCAATAAACTCACTGTAGCGATATATTATATTAATGATATATACTTCATGATTAGGTAAAATAAAAACGTCAAATGAATCGAAACATCTATAGACGAATAATACACATACCTTTTTTTCTTCGTCTTTTTCATAATATAATTTGATTATGTGAACCTCAAGATCCTGAAGAGTTCCAATAACTACGTCAACCATGGTGTTATCGATATTTGTTTCACCATAAAGACCTGCAATATACAGTTCATGTTTTGAGTTTTTTTTTCTTTACAATCACCAATCAACAATATATTTAAGGTACGATGTACATTAATAAACATGCATTGTACCGAAAATACCATTCCAAACGAACAAACAAGTGTCAAGGGAAGTTAATCAAGGACTGGGTTAATTGCTCATCAGTCAGGACGTCAAGGAAACTGTCAATGACATTTTTTCTATGATTAATTGATCTGCCCCACGAAAAACCTCAAACACATTTCTGTAACCACCTACCATCTCATTCTGATCTCTGGTACATTTCAGTGATATATAGAGGAACCTGTTCCCCAAAATATTGACTAAATCGGGAGCTAAGAACTGTCTTTAGTACTACATTTCAAGACTTCGCTGGATTAGCCTTTCTTACATATCCACCCAAACCGATGGGGTCAAATAGCTAATTATTAGCCTTTTGTACCAAAGGGGTCCTATTGAGTAAAAGGCACGTTGACTAGTCCCATCGGTGTTTTCTCCCATATTGATGAATATGCACCCAAATCCTGCTTAGACTTCACTGGTCGGCCATATTCTGCCATTCAGATCCATCACAGGACATGTCAGATCAATAATTACCTAAACACCTATCTATTAACATTGGTGCCCGAGCAACCAATCATTGGCGTCTCAACGTCACCTAACTCACAACTACTTATCGGTATTGAGGACTAGGCCACACCTTAATATATGAGGTAACCTGAGCGTGCAGCGATGTATAGTTTTTACCTACCCTCCCCCTCCGAAAAAAAGTTGCATCGGGTGTTGTCACATAGGTGGACAGAGTAGAGGGGACCCGTGGAAACAAAGCTCTCAGCTAAAATACCCCCTCCTCTCCTCCCAAAGAAAACAAATATCCGTTACAGTAATAATTTCTGTTTTCCGCTCCCCCTTCCCCTCTACTCACTGAGTTGCATAATTTGAAAATAATGCCAAAAGCATATCAGTACCATGTTTCCGAGCGACATAGCGAGCTATGGCCCGGCTTTGAGGAATTGTCTCGCCGTGGACCTCAAGAATTGGAAGTTTACCCTGTGGTGTATCTGTAACAGAAACATAGTTGTACTTTGAAAACATATCATAAGTGCATTAAACTTTATCAAAGCTAAAACAAAGGTATGACGAAAACCTCTAGGAATAGAACGTTACTTATATGAATTTTATCTTTTGTTTCATTTATCCCTTTGTATCACACACAATATATTGTGTTACCTATGATAACATTGCATTCAGTCAAGATCAAACGTCAACGTAAATGACAACTGACAGTACATATACTTGAATCCTACACCTCCTCCGATAGACAATTGACTATTCTGACCCGATATAAGATGACCACACACTTTCTGATGAAACATTTGAATCTTTTGATAGATAATATGGCTTGAAATGATTTAATCAAAAACTTTCTGAGAATAAGATGTTATGCTAGCAAGATCAGAAGCCTTTCTCCAGATCGACAGCATGGTGACTATACTTATTGTACAGAACACGAATAGTCCAGGATATTACATGTATACCTAAATATCGTATGATATTTCCAACCATTCAAAAATATAGATATGTTCATTTCACAATGTATCTATATGTGCCAGTGTCCACCTGTTTTAAACTGTTTATCAAATTACTGCTGTATGATCCAGTATATCTTTTGTCAATTTCTTTTCTGAGTTCTGCTGCCAGTGGCTACATGTCTGAGTCACTATGACAACTTTTATATCTAGCTGTCTGAGACACTATGTCGACTGCTGCTAGTGGCTACATGTCTGAGTCACTATGTCGACTGCTGCTAGTGGCTACATGTCTGAGTCACTATGACAACTGTTATCTCTAGCTGTCTGAGACACTATGTCGACTGCTGCCAGTGGCTACATGTCTGAGTCACTATGACAACTGTTATATCTAGCTGTCTGAGACACTATGTCGACTGCTGCCAGTGGCTACATGTCTGAGTCACTATGACAACTTTTATCTCTAGCTGTCTGAGACACTATGTCGACTGCTGCTAGTGGCTACATGTCTGAGTCACTATGTCGACTGCTGCTAGTGGCTGCATGTCTGAGTCACTATGACAACTGTTATCTCTAGCTGTCTGAGACACTATGTCGACTGCTGCCAGTGGCTACATGTCTGAGTCACTATGACAACTGTTATCTCTAGCTGTCTGAGTCACTATGTCGACTGCTGCCAGTGGCTACATGTCTGAGTCACTATGACAATTGTTACCTCTAGCTGTCTGAGACACTATGTCGACTGCTGCCAGTGGCTACATGTCTGAGTCACTATGACAACTGTTATCTCTAGCTGTCTAAGACACTATGTCGACTGCTGCTAGTGGCTACATGCCTGGGTTACTATGACAACTGTTATCTCTAGATGTCTGAACCACTATGTCGACTGCTGCTAATGACTACATGTCTGGGTTACTATGACAACTGTTATCTCTAGATGTCTAAACCACTATGTCGACTGCTGCTAATGGCTACATGTCTGGGTTACTATGACAACTGTTATCTCTAGCTTTCTGGGCCACTGTGTCGACTGCGGCTAGTGGCTACATGTCTGGGTTACTATGACAACTGTTATCTCTAGATGTCTGAACCACTATGTCGACTGCTGCTAATGGCTACATGTCTGGGTTACTATGACAACTATTATCTCTAGCTTTCTGAGCCACTATGTCGACTGCGGCTAGTGGCTAAATGTCTGAACAACTGATATACTTTGACTGCTATCTCCAGCTGTTTGAGCCAATATTACGACTGATTCTTGTGGCTACTTGACTGAACCATTATGACAAATGTTATTTGTGGCTAACAGTCTGAGCCACTCTACCGGCTACTATTATTGGTCATAGGCCAGATCTATAAAAGCCAACATTCTGGGCCACTTCGTCGACTCCTTTCAGTGACAACATGTCTGAAACCGTAATGACTGTTCTAACACGTGTTAATTAACACTTTCTTACTTGGTTTCAGCTCCAACCAATCCTCCTGTTTGATTCGGACATCTTCGAAGTCTACACCAGCAGCGAAAAAGGTCAGCCTGATCACTTCTGCTCCTCCTCTAGCATCAAAATATGTAAGTTTGTATGAAGGCATGTTACTTATTACTCGTATGTGCAACAGTTATGTTGGTATATACGTGTAACGTCGACGATTTCCGACTCAAATTGCCTACCTGGGTAAATTTGTAGGTCGTGCAATGTGGCTGTTACACATATAATTAACCAGTTGAAGTCACCTAAACCTTGTCAGCACACAGCCCATGACATTGAATCGTCCATCAAAAACTATCTACAGTGGTAAATTGTGGCTGAAACAAATCGGGAAAATGTGAAGCATAGCATGACAAATCAGTAACCACGCCGCTAGGAGCAGCTCTGTGTCAAAAACCAGCCATTATACTACATGTAGGTTTTGTAGTTAAGTAAGGTCACATAATGTACTCAAGTACAATTTTTAAATGTGCTTTGTGTTTTGTGTCGAAGGATATAGTTGATTGCGTTTCTCCTGTGTCTTTATAAATGAAGGCTCTTAAAGGCTGATGTGTAGTATTTAAGAGTGGTGTGTAGTATTGAAGGGTGAAGGGTAGCATTCAAGGATGTCATATAATATTTAAGAGTGGTATGTAGTATTGAAGGGTGGAGGGTAGCATTTAAGGATGTCATGTAATATTTAAGAGTGGTATGTAGTATTGAAGGGTGGAGGGTAGCATTTAAGGATGTCATGTAATATTTAAGAGTGGTATGTAGTATTGAAGGGTGGAGGGTAGCATTTAAGGATGTCATGTAATATTTAAGAGTGGTATGTAGTATTGAAGGGTGGAGGGTAGCATTTAAGGATGTCATGTAATATTTAAGAGTGGTATGTAGTATTGAAGGGTGGAGGGTAGCATTTAAGGATGTCATGTAATATTTAAGAGTGGTATGTAGTATTGAAGGGTGGAGGGTAGCATTTAAGGATGTCATGTAATATTTAAGAGTGGTATGTAGTATTGAAGGGTGGAGGGTAGCATTTAAGGATGTCATGTAATATTTAAGAGTGGCGTGTAGTATTGAAGGGTGTCCTGTATTGTAAAGAGTTTCTTTTGGTATTTACTAGTGTTGTGTGGTGATTAAGAGTGTCGTGTAGTATTTTAGAATGTATACTATTTAAGGATGTCGTGCAGTATGTCCGTTCACTGTATATTGACATCTGTATGAAAATGACCTTTGGGTTTTTCTTGCCTAGGAAACATTTAGATTGATTAATTCTGACGACGACGAAATCGCTGTAAATTGTCGTATATACTCGTATGTACTATAATTTGGCGTAGTGATGACATAAATACCAGTTGGGAGTTCATAGCTTTGACATACCTCCATCTAGTTTACATAGACCTGAATGGAAAACTGTTGGTAGAACGGGAATATTAGCTAATGGTGTCTTATGTTATTTGATGGTGTCGTGTGGTACAAGGATGGACCATTTCAAGGAATTGAAGAGGAAATTACGATCATTTAAGAAATAAATTACTAGATGGGAAATTTAAAATGTTTATATTTGCACAGTTCTCACATCTCGATATTAGCAATATATCTGTATCACCACTCTAGATTTATTTTTATAATACCAGAAGGGTTTATGCAAGTGTTTGCTGAGCCAGGTGAACCGACTGTCGGGTCAGGGCTCTCGAATATTTGTTGTACAACTGAGTATATGAACTACATATATGTCAATGCATTGTTTAAAAAAACGCCATTTGCATACGTCATATGGCATCAAGCGATAATGTTATATCTTTACACAGCTTTTGATGTTGGTAGTCCATTGAATATGAAACAATGAAAACAGAGATGTAATATTCACTTTGTAGACTCCTGCAACGAAAAATAAGAAGCAAAATATATTTTAGGATACATAATGAATGGCATTGACTGGGTCACGTCTCTTGGAATAAATTGACCTCTGTTCGTTTGAAATATAACATAACAAGAAAATAAAAAGTTTATGAAAGTTTATTTAAATTTCAAGATCTCTCATGGTTATGTCAAATGGATAATTACTTGCGCTCCAGAAATATTATGATTTGAGAACAATCTCTGTCATTCCAAATTGACTTTGCAACGGTTGTAACAGACAATGTATGAAAACGCTACCAGAAGCGTCGTTTTGTCATGTAAGTTTGAAGGTAGTAGATCGTGACGATACTTTTATTTATATACATATAAATCGAAAAAATTATTAACAATAAGGTAAATAAGACAAAGGCTGAAATTCTATGATAGGATTCACTATCTGCATTCAATAATCATGTAAAGCTCAGAGTTTGTCACGTGGTTGTTCTGAACAAATATCACGTGGAAAGGTCAATGATCTATGGCTTCATTCGTAGCATAGCAACGGTAACAATAAAACACAAATTGTAAATCTAACGGGTCTGAGTTTTGTTTATCAAGTGTTATTACAATAACATGGTAACCACAAGTTCAAAAATCAGAATCTGGACGGTTTGCCAACCAAGCCTTGACTTTTGGATGGGACTCCACTTTCTTAGCATGTGCTTCCAGTTTTTGATGTTTAGAAAAGATCTTATTGTCCTTAGCAAAGGCCTGAAAAGAGTTAAACACTGCCAGATCAGCAACCGTCATCTGAAAGAATAAAAATCATTATCTTTAGAACGACTTGAAATAGATAAATAAAATAAGATAGGGAACGAACACACATATTGCTTAAACACATTTCGAAATCCATCATCTGTATTCAATTCAAATATATAGGAGATTAATAAAAAAAACATGTAATATATATATGCGCGTGTAGCATATAATATTCAATTACGATACAATTGCGCTTAATTCAATGCATTGCTTTTAAGAAAAATCTTGCATGCAAAATGTACAAGTAGAAATCTTGTTTATTGATCCATGACACACTGAGAAGATTTGTTATCGAACGCACAAGAATTTAGGAAAAAAAATCATATATCGTAAGTGCAATGCATTTGATGTTACGCATCAATCTGAGAATATATTATTACAGGGAAGGTGGAACGGATGTTATAGCACAGTAAATTAAGATGAGAATGCAATTTTACAGGGATTGTTAGACGGATGTTACAGAGCAGTCGATCTAACCTGAGAATACATTAGTATTTTGTTTGTGGAACAATGGAAACTATTTAAATTTGAGTGAGAAATCATGGAAATCTGTTGTTGGCGAATACAAAATATAATGATCCGACGTGCAGTTCGGAATGATTAGTATTTAGAGTGCGAAAATAATGATCTTTTCACAGTAATAGAAAAACAAAATTGTTTAAAGGAAAAACATTTTTCTTGAAAATGAAAATATTTCGTTGTGCTTACCGCATCTCCAACCAGATACTCTTTGTTTGCAAGCATTTTCATGAATATATCCAAATACTTTGGCACTGTTTCCTCTAAGAGTTCCTTCATCAATTTGTCCTGGAAATTTCATTATACAAATCTATTACTTAGGTGTCTTTAACGTTCTCTAACAACAATACTTTGTCAATATATGAGAAACACTATGAATTGGTTCATTGTTTTACAAAAAACATGTTAGGTAAGTAAATATGTACGAATGGAAGTGAACAAAATTATACTAAAGTTTATATGAAGTACCTTGTCTTCCTTTGCAAACATCGCTTTGATCTTTTTCTCAGAAAATTCCTGAATAGTCTCTAGAACGACATCCACCTCTGTCATTTCGATGTCATTTTTTCCGTAAAGTTCTGTAAAATAAGACAATGATTTAACAAATTTATGTAGCTTGTAGATATGAATATATTAAAAATATTCTTTGTGAATACGAATGGCTGATATCATAATGCAGTTTACGAAGTTTGAATATTATAAGTGCTAATCTGACGAAACACAAAAAAATACACGGCAATTATAAACAAAAGCATATGGCCCTTCTAGCCATTGTCATGAATGCTGCAATAGTGATATTAAAACAAATGGCATGACAATGGTGGGAATGGATGATGACATGACAATGGTGGGAATGAATGGTGACATGACGATTGAAAGAATGTATGATGGCATGACAGCGATTGGGAGAATGAATGATGGCATGACAGCGGTGAGAATGGATGATGACATGACAATGTTGGGAATCGATGATGACATGACAATGGTGGGGATATATGATGGCATGACAATGTTGGGAATGGATGATGACAACAATGTTGGGAATATATGATGATAAGACAATGTTGGGAATCGATGATGACATGACAATGGTGGGAATATATGATGATATGACAATGGTGAGAATGAATGTGTATGGTGACATGACAATGTTGGGAATTGATGATGATATGACAATGGTGGGAATGAATGGTGACATGACGGTTGAAAGAATGTATGATGGCATGACAATGGTGAGAATGGATGATGACATGACAATGTTGGGAATATATGATGACATGACAATGTTGGGAATCGATGATGACATGACAATGGTGGGAATATATGATGACATGACAATGTTGGGAATCGATGATGACATGACAATGGTGGGAATATATGATGACATGACAATGTTGGGAATATATGATGATATGACAATGTTGGGAATGGATGATGACAACAATGTTGGGAATATATGATGATATGACAATGTTGGGAATGGATGATGACATGACAATGTTGGGAATATATGATGATATGACAATGGTGGGAATGAATGGTGACATGACAATGTTGGGAATATATGATGATATGACAATGATGGGAATGAATGGTGACATGACAATGTTGGGAATTGATGATGATATGACAATGGTGGGAATGAATGGTGACATGAAGGTTGAGAGAATGAATGATGACAAGACGATTGAGAGAATGAATGATGACATGACAATGGTGGGAATAGATGATAACAAGACGTTGGTGGTAATGGATGGTAACCTGACGATGTAGGGAATGGTTGAAAAACGAATACCTTGCAAAATCCTTTAATTTCATTTTCAGATATATTGGTGATGTCTTGTCTTTAAATAGAATGAAATTAATTCACTATATCAGTCGCATATACCCACCTAATTAAGAAATAAAGTGAGCGGAAAACTCTTCTATATCGGCCACTCACCTCGATCTTTTTCTTAAATGAAAGCTTACGGAACAGCTTTCACCAAGATGTATGATAAGGATAATGATTTTAATGTCCTTATTGTAAATGCTCCATTCCTATAAAGAAAAGAAATCCATACATCCCCAATATCTAAAATGTTTACATGTCCAAGTCAACTCAATAGTCAAGTGTCTTATTTCACTATTACATTTGTCGTGCAACATGAGTTTCAAAATATGCAGGTTGTTGAAAATTATGTGGAAGTTCTACGGCCGACATAATGATCTAATTTGGAAATATTGGGAAAAATTCTGTTTCCTTCCGCGATATGAAGTTAAATGTTCTTTAATATGGATTAACCAAGGTTTACATTCAGGTTGTCGTCGATGAAGCAGAAAAAACTTACTTTTTCAGGAGTCTCCGCATGATCATTTTTGTTCACATTTTTTCCTAGTGCTATTGAATTTGAGTCTGGATTTTGATTCTTTTGACATATTTTTTTCTTTGGTGTGTGGTGTTTGTAGGCAAAATAAGACAATTGAATTCTTGAATATTTACCTTATACTCTCAGGATTTATGATTATATTTTGTAGGTTGGGTGGTATTGAGATATTGAGAAAATGTAAGAAATCGTAATATTGTAACATGTACTTGATTGTATTATAGATTTACTTACTGGTTGCACGGGCAATTTCGCGTATTATAGCACCGCTTTGACCAATCATCCTGTCGTCGACTTCCAGGATAGGGAGCATTCCCTGTGGTGTATCTTCAATAGAAACAGATTTGTCCAGGAATAACCGAGCTATTCCACATGCTTCAACTAGTATGTAAACTAATATATCAAAATTTGTAATTGTTCATTAGAGAGGGAAATTGATTGAAGGAGTGACAAAAAAATCTGTAAATATCTATGTTGCATTTTTCTTCCATGAAAAATGGATCTCCAAATCAACGTTGCCAAATTCACCCAAGACTTTTTCAATAATGAGAGGATGTAGCGTTTATTGTGTTTCTATCAAAATCTAAAGGGTAAAACTAATGTAAAGTTCTCAAAAAGAATACCGGAAAAGCCGCAATAACTTTAGCATTATCTAGCTGCGTAAACCTATACATATAATCTAAGGTCGTTTACACACCTCATACCGAATAATTGTGCAAGCCTAAACTTGATATCGCGGACTAGGTATCACCGTCACTCACAGGAAAACATTCATAATCACATGCAGTAATAGCCAAACGTTATGGCAAGGTATGAAAACAAAATGAACGCCAAAATAAATTGTATTGATTCATGTTTGACCTTTGCCCGACCATTACATTGACTTATGATATAACTTTAAAATCAATCAAATTAATCTTAAAATATTTGCAATATTAGGTAAAACTATTTGTTATAGGTATTTTTTCATTCAAGAACGTGATACTGCTTACTTGGAAATACCAAAATGTACATATTGGGGTCGTCGAAGGAGACGCTTTCCTTTCTGGAACACCTTGTCTTATTACTTTTCAGGGTTTTCCGTGAAATATGTTTTGTTTCAAAATTTGAGTTAGTTTCATAGAATTTGAGTTTGAATTAAGGTGCTGCTTAAATATCGGTATTCCTATGTTATTTTTGTATATCATTTTCATTTATTAAAAGTTTAAGCTGGTATTTTAGAATTAATCAGGAGACATAGACAAAAATTGTTGTTATTATGACTTGATACCTTACATATATTAATGCTGCATGATAAAAGAAAACGCTTCCAATTGGAAAAGTTTGCCTATGGTTATAATATATGCACGCTGTAAACGAGTTTTGACTAATTCTTTAAAACGTTTTCTTACTTGGTTTCAGTTTCTTCCATTCCTCAGATGACACTCTAACATCTTCGTACTTAACTCCACCTAGAGCAAAAGCCAGTCTGGACAATTCAGCTCGGCCTCGGACATTGAAATATGTAAGTTTGTATGTGGGCATGTTGCTTGCTATTCCTCCTTCTAGCGCAGACAAAATAACCAAATTCCCGTGTAAGGTACCACAGTATAGAGCGCTATGTCGATAAACCTAGCAGATAACAGGGTAAATAAGTAGACCGAAATCATTATAATAATTACAAAGAACAGAAAATAAATACATGTTATCAATTGTATCGTGACATAACAGCACGCACAGTCAAAGACAACGCTGTGTTGATAGTCTCAATATATCTAATTTACCTTTAGCTATTCAACATATGAATGGTGTAGATTTTAATCTCACATTGATCTGGAGAAACATTATACCCAGTCTAAAAAGTTTCAAAGCTAACGTCAGCATAAAGAACGAAATGTGAAATAGTCAAAGCAAAAACTTGGTAAATTTAAAGCTGCAAGTTGACGATCAAGGTCGTATTAGTACCACAGGACAGGAATATTATTAACATTTGCACGCAGGGAAAACATGACCAGAACAATTTGTACAAATTGCATTGTCATTCGATCGCGCATTGCAAGCAACATGCATTCTTAAAACAAGTCTTCTGTCTGTAAATGTCAACATTTTATAAATCAACCAGAAAGATGTCAGTATCGTTGGCGAAAAAACGATAACAGTTCATTTATTTTAGTTTTAATCAAATTATAATTGTCGGAGGACAGAAACATCGATAAGGAATATAAATATTGGTCACCCTGTGCTCATAGCCATTTATAACGACCATAAATGACAAGACAAGACAGTTCAATGCATTTTTTGTCATTGAACAAAATAAACTATATCAGAGATGATTGATTATTGTAAGAATCATGAAATATGTTTATAATCTACCTTTCGTTTAAGGAGGATATGTTAACTAGTTTGTTTTAGAAAGAGACTATAACAGAACGTGTAGATTATGTTTTTCTTCGATATCGGTGACTAACTGTAATGCCGTTCTATTTACCAAATGTTTGCATAACACTATGACATTGATTTTTGAAATCATTGCAGGAAGGTTATGAATATTTCCACTACATGTTGATGAGTTTTGACACAGCAATATATGCTTGTCATGTATTTATCCGTTGTGAGCATGCTTTCCTGTGCATTGACAATATGATGGGTGTTGTCACTGTTTACCATGTGGTACATAATTACCTTTTATGTTGTCTTTGTGTTGATATAGTAATGAATGGCAAATGTCTCTGTGTTGAGGCTGTCGTGTATAGTATCACTATGTGTTTACACCATGGTGGTGGTAGATGTTGTCTCTATGTTGAGACTGTGGTATATGTTGTCCTTGTATTCACATAGTAATGAATGCCAAATCTCTCTACGTTGAGGCTGTCGTATATAATGTCACTATGTGTTGACACCATGGTGGATGGTTGATGTTGTCTCTATGTTGTGACGGTGGTATATGCTGTCCTTGTGTTGACATAGTGGTATATATTGTCTTTGTGTGGAAGATTTTGTCTCTATGTTGACCTTGTATTAAATATTGTCTTTATGTTGACCCCATGACAGATATGTGTACATATTGTCTCTATGTTATATATTTTAAGATACGAATACAAGAGAACACATTGTACCCGGCTCTGTCTTACAGTGAACAGTCATTATTTTTCATTTTATTTAATGATATTTTCCAGCACAGTTTCCTTTATGGATCCTCTTCGCTGGACTCATAAAAGTTGCTATCATATTTATAAATTTAACATCCGGTTGTTATACGTATTGTCCCCTTGTTGTTGTTGTACTTTATTTCGTGTCAATTTGAGTAGTTATCCGGTTTGTTTTGAAGCTGTTTACTGTGTTTGCAGAGACTATGTGATCAGGCAAACTGTTTCATACGGCTGTTCCGATAGGGAATGGATTTTTCAGTAGTGATGGTATAGCATTAACTACGTACGTATGTATTGATTTCAGTAGGGGAAAGACGTTACTGTTTTTCACCTTTTGTATCGTGGGGATTTTCCACTACCTGTGTAAAGTAGGCAAACATGTACACACAGATACAGGTAGAAGCGCTGGTGAATTGTAGATTCACAAGGTTCATAAGGTTAGGATGATATACAGATCCCGTCAAACAGGTAATATGATACTATTTACACATACTCAGTATACAAGTAAACGGACGACATATATATACGAACCCCCTACCCCCCAGGTGAAGCAAACAGATTTAGATATAAACACCGAAGGTACAAGGTACGAATCAGTTTACCTGATAAGAAATTTTACGAGCTTGAAACAATAGATATGATATATTTATAATTAGTTTAATCGGTAACGATACATTGATATCATGAGCTCTTCATGGCTTTGATAGGGGTGCCGGGGTCTTACAGGTGATGAAAAACACCTTTGCCGGCTAGTTCAGCGCATCGACCCCGTTTGCCATGATGATCGGCAAGCGTTCTATCAACCGAAAAAAAAACGACCACCCTCCGCTCCTCCCATTCTCGCCATGGTGTTGACAGCCCAAATAAACTGTCATCTCAAAGATAATCACATCAGTGTTTTCAAATACACGTACAATGAAACATGAAAGGAATGACAATATCTGCTGATTAACCATACAAACACTTAATCCCTTTTTTATCGTGTGTGTTACTATATATACAATAAAATTCAATGATAAAGCATTTTCTATCACTGATTCTGTACCAGTTTAGAGTAACGAAATAAAGTGATAATTACGGAGGGACATACATGATGACGGCTTTACTATAATCATTGTGTTTACAATAATATAGAAAATGTAAATGTCTCGTCTTAAATCAGAACTGATAGTGGGAAAACGAATTAAACATGCTTCCCTACAATCATTCATCTATACATATATATAAACGCATACCTGCAACATTTTTATAGATAGAGGACAAATTACATTTGTCAAACGTTTCATGTGCAATAGATTTGTTGGTATGAATAAATGAATTTAGGGTTCTTTTTACACACAGTGTTTATTTTGTTTTCTTAAGTAACACCAATACGTTTACTCAAGTTCTATTTCAAGATAGCAGCAATACTGATAAAACAACCTGTGATGCTGCCATTATGCTGTTGGTTTCAAGAGCTTATTGTCTTATCTTACTTTCTTCATCGATATGGATTGGGAAGTGTTTTATGGTCGTTCGTATGTCTGGTGGCTCCGTTGTTTTTAATTTTTGGTGATGTGACATTACTTGGATTAACCACAGTTATGTGGCAACTGTTATCATTGACACAGAAAATGGAAAGGCTCGTCTTGTTTACCTTGTGCTTTTTCAGAAGTCTCCACAAATACCTCTCTTCTGTTCATATTTGGTACATATTTCATCTAATCTGAGTTTGAATTAGGATTCTGTTGACGTGTGGTTGGATGTTTTTTTTTTGTGTGTTAATTCATTCACATTTATATGACTCAGTTGTTGTAAACGTTTCAATATCAATGAATCTAAGACCGATTATTTATATGAATACGGAAGGGATTTTCAACACTTACTGATGAAGTTAATCATATGTTATATTTGTCATTTCTTCATATGTAGTATAATCAAAGTTCTTTAATAAGTTTCCAATGTATAATGGTAATAATAAATACAATAAAAATGATAACAATTAGATTATATAATTATACACCTCCATATCCATATCGTAATATGTATTTCCATCGACCTTGATTGTCTTAACTAGCCTTGCTCATTTCCAGGTTTTCGGTTATTTGCATTAATTTCCGACGAGTTCCAGGGGAACATAACAACTGCAAATAGTAACCTACTTCATTGTTCTGTATTAAATGTACGGAATTCCTGATCCTGATTGAGAAATACGTTTAGCATCATTAATAAGCTTATCTGAACTTTAACTCCATCTTACAACATGGATACAGAATAAGAGCCGAACTGTTCAGTACTGACAGTATGGTCAGTGAAAGCGAGACGACCGACTTTTTAATGTTTATATATTAGATTGGAACATATTGACACTTGTCCACTGATACCAATAAACCGGTTTCGTGAACTTTACTCTGCCACGTACGAAATTGTCCAGCGAGTAAAATCTTACAGCCCGAAAAGGAAGCATTGTACAGTCTACCTGACGAAGGAGACAAAATGCCGGCATATCGTTTGACTTATTTTGATGGCCGAGGACGGGGAGAAGCAATTAGACTTGCTTTAGCTGTAGCAGGACAGGAATATGAAGATATAAGGATAAAAGATAATGAGGAATGGGAGAAAGTTAAGTCAGGTAAACAAATGCTATTAATGCAACAAGATGGTTAACAAACATTATACCTATGTATCAACATTAATTTTCATGTTCCTTTTCAGTTAATAACGTTGCTTATATCAGGACAGTGACAGTATTTCCACAGAATCATATTGTTTGCATGTATTTGTTGGTCAAGGACCAGTAACTTTTAATACCTTAGGAAAGAAGGTATGCTATAGAAATAGGCGTGGCATTCAAATGTATATTATGTCCTGTATAGACCAAGTGTGAAATACGAGTACAGTATTCATGCTACGTGTACTATATTCATTTCTATAGTAGAGAGTAATGTCTAATGTCATTAACAAACAACCATGCCCTTTCCACATTACTTTGAGCGTAAGATGTCGAGAACTCTGTATTTATAAAAAATGCATTGTCCATATTTCATAAAGAATCGTTACAACTGAAGCGGAAAGAATGCACGTGCAATATATATATATATATATATATACTTTAATGATATAAATCATATCAACAAATAATCAATAAATCACTGTAAATATCAAAATGGAAAAATCAATAGATTCCGTTGACTAAGAAATTCTTGCGAATTTGCTAAGAATTTATATTTGATTTAACTTTTAATGATGGACAAAATAGATTGTTAAGGTGAAATTATGTGATATATCCGTGAGTATAAATGTTTAGGAGATAATGATCGATACTAAGAAAGGACTTAATACAGTATTCATCAGAATAAAGCATTCGGTGTCGAATTGCTTGAATTTTATCGAAGTAAAAAGAGAAATGCTCTGGTTTATAAAAGGCGAATTATGGATTATTATTCACAATAAAAAATATGCAAACATCTTTTTTTCGAAAAGGAGAAAACAGCATGAATAACTGCAAAGTAACGTTTTTTTCGCGTGCTGTGTTTTGAGAATTTCGCTATCGAAGTAAAAATCGCGAATATTAGTCGCCAAAAATTAATACAAAAAAATATCAAATTTGACTCCTTCCTCATTCTATCATGAAATGAATGAAATATTTTGTTGAAGATCTGTAACATGTTTGACTTGTATGACTTGGTCACCTTTATATGACGCCACTCAAGCTTTTGAATAACTTTGACAAACCTTCAGATTGCTATCTAAACAAAACACGAGAGACCTATTGAATTTGCAAGCTAATAATACTGGTTTATTTGTTTTGGTAGTGTTTGATGTACTAAGGTGTCAAATGTCACGCTGGTCTATGAACAAGTCACTACTGATCCCGGAAAAACGTTTCACAGTTATTTACCTGTCGTGGTAAAATTAACAATCGGGTATGGAAGTCCACTCGAAGTTTAAGTGAAGACCATGGGAATTGAATTTTACAATGCTGGGTCAGAAATCATTGTGAACATATTAAATACATTGTGCAAAAGACACATCTTTAAATACACAGTAAGAGTTAGATTAAGTAGTACTGAACAATGAATTAAACTGCATTATATATCGTATATATATCTGCATTATAATCTTTATAGGAATCGTCAGTGATGCTAAGGGTCTACATTTCGTTATTTTCATACATCAGATTATATCAAAACAACGTCAGGTATATATCTATATTCTGATCCGTTCTACTATTCGAATGAATTCCGAATATTCGAGTGAACATTGTTCAAATAGCAAAAGTTGGTAGAGTGAAAGTTAGTTAGTTTTACGTATTTTAATTGGTCACTAACAAATATATCTCTGATGGTTTCTAAAATGAAGGCGAACAAAACAACGCATTATCCAAGGTCAACAATTCAAAACGATAAAGGTAGTTTAGAAATATGAGTATTACCTACTCGGTTCAACGCCTTGGGGTATCTCTAGTAAACATCGTTCGCATCTTGATTACTCTATGATAATACCAAGTGTCTTAAATGAGGACCGGGGTAGTTCAACAACAATAATGACACGAATCCTTATATTAATGAGAAAATTATATTTATATTTCAATGGATTTACCCCTTCGGTAATATATAAGGAAGCAAGGATGAAATTGACAATAAATTGATTATAAACTATTTGAATGTTTAAATAACATGGTCATGATGTCATATTCTTATCCTTCCACGCTCAGCCTTGCCTTTATGCTTTATGATCTTACGACTTCAACAGTGGAGAAAATGGAGCGTATTATCAACAGATACCTCCGGAAGTGGTTGGGAGTTCCTCGAAGCTTTACGGCATTAGGCCTATACAGCAGGACAGCAAAACTCCAACTCCCTATCTCTTCACTCGTTGAAGAATTCAAGACAGCCAAGGCAGGAATCGTCATGACCTTGAAGGACTCCAGTGATGATGATTTACAATTAGCCGGCGTGGAAGTATGAACTGACAGGAAATGGTCAGCATCAGGAACAACTAAGAGCACCTCCTGGAGAAAGGCTGATGCGAAAGAAAGGCGTAGGATGGTCCAGAAGGAAATAAGAAATGGTGAGGAAGAACAAAGACATTCAAAGAAGTTGCATTGGGAGCCCAATGAACGTGGACAAGATGAGATGCACTTTCCTGGTCAAAAATCTGGAAGTTCCCGCAATTCCAATTGCAATTCCTCCTCCGGTCTGTGTATGACGTGCTATCAACACCAGCAAATCTCCACCGCAGTAACACCTGATTGCCGCCTGTGTGGACAGAGAGGAACATTACAGCACATTCTTACCTCTTGTCAGGTGGCCTTAACACAGGGAAGATATACATGGCGCCACAACCAAGTCTTAAGGGAGTTGGCAGATATTATAGGAAACGAAATGAAAGAATAAGGCCAGCCAACCAAGGTCCAGACATAAACAGATTAGGTTTGTGAAGGAAGGTGAGACACCAACATCCGCATCACCACAGAGAACTTCCGAAATTCTTTGTCAGGCAGGAGACTGGAAGCTGGCGGTAGACCTTAATCAGAGACTAACCTTTCCGGACATTGTACCAACCAACCTTCGGTCGGATATGGTTCTTTGGTCGTAGTTGAATGGTCATTATCATAGAGCTGAAAGTTCCATGGGAGGAACAATGCAGTGAATCACACGAATGGAAGAGAGGAAAGCACGAAGCATTGCTGATGGAGTGCGGGAAGAAAGGATGGCAGACTTGGAGAATGCTAGCTGCAGGGTAGTGTCGGGCAGGACCAAGAGAACAGCGGTGCAGAGGGTGATCAAGGCAGCAGAGAGATCTTCATGCTGGGTGTGGATGAAGAAAGTAACTGGACACCCACCACCGACTGGAAGTGACAGATCATCACTGTGGACCCCCAGCATGAGAGTGTACCGAGCTAGAGGTCGAAACACGCAATGAGGGATGGCCTCGGCTGAGGACGTAAGCGGTGAAGCAGCAGAAACAACTTAGCTATATTAAGATAATCACAGTTATTTCATTCAAGCGATAATTGATGTCAGATCTCATGATCCTACTATGAAGTCTGAGAAGATTATATTAACGAATGAAAGAAGAAATGATCAATTTCTTTGAATTTATATATCGTTTTGATTAGAAATACAACCGAATTTATTTGATATATTCCTTTATTACTTTTATTTTTGTTTTTGTAGAAATGCCGCTGAATGCAGTGCCCATATTTTCTGTAGACGGAGAGACGATTTCACAAAGCACCGCGATTTTGCGATACATTGCTAGAGAATACAGTAAGATTGAATGTTAATCTGCAATACGTACAATAAATAAAAATTTGTTGGTCTGATAGTTAAATGATGCATATTGAAATTATTTAGATAACTTTTTTATCCTCTTTTTATATTGGACAAAGATGAAAATAAAAATAAAGGAAGCAAACAAACAAACGAAAATGTCGTAAACAGTTATTGGTGATAATGTGCATGAGAATATACATGTGTAAGCTATTGAAAACAAAAATCTGATGAATGCTGTATTTCTAGATCTGTATGGGGACGGAAACATGAATATGACTAAAGTAGACACACTTATTTCAACATACGAAGACTTTTTCGGCGAGATGATTAAACCATTTATGGAGCCAGATGAAGGAAAGAAGGTATGGTTCCATGAACAACCACAAAGCACCACAGTTTTATACATTTCAAATACTGATATTTTTCAAGATATGTATCTCTGAAACAACATGTTACAGGTACACTTTATGAAAACAGTAGTTCTTCCCCAACTAACAGTACAAAACACTGCTGCTGTTTCTGGTTTTCCTTGGTTCGGGTTGATACTGCATGATGTCGTGGAACATGTAAATATCTATATTGTGCTCTGATCTTATACATCTATAACAAACATATAAAAGTTATAAGGTTGTTTGTACCTAATTATTTCGTCTTATTTTCAAACGTTCCTGACTGCTCATTTAAACGTGTAATTAAATGTGAACTTGTTCTTGTAATTGTTTCATTACAGAAAGATATGACACAGACGTTGAAGGAGAAAACGGTTCCAAAATTTGTGAAATTTGTAGGTAAAATGTTGAGTGACAATGCGGAGAATAGCGGTTGGTTGGTAGGATCGAAGGTAAGGAATGACATATTCTCCAATAGTAAACAGGTTAAAATAATTTCATCGGTAGCACTCAGAGGTTTTCTTCTTTACTTTGTTTTTCTTTGTTTGGATTTTGTTTGGTTGTGTGTTTTTTGGGGTGGGGTGTTATGGTTTGTTTGTTTTCCATTCTTGTTGGCGCTCGAGTTAAGTTCTGACATTTTGGTTGTTCATATTATTTGTTTGTGTTATCTGTAATTGTATCCAGCGTCATAAGTTACTAAAACCCATTGAAAACGATGGTGATTTGGAGATGTCGTAATGATAAGAATGTGTTTATCAATAAGTATATATAATTGTATGCTCATTTTGAGAGACTATGATTTATTGTCGATCTTTTTCGACAGCTGACAGTCGCTGATATTGCCATATTCTGCATGTTTGGAGATGTCGAAGGAATGCTTGGTAAAGACACCGCAAAAGCCTTTCTGGAAGACAAGAATCTTGTCGCTCACAATGAAAGAGTTGCTTCCTTCCCTGCAATTAAGGAATGGATAGCAAAAAGACCACAATCACAGTGGTGATTTAAAATTATAAACATTTCAGATTTATACTCATTTTGTATAAATGATCGCAATTTCATTTGCAATACATTCTAGTGACAATAGCTGAATTTTATATTGCGACCTTTTGGTCAGTATATGTAACTAGGATAGTTAATAAATCGCATAATAAATCACCTCAAATTTACTCTATACCTTGTTTCAATTACCGATCTGTTGCATGTTTTATAAGTGCCAGTGGCTATTTACCAATGCTAGCTATCACTGCAATGTTCGACTTGCAGTACATTGATAAATCGAAAAATTGTATTCATTATCTAGGTCAATATCAATCAACGTGTAACGTGTTTCCTGGCAGTCTCAAACTACAAACCAATCAGCATTCATAGCTCGTTATTACAACGTCATTTTGGAACCATCTTGGCTTACGTCACAACGATTCTTTTAGTTTTCCAAAATAATTTATCGTAGCTTAACACTGATAGCTTGAACGAATAAAATTTTCTGAAAGCTCTTCAAATGAATTAAAAAATATACACAAACTACACGATACAATATATGTTTAATGCATACGGAATTAAAATAACATTGACATCACCAACCTGCAAAATAGATAACTGAAGAAATAAAAAGTTCTAACTGAAGACAACAATGCGCTGTTCATAGAACAGGTGCGCTTTTGATACCTAACTGAAGAGGCAATGTTCAGCTGATTTTAGAGTAGCTACTTAACACCAATGGATATGTATATTTGTAGCTAGCTGGGAGGAATCAACACACAATTCTTATCATACTTATCTGTACAGAAATTTGATTGACAATAGTTGCGGAAGGGTTCGTCTAACAGTTGTTTGATAGCTACTTCCATTGATTGACTTAGTGTAAGGTAGAAGAAAGGTTTATAAACGTACAACATCTTCGGTATTTGACCTATAACATTTTTCATACTGATTAATTAATCCATAATTTGTTAATGCATTTACTTTTTATAGTTTTGTCTCATATAATTAAAACATCATACCAAAATTATCAGCAGTAACAAGCTGGTCAGTTATCGTGAGACGATTTATATCAGTAATTGCCTTTATGAATTGGCAATTTAATTATCTGGACCCTGAAAAGTGAGACCAAGTTGCAGTCAGATTTAAAGCTGTAGTATCCTTATTAGCCATTATATTCGATACAAGAAACATTATAATTACAAACAAAATCACACAAGTAAAACATGACTGAAATAGACAATAACATGAGATCATGTCTTGATGAACTTTTTTTATCGCTAACTTATAGCCAATTTCCACATGTTTATTTTCGCGCTTGAAATATGTTATTTCATTGATATTCATGTAAATATAGAAAACGATATATAGAAAATCTAGCATGGTAAAAGACTAATACACTGCATTGCAGTCATGGAAAAAAGTTTGTTTTATAGATATGAAAATTTAATCCGGGGAATAAAAAACCAATCAAACAAACAAACAAGCAAAATACAAACGTACAAACAAAACAGGAAAATATCTACACGCCAACGTAATAAAATCATCATCGTACAGCTTGGTGGATAGCTGTTTATGTTCGTGTCGTTGTAGAAAATGACAGAGATAAGCGACTGACACAGAAAAGTCAGTCGTGTCCATGATATCAATTTCTGGTGGATATATACGACAGACGTGATCAATAAATTTCTTGTTATTTAAAGATAAAACGACATCAGTATATCTGTAAGTGAAATTAAACGACTTTGCAAGGATTTTGTGACCGGTTTTGATAAGCTCTTCGATATATTTAGCCTCGTATGAGAACAAAAACAAAAACAAGTCAGCTAACGGAGGGGCACAGTTCCCATAGGTATGAAAATAGTCTGTTGAAAGATCTTCTCACCAAACTCAACGAAGATGTTGCCAACCGGAAACTCGGTCAGTTTTATGATTTCATCCCCCACATATGTGTTCTTCGATTTGGACGTATATTTTAACGAAATATGTTTCAGTATATTTAGCAACCATGTGTGTGTTTGTACCACCGTTCACCTTTCTTGGGAAAATATCTCTCATAATCAGAGAACGAAGGCCTTCTTTCAATTTAGAATGGGTAATAGTAGTGTACATGGTGAAAGAAATAAAATGTTCTTATCAGAGAAATCTTTTAAGAAGAGGGGTTTGGCCCTAAGCTCTTCAGAGTTCTTCAAAATACAAACGCTATTAATCACACTTCTTGAATAAACACTATCACAATAACACTGTAACCTAAATTTGCTAGTGCTAATAATGGTAGTCAGCAGTTATGACAAAGGCGTGGTTGAACAGCTAGAAGAGCTAGCAATAAAACGTTGTTATTAGAACTCTTATTGAGGTCCGGAATCCACTGTGAACGGAGGAAGTCTGTATCCTTATCAATGATAAGCAATCTAAATGATATCAATACCGAAGCATGATTAGCCAGTATCTTCTTTTGCACGATGTATAGGCGGGGTTTCCTTCGTTACCAAGCAAGCCCAGCTCATTTCGTATACAGGAAATAAAACAATGTTGCAGACAAGGATCAAATCATTGGACGCAAAAATATAAATGTCATGTAAATCGAGAAATGTGGATTCAACATTAGGACCGAGGAACGCTGACATGTATTTTGGTTTCCTTTTATTTTTAAGCTCAAGATTATTTTAAGAATGATGAACCGAATGGATTTGATAAACTCAGAAACTGAATCCAACGCAATATCTTATCATCAAACCCATTCTATGGTATAATTTGTAACGGAACCCAGCTGAAATTCATATTCTAATTAACTGACGGGATTTCACGATATTTGGGACCTCTCATGAAAAGCTCTCGTAGCTTGACATGTATTAATAATGCTTAAATCACCAGTAACTATTTGCCCAGTTAGACCTAAAGTCACTATCATGCTTCATCAAAATTATCTGGGGTAACAGGACAGTGAAATACAAATCCTTTTGTTACAAGTAAGAGATTATCCCACTAACAATTAATCTCATTTGGATCTTTCCGAGAAATATTGCCGGAAGGATCATATCCAGGTATGAAAACATTAGGTTGTCATATTTAGTGACCATTAATCATGCAACACCACATCAATGTCCATTTGGTAAAGTTTTAAGATTTTTAATAGATAAATGAATAAATAGATATATAAGATTTGACCACGTGGAAACGTCATCTTCTAAGAATGAAATGAAAAAACGAGAGAGGAAGGTAAATGAAAAATTGATTGAAATAATAGCAATTGTTTTATTAAAACAACCTTCTAAAGAACACGAATAACCTTATTGAGAAACACACAGAATCACAAGGTTACATGAACACAATACAAGCACATGCTAGCCAGTTACCCTATATCACATAGCCTGTTATTTTTGAGGGGGTGTATTTTCGCTTTTTCGCGGTACTTTAACATGATCGCGAAAAATTTATCCGAGAAATAATCAAACACGCCAGTTTTTTAAGGCCTTTTACATTCAGATAGCGAGTTTTTAATTCGTTAAGATATCGACATTTCAAAAGAAAATCGTGTTTTGACCCGTGATTATCACCAGTTATAGAGCATTAGAATATACATATCAGTTTTCCTGCTCAGAGTTACTACTAATTGCAGTTCGCTATCGAAAATGCTTATTTCAAATCTGATTTTGAATAAAATCCAATAATACAAGTAACAATTAAGGGCGATCGGAGTGTACACTCTGTCATGTAATCACATTTAATGTCCATGTCCAGGTCAATAGTGTTACCCAATAGCGTGGTTTCATGTCTGTAACACTATGTAAGGAAAGTGAAGTCAACCGTGGAATTCGCCCTAACTGAAAGTCCTTTGCTAAGATTAGAATATACTGATACCCACTTCCACTTACTGTGGACTCGTCATTTGTATGTGATCTCCCGACACTTACATAATCGCATTGGTGTTCTAATGAGACAGTTGGAGAAGGAAAGTACGAGACAAGATGCCGCAGTATTGTTTGACTTATTTTGATGCAATGGGAAGAGCAGAGCCCATACGAATTGCACTAGTTGCAGCAGGACAACCATATATGGATAAAAGGATTACACAGGATGAATGTATAAAAAATAAAGCCTGGTAAGCGATATTTATTTGATAATGAAACAATACGATTTATATAACGATATACGGAGTAGTTTGATATCGGGTTTTATTACATTTTTGCTAGTGAAATATAGCAAACTATCACATGGAGTGAACAAACACATTTTTCTGAAAACTAACACTTCTGTAGACTTACACCAATGAAAAGAGAGAACATCAAATTGACAATGCATAAAACCCGGTACAAAAAATACAAAACCAGAAACCTGAAGGGTTTGGTGCACACTCGTGAAAGATACTAAAATATTAGAGACACTTGTTAAATATAGTTATTATTACTGAAGACACTCTTAAATATCCTCTATTTATTGTTCATTAATAATCTGTATACCAAGATTACAAATTAATAAATATTGATAATGCCTTTCCTGTTATGAAACTACTGCTCGGTGAAAAAAAATGCTGTAAAATGAAATGCGGTTGTATGAAGCGTAACACTGGGCGTGAACATGCCTTGTTAAGTTGGGAGGATACTGTGAGCATGTTGATTGTGATATACAACGACAGTGTCGTCAAGTTCTCCATTCATGTTAGACATGTTGTACCTATAATTATCCCCCACAAAGAGTTAATAATGAAACGGTTTACAGTGGTCGAAGAAAATATACGAATCAAACTAAATAGGTGTGTAAATATAACTATATAAGATTGAAGTTTTGTTTTATATATATCAATTCTTCGTATTGGTATCAATTAATAATTTATTCTTTAAATTCGAATGAATCACAAAAAGATACTTTGTATTTCATTTAACGAACATCTTTTGATGCTGATTAGATACATTCAGCACTAAACCACGGAATATTTTGTCGTTTACTCTCGTCCTGGAGTGTTTTTTTTCGTTTAGTACTGATGCTGAAGAATATTCCGTTGTTCGATGTTGATACTGTGGTTTATTTTGATGTTGTGAGGTAATGTTGCGTTGTTTGTCGTGTAGTGATAACGCTGAAGTTCGTTTGAAGCTTGAAGGTTACAACCTGGCATCGGCAGCTGATGCTGGTGTATTGGATGATGTTTTTAATGAAGCAGAGGACGTTTGTCCTTCAGGAACGCCAACTCGCATTCCTTATGTAAAACATATCTGCTCATGTTTTGTCATTTATTTAGCAGTTTCCATTTTTATTTCAATGATATGGCATTGATGTTTAATTTTAATTTATATTTTGTCGTTAGATGTCAGTTGGAGTAGTTGTATGACGAATATAATTTGTCGGGAAATGATATATGCAATAAACGTTGATTTTTTCTTCAATTGTTCGAGTCACGGCAACGTTTTCCTCGTATTCAGATTCGCCACAAGGCTCGCTGTCTATATTCACAGTAGACGGGGAAATGATTTCACAAAGTACAACTATCTTACGATATGTCGCTATGGAGCATAGTAAGTATGAAATGTAGCTGTTAAATTGTAAGTCATACATATAATTAACTAAAATTAAATAAGAAATAACCGTATCACGTAAATATAATTAAACTCAGAAAATCTTTTGAAAATAAATCTTTGATAGCAAGCGAAGCGATAGAACATAAATTATATTGCATTTTAAATTATGACCTATTGATGTCATCAAATGATTTGGTAAAGATAAACCAAAACTATCCTTTTCAATTCATGGTAATAACTGACAAACACGTTATAGTTCACACTTGGTTGAAAAAGACCTTGTAGGTGAAACTAAAATGTCAAAACAAAAACCTTTTAGTACAAATTTTGTTGACAAGGATCTTATAGCTTAAATTGGACTTCGAAAGACCTTATAGCCCGAATTATGTTGAAAAAAACTAGTGTTATTGTTGTCTGATTACGTGTGTAAACTAGTGTTATTGTTGTCTGGTAACGTGTGTAAACTGTTGTTATTGTTGTCTGGTAACGTGTGTAAACTGTTGTTATTGTTGTCTGGTTACGTGTGTAAACTAGTGTTATTGTTGTCATGTTACGTGTGTAAACAGTTGTTATTGTTGTCTGGTTACGTGGGTAAACTGTTGTTATTGTTGTCTGGTTACGTGTGTAAACTGTTGTTATTGTTGTCTGGTTACGTGTGTAAACTAGTGTTATTGTTGTCATGTTACGTGTGTAAACAGTTGTTATTGTTGTCTGGTTACGTGGGTAAACTGTTGTTATTGTTGTCTGGTTACGTGTGTAAACTGTCGTTATTGTTGTCTGGTTACGTGTGTAAATAATAATAATAATAAAAATAATATACAACATTTATATAGGCACTATCTATTTTGACAAAATACTCTAATGCTCTTCACAATTACATAATAATCTTACTACAAAATTTATAGAACATGTATAACACAGTAATCAACATAGGTAACACAGTAACCAAATCAAGTAAGTAGTGGTGAAAGTATGTATATACAGGACGTCTGCGTGAGAGTCTAAAATGCAGACGTAAACAGGTGGGTTTTAATATCCCTCTTGAATTTGGCCAGTGATTTTGACTTTCTAGTAGCAGATGGTAAGCTGTCCCACAAAGTGGCCGCTACCTTTCCAAAGCACCGATTACCATAAGTCACAGTCCGAGAGTTTGGAACGCACAACAAGGATTCTGTCTCCGATCGTAGTGATCGTGACGGCCGATAAACGGTGACAAGTTCCTGCAAATACTCAGGAGCTGTTCCATTTATTGCCTTGTATGTATACATCAAAATCTTGTGCTGTGACCGGAATCGCACGGGCAGCCAATGCAATAAGTAAAGGACTGGTGTAAACTGTTGTTATTGTTGTCATGTTACGTGTGTAACTGTTGTTATTGTTGTCTGGTAACGTGTGTAAACTATTGTTATTATTGTCTGGTAACGTGTGTAAACTGTTGTTATAGTCTGGTAACGTGTGTAAACTGTTGTTATTATTGTCTGGTTACGTGTGTAAACTGTTGTTATTGTTGTCTGGTTATGTGTATAAACTATCGTTATTGTTGTCTCGTTACGTGTGCAAACTATGTTATTGTTGCTTGGTTACGCCTATAAACTGTTGTTGTTCCGTTACGTGTGTTGCTCATGCGTATTTATTTTATAACAGAAAGAAATGGTGGCGGCAGTAGGTGATGAATAGGTCCCTAAATTTGTGAAAATTGTCGGTAAATTACTGGACAACAAGGGATGGTTAGTCGGAGATAAGGTAAGACTTCGAGTATGTTAAATCACTGGTTATCTAGTATATAAGTATATAACTGTTCCACTTCTGACACCAATGCTAAGTAAAATTAACAAAAGATAACACAAAACATCATTTGATCACTGCTTTTCGCTAATTTCTACTGCTGCATTCTGAACTTTTTTTGACTTGTATGGTTGGGAATTCAGCATGAATTCACTTTTTTCTATATAAATAATTTATCATTGACTTTGAAGAGATATATAAAATATATTTCACTCTTATGGCCTATTTAATCTATACAAATATTCACTTTCTCTACATTGGAAATTTCTGCAATATTGATAATTATGAAATTGATTAAAGTTTGGGGTTACTGCACATCCTCATATGGTATTTTTACCAATTATGATTTTCTTTATCTCTTCCAAGGCTTAAAGATAAGGTCCATGTCAACTAACATTTGTATGATGTCTAATTCATTATTTGTCTATGCAGCATTTGATTCTAGATTTGCAATAAACGGTGGAGCTAAACTGAAGCACAACTGTCGAAATCATGGGATCAGAACTAAAGTATTACGGTATCACATCGCTAAGAATCGTCAGGACATCGTCAGAACATCGGCGACAAAATCAGCAATTTCGGACAAAGAAATTTCAATATGCTCGAAAATTTCTGCCGTTTCGTGTAGTCGAAGCGAGCTAGGAGACTTCAACAGAAGTACCACGGTATGGCTTCGTTAATGTAGTTTAAGCAGTAGTCGCCCACCATATTTGATCGGCGAACTCCCATGATGGTATGGATGTGATACCGTGATGCCGAGGTGAGATGTACGACCATTCTTAGCGAGGTAATGCTATACTGCTACCGAACTGCTACGATTGTGCATTTTGGACAGTGCCTCTGAGGCGTGCATTGGGTTGGGGTGTATTCATCATGCTGACAACCATCTTAACATATTTATGATAAAGTAAAATCTAACATATTTTTGTGATTTTTTGTAATAAAACAAATTAAACTATGATTGTATATCTGCCTGACAGCTGACGGTTGCCGACATTGTTGTGTTCTACATGTTTGGAGCTGCAGAAAATTTGTATGGTAAGGACACAGCGAAAGCCTTTTTGGAGGACAAGAATTGGGTCGTTCACAGTGCCAAAGTTGCTGCTGTACCTGAGATAAAGGAATGGTTGCAGAACAACCCAAAACATCGTTTTAGTTACGTAAGATATATATATCTGATTACTGTTGGAGCTATTTTTTTCGAATCTAACTTGATCCGAGTGTAAAAGTCCTTGCATAAGGCAAAATGCATGTGAATGTCATGATTAAAAGTCTGATATCGTCTTATATTTTTTTTTTTTTTTCATTTTTGCAAATAGAAAAGTAGTTTTTATATATTACTGTCTAACCAAAAGTAAATAGATTTGTATTGCTTTAGATAAGCGACAGCCGTCTTAATCGAGGTCAAACAATATAATACCATTCTCTCAAAAGATAACTGGGATAATAGCGACGAAATCAAAAGGAAAACAAATTGTCATCAAACACGTCAAACTCCGTATTACTGCATATATAACATTAAAAAATAATTACCACTGTGTTTATTAAATTTCACCCCTCGGGTCGGATGTCAGATTATCTGTCAGCTGTCGACATCTCTAACGTAATTAGTGATTGGGGGAACTTTGATATCGAACCAATGGCTATTTGTTTACACAGTGGGTTTGAGGAGCAAGATTTTTTACTATAAAATAGAAAACATTAAATTTTTAACGAATTTTTTCGCTTCCATAAAACTAAAACTGTTCATCTATTTGTAGGAAATATGAATAACATCATGATGGATTTTGATTGTGACAGGAAACTGTTTTCGGCCATTATGAAGATGTCATTCATCTAACGTCTATATTTCCCAATGCAGTTCGTTTTTCTGTGGACGCTTAAGTAAATCAATGATGGCACGCTCTTTTTAAAATAAGTCTGAGGCTGAACTCTCCGTTTTTGTCATAAACTGGTGATGAAATAATCACCCTTGTCACACTGACACAGAGATCTAGATAATCGCTTATAGACATTGAAATATTTACCTTTCCTTCTAGATTAATGTAACGTAGGCACCACTTCCATTCCACTTCACAAAGGATATACGCTAAACATAGGTAATGACACCGTTATATATCGATGTGATGGATCTGGAAACAAAGATTAGATGTCAAAAATCAATTAAAATCTACTGGGCGTAGTATATCGATTCTTGATAGTGATAAATACTTTTCTTGATTCATAGTTTTCATTTTACACTTTTCCCATAGCGGCCCAATATCACTGTATGTATCCAACACTGCATCAACTTTAGCGGAAGCCCAGGAATCTTCATCATAGAGACCTGAGCGGTAGCAATAAAAATATCAACACTTTGAAATGACGAAATTAAAAATGACATATATACAGTAGTTATATCTTATAACGGTATATACAAAGAACACTAAATATCCTCTGTGAAATTCGTCTTGTAAAATATTGGTCCACCCAAAGTATTGCAACAACAACAACAACAACAACAACGACGACGACGACGACGACGACGACGACGACAACAACAACAACAACGACGACGACGTCGACAACAATAACAACAACAACGACGACGACGTCGACAACAATAACAACAACAACAACGACGACGACGACAACAACAACGACGTCGACAACAATAACAACAACGACGACGACGACAACAACAACAACGACGACGTTGACAACAATAACAACAACAACGACGACGACGACAACAACGACGACGTCGACAACAATAACAACAACAACGACGACGACGACGACAACAACAACGACGACGTCGACAACAATAACAACAACGACGACGACGACAACAAATGAAGCAATGACAGCATTATTTAATTCTGTTCTTTAGTTTTCATCAAACCGAAACATTCGGAAAACATCATTAACATTTTAAACATATTAGAGGATTATCATGTGCATTGCTAATTTTTGATATAACTAGAATGGATAGGGCATTAATAAATGGCTTAAGCTCAGGAGAGAAATTATCAACATCATTCAGGTGGGAGATTTATTCAGTTATTCAGTGTCTTTTGTAACCGTGAGTCTAATTTTAGGGTGAATAGTACCCACAATATCATGCAAATCAGAAATCCTCCACCATGCTTGAACAGCCATGAAAGACTACCCGTGGAAAAAAAATACATGCAACCTGTGCCGAGTTAATACCTGAACACTATCTTTGTATACGTGTTTTATTGAATGTGACATACAAGGGAATGGTTTTCATGTCAACTCACTTACCTTGATCTCGGACCAAATACTGTATAATTGTCACGCTCTGTGGTACGGAGAGTTGGTACTGGGGCAAGTCTATAAGTAGATGCATCTTGATTTCTTTTTCATAAACGAAGAGAAGCTATGTATATACGTAATAAAACAATTGAATAAGAAACGTAAGAGATGCAAATGTTTGGTAAGATAAAAGCAATGAACTTAGTGTGCATAAAACACACCTGGATTTAAACACACCCTGTTTTATCTTCAAAAAGTCGTCAACAGAGATCCGTTTGTCTTAGAAATCTTGACTGGCAGCACAAAGGGTCATTATAATTAGTTCGGCCCCGCCTCGAAGATTGAAATATATCAGTTTGTATCCAGGCATGTTTACTAATTTTTCCTGCTAAACCGCCCGTTGTCCCTCTTCGCCTACGATAGAGTGACCTCCCTTTAACAATAAAATGAAGCCCTGTACGTTATATGCAGAACGATCCTGCCTAATCAGCTGCATTCCCTAAGCTTTCTTCATTATTTATTTTTTGTGAAGTTTATACACATGTTGTTTTATTCTACATTTCAATCATTAAGAAAAATATATTCTTATTTAGTTGAAAAATATCTTTTGAAAATATCACTTGAAAAACAGCTTTCATAGTTGTAAACGCTGATCCATCGACCGTAGTCGTTCTGTTGACATAGACAGATCCCGCCTACTACACATGTGTATACACATACAAGCACGACGCCTGATGCATCTCAGAGGTGATATTCTAGGACGACGGTTAACAAGTGAGCCTCGGATACAACGAACGTTGTGGGCTTTCACCAATGACATTCTACTGGTCGCTGTAATCACACATACTACTAAAACAAAATCATGCCACTGCCTTGAAACTATAAAAGATGTGAAATAAATACAATTGCTTGTGAATGGTAGCTGATTAATTAGACACAATAAAGATACAACTGAGTAAGCTAGCACATTAAGAATATGCCAGGTATCGAAATACAAGCCTGCTTAGGGACTCGAAAGTGACGACCTCAGAGAAAACTCTTCGAGGAAAAAAGTATGATCATTTGTATATATATGGGAGATGACTATCTACAAAACAGTGATATTAGGATTGTTCATGTAGTATACAGTAGGTGTAATCTGAATGTGTATACTAAAAGGCAAACCAGTTATTCAAATTTATTCTGGAATATTTTTCCGGAAAATTACGAAAAAGAAATTCATATCGAATGAGTTCTGTATCGAAAGTGCACTAAGTGAATGAAGTAATTTATCACCGAGAATGTGTAATCTGGCTGATATCACACATGGACAGAAGATTCTAGTAAATTTTATCTACCTGTACCGCAGGGCTCCGGGGTGAAATTCTGTAACGACATCACTATCTCCGTTATGTTAATATGTATTGGTCAGGTAAGCATCAATGTTAGATACATTGTTTGACTCCTAGCAACATGACCAATGTAAATGATATTCTAAGCATGATTAAGACGTTAGGTTCGATTTAAGGAATAGTAAAATACAAAGGTGTTCGTGTGCTAGGTTTCTTCGATAGACATATCTAAGAAATATAGAAATAAATATTTACCTGGAATGTTAATTTATCGGAGGGTGAAACATACTTTACATCAATAAACTGTAAACTTATTACATTAAATGTCTGTGTTAATTTGAATATTGAAGTTTTGTACAAGATGTGACAATACTGATCCAGAACAATGACATCAAATCGACTCCTGACTTCATTAAATTGGTATCCAATAAAAATACATGTACACTCTTTCTCAAATTGCCAGTAGTCAGCCTCTCCTGGTGGGTGTTTTAGTTATATTAAATTCTAATCCTCACAGAGAGAGACATTTGCTTAATACGATATAACTAAATAAAAAAATGATTAAATTCAGTTATAGAGTTTCCAATCCTTCCGATTGGATTTTAGTTTCATCTCTTTCTTTTCCAATAGTTCACATTTAGCAACATTGAAGTGTTAAGAAGAGTAAAATGATAGTTTGTGCAGGTTTATTAATCACAAACGTACTGTACATTTATCTTTATATATAGATATAATAGACGTTATTCACAAGCGTTTGTCTTCTATACATTCTTAAGATACACTCAAACCGAACAGCAAATATTTTTCTTACTGTCCATTTAAGCTTGAAACGTCTCGGTAAGCATGACAATTCCATGTTTGAAACCACAATACGACAGTTTTTATTGCCATATATCTTTCACTATTTCAACAAACATTCAGCATAGATATATTCATTTATTCCTAGCCCATTTTACGAGGAATATATAGACTTTTTAGCAATGGTAGAAAATTAGATAAGAAATACTTGAGAGGGAAATTATGCTTTACTTGATGAATTGATTAATATTGACCTTTTACTTTGCTTATGGTTGACCGGGTGCCTAGTGACCGCTTTAGTTTCCTTCGGTTTTGTGGTTATATTCCCACAAAGCATCAGTATCACTAGCGGGTCCCCAAATATCCTAATTATATTTTATGTTTAGCTATAAGTTCGAAGACTTCCACAAATTCAAAACGTACTCTTCCTGAAGCTAACGGGTGATAAAGCAAGAAATAATTCACAGACTGCACAAACCGGCAATATCAGGATATTGTAATAAATACTTACCATTATTTTTAGACATTTATCCGTTTGAATAATGTCTTTGAACGTAACATGACATAGCAGGATTGCTTTAGATCCATCAATGAATCATGATAAAAAAAGATCCTCCATCGTTTTGATAACTTACTATAAGAAATGGTTCTCGTCTCGAATTTAAAAAAAAAATCCATAAAATTTGTCAGCTCCATCATTACAAAAAATGTTTACCTTTTCATCAAATAAATAATTGTCCGTTATTCTTTCTTCCTCTGTAGAACTGATTTATTTGTTTAAATTCCTGTTAGATAAAAATAATGACCCGGATTTTATCTTACTCTACAAATGCGCTATTTATATAATGCCAACATCCTGATATGACGTCATAACAACGAATGTTGAGAATGTGCACTTACTAACACCACGACATGGCCAGTGTAGGGCAAACAAAACACTCCTGTAGTAATATACACAAATAAAGTGTGTTATGTGTAGCAGCTTGTGGCGTGTTTGTCATCGTCTAGACGGACATAAACCGAAAAAAAAATATGCATATTGAAAGCATGTAAATTCTCCCGCCATCACCCTATAATTACATCTGGACAGGTGATATTCTATATGTAATTCTTTAATTCATTCATCTAAGATTGTTTAGATGCACTGCCGTTTTGCTATTAAACACTTGTACATCCGGGTTTTGCGTAAATATGACCTCCGTTATCATCACGCGCCCTGTGACCAACCCTCAGCCAATAGACGTTGTTTCCAAGAATAACACGTGTGCTCAATGCTCCATTCCTTTTTTGCATGTCACATCCGCCAGTTGAGGTTAAAGGTCATTAATATGTATAAAACAGGAATACAGGCATCGCTGATATCATTGCCTACACCAGCGTTTTAGTGAATCCACTAGTCACAAGATGCCAACCTACAAATTGCATTATTTCCCTATCCGAGCCAGAGGAGAGCTCATCAGGCTGATTTTCGCCGCAGCAGGGGAGACTTTTACAGATCAGATCATCACATTCGCAGATTGGCCATCAAAAAAATCAGGTACGGACTTTACCTTAATCATTTCATCAGTTTGTTTTCAGAAGATAATTTCGTGTGCCGATGGTTAAATGTTTTATTATCTTTTATAATAAATATTTGGAGAATTCTGTTCGCTTTACAACTCTGTCGATATGGAATATAATGGGAAATTGTGATAAAAATCAAGATACATTGCTGCTCTGCCTGCGTTTAAAAACACTTCAAATATGTCCGTGGTGTAGTACTTGCGTGGCAGTTTGAGTATTTATTTCCGTTGTAATACTACAGTTGTATGGGAAATGTTGGGATGTAATTTGTACATATAGGTGAATTACGTACCTATTTTGTTCGAGCTGTCGTGTTGTTTCCTGTTTTACTATCTGCAGTTGTCCATGTTTTCGATGCGTTTAATACATGAGCATTTATACGTGTACGTGAGAAAGTTAAATGTATTACAATACGTAAGTTATTTTGTAATTTTGAATATTTACGTAAATAGTAAAACTTCAAATATAAACATTTGACCTTCTTATCTTGAAAATGATTTAACTTATTCGAAAGAGATAAAACCCAAATCACAAGTAAAACTTGTCACTGAATCTGGACGAAAGCCAGAAGATAAATCAATCCAGTTTGTAATTGTAGTCGGATATCGATATCGCTGTTGTATAAAAAGGTCCGTTGCAGCATAGACGCGCTATCAGCTTGTACAAATAACAATAAAAAAGCTGAGTGTTAATAAATCAGTAAAAGGCGTAACCATGTGAAATATATGTGCATTTTGTCAACAGAGATGCCAACAGGCCAACTGCCGGTCCTTGAGGTCGATGGTGAAAAGCTGTGTCAGAGTCTCACGATTGTACGGTTCCTATCACGAGAGTTTGGTATGAACGATTTATTTTTAATCTATTATTCAGAAATATTAATCAATAATCAACTAATGGTTTTAATTAAAATGTTTATAGATTGTCAACATCTTACAAAATTTGCTTGATTTTTGTTTTTAATCTACAATTGCTATATTTCATTTTTAACATCTTCGATACTCCAGGGATTGCGATCACTATCACTCCCCGCACCCCTAGAACATTTCACGGCCAAATTGAAGGTAAAAGTGAAGTTATTTGATTTGTCTAGAGTGATTGATCACAGAATAAAGGAGCGATACCCAACTTCAAATCAAGTAAAACGAACCGTTATGCGACCACGAAAATTCTTTTGATGCACACAAAGGACCAAACAAGTCTTCTCGTCTTATCGCCATATAGTGTCGCACATGCAACTTTCCCATGAAGTGTTCTAGGGGTACAGAAAAATTTTGAGCGTTGGCCCTGGACTAACAATTATATCGAAATGGTGGCGGTTATAAAATGCAATTGTACATATGTTAATGTAATACATAAACTGTTATATCACGTTTACAAACAACAGGTTTGGCTGGAGAGAACAACTTTGAGCAGGCTAAGGCCGATCAGGTAGTCGACACCGTTGGGGATTTGTTGACAGAGTTCTTCAAGTATGCATTTGAGAAGGATGAGACGAAGAAGGTTAGATATGAATACTAACACTACTGGACCACACTCATCCTGATTTTAGCTAAAATACTCTACCTCTTAATTGTAGTCTGTCAAAACTATCAACGCTCCAAAATAGTTGCACTTGAAAGAATCAGACATAAGATCCTTCACTATCTATATTGCAAAATAATTTAAAATTCGTGGGGGATTATTTTTTGTTGATTCTATGGGTACTCTTCATCCACCTATTCGCATGTCCACGAAAATTAGGCCCAACGAAAATACATGCGCTTAAAGTAGCAGGTGTTTGCTATCATATTCAAGATCCATATCGTGTTTGCTTTGCAGGAGGAGCTGAAAAAGAAAACCTTCGATACCGTTCTATCAACATTTGCTACAAACGTGACCAAATTTCTTGATATGAACAAAACCAAGAGTGGTTACTTTGTTGGGAAAAAGGTATTTTTTTTGCTTCAAATAGATCTAATGAAATCAATAAAAGAAGATTACATATTACGCTTAAGTAGAACGACGATGAGGAAAACTATTATCTGATGTTTTAGGAAATATCTAAAAACAAAAGACATCTACTTTTCATAATTTACCAAATCAATATCCAAACGTATTACTTTGAGAGTGTAGACCTTTTTGTTATCCCGCAACCTCATCCAAATCTGTTATATGAAAACGTAGTTTTATACCGGCTACATAAAATGCTTATTAAGAGTGATGTTTGCTTGTAGTATTGTTGGAACCTTAAGGTTTTCTTGGGTAATTTTGCAGTTGACCGTTGCTGATTTGGCAGTGTATGAAGGGTTCGAGGATTTTCTGGTGGTGGACCCCAGCTCACTGGACAAATACCCTAAACTAGTTGCCCACAGGAAGCTGGTTTTATCTAATCCCAGAGTGAAAGCGTATCTGGACAAACGACCGAAAACCAATGTGTAGAACAGCGGTCATATATGCAATTGAAATAACTTCTTGGTCGAGATTGTCCTGATGTTATTCTTTGAATCCAAGTGGACCAAAGAAGAATTTAATAGTAGTAAACTTAGTGAAGAGAATCATGGCTCCTAACCTCTTGTCTTATTCAACCAGGAGAACAGGACATTAGCGTTGTCAGGGAATTACTATCTGTAACTAGTACATACGCATGTAAGTGTGGATTTAGATATTTTATCACCGTAAACAATGGCACAAGAGATCCACAACTGCTGTTTCATTTTTATGGAGTATTTTTGATTTTACATGTTTATTTTCGATCATACATTTACTTGTTTATTTTATTTTATTAAATAAGTTACTCAATACTGTCATTGTTATTGTATTATTGTAGCCACTCTACAAACTTTTACAAACTAGCCACAGGTTATTTTCGACATAGAAAATTCAGACGATTGAAAATGTCTAGCCTGTCTTCATCAACAGTCATCTTTCTCCGTGATGTACCTTTTCTGTCAGAATATTGTTTTGTGTTAAAAACTTATAGACTGGGAAAGCGCTACGTGATTATTGTACTTATATCAAAACACAGTTTAATCTAATATATTGAGGCGTTGTTTAAAACACTGCTTCTGGTTCAAACCATGTCGATTTCATCGTGCAGAAACTTCATGTAAATCACCATCATTTGATAGATAACTTTATATTTGTCTGTGTATTTCTGTTGACATATTACAAAACATTGTCGACGTGTGATCTTGGGATTTGTTTTTAAATATTGGGAAACTAGTTTCTGCCAGTGTTTGTAATAATGAATCACACTGAGGAAGAATCTGAGATCACAGATTTTACACACATATATATTCATATTCTGTAAAGGCTAACTCCAAATTGTCAATATGGGTACCCTTACAAATGGCATGAAAAATTCGACCACCATCCTATTTTATTGTTAAATAAGTAGCCATATGCTAATATGCTCATCAAGACCATTATAATGGTGTGGTTCAATCGATAGCAATCCGAAATATCGCAATACACTTCTTGCAATACATCTATATGACAAAAATCTTGTCATATATTCTATTCTCCGATAGAACGATGATATACAAGTCGATATTCCAACTTACATCGATACATGAAACATCCTTTCTCCTCTGCCAACAGGCACATCAGGGACTTCCATGAAAAACCTTGTATTAGATCGAATATTAAAATTTTCAAGTATTCTGATTTCATGAAGAGCGAATACCAAAGACGAAAAAACAACAAAATGAAAACAAAACAGGATTCAATGGTTTGGAACAAATCTTGACAATTTATCGACAGCCGCCTGAAATTATAAACAATGTCTCTCAAATAGATATTTATCAGGTGTCAACGTATACGATATTCCTGTTTCTGATTGTGACGCTGTTTGAAGTAACAGATTGTATGGTGTCATACCACACAAATGAAACGTCATGTTACTCAGTATGGATTTTACCCTTATTTTCCACGAAGAATATGGCCCTCGCTTTCATTTGACGTTCCTGTGACACAGATTTTTTTAAAATACGTTATCAATACGTTAATAATTGACATGAAAAATCATTTGATTAAGTCTCATATATGTGTATTTTTGGCATCTGTCTAAACAAACGAAGAACTCTCGGCTGATACAAGACTGTTTATCTAGTTACAGTACACAATGAAATAAACATAATATTTTCGGTCAAATTTAATAATTTCTTACTTTATGATGAAAATTCACCAGAGCATTTTCATTTTCTCTTTTCGTTGTGCTTCATCCTTACATTCAATGTGCTATCGGAATACATTTCCGAACATCACGACTATTAAAACTTAGGTCCTGATATTGTCGAAAAACAATAGATTTGTTGACTATATTCAGTATAAAGACATATGATGAGAACACGAGGTAAACCACACTGTTTGCCGATAACGAATGATAACCCATTGATGATTTAAAAGTTATCTCTGCAGTGACTATGAAATAATTTAGGATTTATCATAAGTAACATTTTGCTGTCAATGTTAAGTTCAAAGGCACACCTGCGGAGTTCAGTACGTAGTATCTTGGAAAATAGTGTCTTTGTGAACAAGTTCTCTGTATCACATTGTGTACTATATTGTTCAGTTAAAGGAAATATCTCATATCACATCATCTCATGCAAAAGAGGCTGCAGTGGTTCTTTTTGCAAATACGTACATCACATAATATAACATCTAGGAGTCTCTCTCCACATTTAATCCCCGTTTATATAAATTTGAGTGATATCTCACTTTTACAACCAATATTATTAATGAAAAGATCGTTTACTCTTATACCGCCATATACAAACACTAAGGATGGTAAGCTTTAGCTAGATACTTTGCAACGTAAATGTCAATATTAGCTTTTCGAAGTGATAAAATTAGTAAAATAACAGGATACACAATTGCTGTGTTGTTAATAGGCAGGGAATGAAAAACAAAGAGTACGTTTACTGTTGGCTTTAACATACTTCATGACAGGAAATATTGGTATAAATAGCCACGTATACATTATAAAAGAAAGAAAACTTAAAAGTCAGAGGTAAACTTCGACCATAAATCAGGGCTGCTGACGCGTACGTATAAATGTTTGTAGTTCCATGTTTAGACACTGACTGTTTTATGTTGTTTTTACCCTGTCCATAAACAGTGTTTTTCCATTCATCATACAGTTTTAACGATCCCGATATTGCCTTATATCCCCATCCTCTCCCCACCCCTATATTATTGACCTTAGTGCGTATTTCTTAGCATAAACCCCATTTGTTATAATACTATCATAATAATATTACATTATAATAATATTGCCATCCGAGATATTTAATTTCTGCAGTCCCCTAGTATGACTTTACAATACTGGAAATTTTTGAAGGGCCATTACTCTGCTAACAAGATTTCGATCGGGCCTTGCCGGGATCTGTTTTAAACGCAGCACCACGGAAAATAATCCAAGCCATGTTTTTTTTTTTTTTACTTCAAAAGGCTTTATGTTAATGATTGTACACTGGAACCGAATACAAGGTTTGAATACGGTAAGATTTCATCTCAATCTGTGAGCAAAGGCCACATTGAGCATTCACCACTAATACGCATGCCTAGTTCAAAGACATTGTGCTAATTAGAAAAAATAGGAGAGAAAATCTCCATTAGCAACAAATGAGACAGAGTTTTCTCCGACAACTACAGACTTTGACAGATAGAATTCGTATGTGATATGTCAAAATGTCAAAGTCCTGTGTCAGACCACAGGAAACTTGAGGTAAAGTAAATGGAAATATATGAATATTATCAAAAAGCATTTAAGTCACTTATTCATGCGACGAACATCAGAAAATATCGAGATGGGTTTTTTTTCTACGGACACTCTGGTAAGATTTCTACCTTGAAATAATTATTCCGGGTAACTTTTGCCATGTAGATTATTAACCCCGGATCGGTTTTAACTCTGGGTCACTTTTTGACGGTACACCGGCGTCGACCTCTGCTAACTGGACGTCCACTATTATAGTACTGCTTAATTAAGAATAGGATTAGAAATCACAAGCTTGTATTGTAAGTAGGTCAGACTACACTTATTGTATAAAACGTGAAATTTGAAACAATGAAACATGAAATTCCGTTGCCCAATAATTAATTCGCAGTCACTTTTGGGTCAGTAAAATGATAGTCCATGTCACGGGTCTGGATTTGAACCCCTTTGACGGCGGGCAAGTACAAGCACAAATATTTGAACAAGTTTCGTTATCACAAGGACTTATATACGTGTATCATAAGACCCGAATCACCAGTTGATCGCTACATCCATCACAGAACACTACACTGCAATCACCTATCGAACAAGATGCCATCTTACAAACTCATCTACTTTGCTGTCCGTGGAAGAGGCGAATTAATTCGTCTCACCCTCACAGCTGCCGGACAATCATTTGAAGAGGATCGCATTACGTTCGAAGACTGGCCTGCACTCAAGCCAAGTAAGTTTTAAATGGTACACATGTAATCCACAACACTTCACAACAGCTTCCCGTTCTTTAAGCTGTCTAAAACCAGGGGCAAACGTATCTGACATTCATAATTCAATAGTTAACTTTACATACCCATCAGGAATGCTGATCAATTGACGCAATCCAGTGCTAAAATATATTATATAACTTTTGTTTTCTCGCGTTTTCAAGGTCAAAATGGATTATAGATACCTATAGGGCTTCAATAAAGTAATGCGTCCAAAGAATTATGCTCCTCGTGTTAAATTTTAGGAATGCACTAAACAAAAGGACGTTTTATTATAAATTCCTCGGGGTCAATAAGTGTCACTTGCTTTTTACAAAGGTCACTCTCAGTGATGATATCTATTATGTCCTGTGTTAGCTCACTAAATCACACAAGGGTCAGGCAGAGATGTCTCGCAACGCCATGTTAACACAGAAAAGTTATCGTATATCACACATGCACTGAAGTCTTCGCCAGGAATAATTTAAGCTAGGGTCCGACATAGTTTTGATTTTCTACAGATAGGGGCTACTAATTGAGGTGTCAGGAAAGGTATAGAACTAGAGTAGACGGGAATCTGTCAGTGTGACAGGGTAATCCTCTTTTATTTTATAGGACATAGGATGGACAACTATCTATTTGGCATTGTGTAAAAACTGCCGAAAACTGTCGCTGCAGAGTTAGTCTTGCATGAGTATTGGGTAGTATGGTAGTATGTATTATTTACTTGTTCATGTGTATATCGACTATATCATGTTAACTCGAGCTTGTATAGTTAATAATACACACTTAGTATCTTCACCTTGTGCAGTAGTCCATGGTGCAGAGTAAAGTAGTGGCGTCACTACGATAACATTGAATGTATTGCCCGTTTAAAGTGAGTATATGTATTTATGATACATTGACTGAACGACATCTGACAAACAGAGACAAGTCCGGTCATGTGTAAACAGGTAGATGTTTATTTATCTACTTTTAGAGATCTATATCATCACAACAGGCTTTTTATTATATAAAAAAGAAGAAAACATTGTATATGAAATGTAGTTGCAGTTGCAGCGTGTAATATTGAAATCTTTGTTTTAGTAATAATGATGAATGTATACAATCGATGGGCTTTATGTTGCATTTGAATTCATCATTTTGCCTAATTTTACAGAAAATTAGATTTGTGCTGAATCAACTTAAAAGATTTGACAAAAAAAAATGTATGGCAAGACGACCTTGTGATATAGACAAGCACATGTTACATGGGCCTGATTAGGAACAGATAAGAGGTCCGCAGTATCACCTGTCAGAGATTAATGAGTGACCTAGCATCATAAACCCGAGTATATTGTTATCTAAACTGATTTGCTGTGTGCGGTACACGACCTGAAATAACTTTATATTTCAAATACTGGAAGTTAACATCCAAAAGGCTGATTTTACATACGTGTTCAAACTATATGAACAACTTATCAAAAATGTAAAGTAATGTGATGAAAGAAAATGTATAGGATACAGTGTATACGCTATTGTTTTGCATTGTGTACTGTATTGCTAACATTATATACAAACAATGGAATATTCTTACAGCCCAGTTTCCTATCTGCTGGCTTGAGCCTGGTATTACGTTCTTTTATTTCGTTACATTCCGGATGATGCTGGATTATCTTAACTTAGATAAATGACAATTGTCTGAAGCAAACGACCATGATGGACGGCCCATACATGGATATAGAGTGAGCTGGACAAATGTCAGTGTTGATTTATTTTTAAGAAATGCGGGTTAAATGAATTCACCTGAAAACATGAATAAATAAATTACCATATTTTGTTAAATTCTCAAAAAATTATCATGCGCAAATATTTCACAATATGCGGTATTGTACCAAAGCATAAGGAATAGGTTCTTCTGCAGATCCAAATTTGTTAATCACTGTGAGATATTTAAGTTTCACGGTTGATATTCACCGCGGAATTTAATTGGTAATTTATTTACGAAAAGATTCAGTGATGAAACGTCATAATATATCATGTAATGAAATCAGGCATCCATGTTAGAGTAGATTACGTAACCATGATTATGACGTCATCAACTTAGGCATCCGCCGACATATTATACATTAGATGATAACGCGGTCACCTAAGACTTTAGTTGAATCTAATCATGATCTACTTAATACTGTTTGATTCATAGATAATCAACTAAGTACAACGGCGCTTAATATGTAAATATGCAATTAGCGTTACATACACTGTAAAACCTTCACGGTACTGACATTTAGGGACAGAATACCCGTACTGTGACTATTTGAGGTTGAAATTCCAAACCAGTCAAGCAACGACTATCTACAATGGGCGTCTATAACATTTTCGGGCAGCAAGTTGAAGTTGTCTCCCCTATCACTGAATAAGGATCGTTAAAAAGTGACAATATCAAACTTTGAAAGCGCTGTAATAACACATGTTGTAGACATGTTTTTCTTTAGACACACTTAAAACACCCAGTAATGGAAACCAAGTTGCTATTTTTGCGTTCCGCATTCATTAAAATTGTGAAATAGTCTTACAGTGTTCTAAAGTCGTGAAATTCAACGTCGATTTTGAGTTTCGATTTTAAGTCTCAGTGCTAATTATCTCTGTGTCACAGGTGACATAAAAGTGTTGTATATGTAACTAATCATTAGATTGAGGTGTTGGTCTATAGGGCGATCCGAATTAATACAAACTATGCCCCTCTCACTTCTATTACAGCAATAAATAAACACATTTCCTTATCACTTAGTAACATAGACACAGAGACAAGCTAAGGTCATTCATGTTTTAGTTGTCAATGATGGTATCACATTAGTGTCGCCTGGTAGTCAGTGTAACATTGCTTAAAAGGTCCCACGTCACACACAGAGCGTTGACCACGCTTGCTTTATCCAGGTAATTTCACTCCATTCTCTTACTACGTTAACTTGAATTGTTGTCTCTGTCCTCGTTGTCGGTAACTGAAAGTCATCACCTGATTCAGTGAAGATCTCTATGGAGAACATAACAAAAGGATCCATAATACCCACATTTTACCTTTGTGAGGATACTCTTATTAGTCATAGATTTCCAGTTAAATTAGAAAATATTGACAAACAAACAAAATCATTACTCAGACTCGAAATCGGCCAAACGAGGGCAAACACGAACAAAAGAAATATTTACACCCTAGAAAATCATCTTGCATGGTATTGTCCCTTTTTATTTGATTAAGAGATTCAGATACCGATTCAGACGTATCCATTTATGCCTTAACAAAATTTTAATTTACCTGAGACGAAGTTGCAATCGCTTTTGTCCGGCGTCGTCCGACTTCTTCGTAATAATCAAAATACGCAGAGTGCTGATATTGGGCCTGTAGCATGTTGGGATGAAGGGCTAGCAACTTTGTGAAAATTAATGTCCTTGATCCACTTTCAAGTTGACATGAGTCAAATATGCTAAATTACAACAACAGTCAGTGTTATTAGTTCCGTTTAATTACAAGACTTCAAACTTCGAAACAATAACAACTTTGTAAGTATGCATACATCAGTTCTATTCTGTTTGCCCCAATTCTGGGACTGACGGACAGACTCTAAAACTGTCCAAAGACCTGAACGTTGAGGCCCGTGGGCCTCTTGTTTGACCTGTATTGAAGCAGTATTTAGTGACATTGAGTAATTCGATTGGTCTGTAGGATTATCTGTAGGTTTGTCGTTGCAATTGTTTTCATTGGTAAGTTGCATTATGAATATTTTCCCATACAAACAATGCTTCTCTTTCTCTTTCAGAAATACCCACAGGGCAGCTGCCAGTCCTGGAGGTGGATGGAAAGCAGCTGTCACAGAGTCTAGCTATAGCCCGTTATCTAGCCAGGGAATTCGGTAAGGCGTGATACACATCACTTGCATAACACCAAATTCAATGTAGAATTCATGTCATTTTCTCTCTTACTGCAAAAAAGAACAATTTCCCGCTAATAGTGATTTTTTACTTAAAAACTCACCGCCCAAGTTAATGCTCTCAGCATCACACATACTTGTCAAATGTTTAATTTTTAGAGATCAGAATACATAACAAGAATATTACACCATACAGAATCAGTAATTTTACCATTGAATGCGTTGAAGATATCATTTGAAACATAAGTGTTCATTATACCTAATAATTATTTGTTATTATTGATGACGACGGTTTTTTTTTCATTTCACAGGACGGGTAAGGCTGGTAAAAATAATATATTCTTGTTAATTAACAGGTATGGCTGACCGGTTGATTTAATATTATGTTTACTATACAGGAATGAGTGACCGGTTTATTTAATATTCTGTTTACTATACAGGTATGGCTGCCCGGTCGATTTGATATTTTGTTTCCAGGACAGGTATGGCTGACGGTTGATTTGGTATTTTGTTTCCAGGACAGGTATGGGTGGCCGGTTGATTTATTATTTTATTCCCTAAACATGTATGGCTGGCCGATTTATTTAATATTTTGTTCCCTATACAGGTATGGCTGGCCGATTTATTTAATATTTTGTTCCCTATACAGGTATGGCTGGCCGGTTTATTCAATAGTTTGTTTCCAGTACAGGTATGGCTGGCCGGTTTATTTAATATTTTGTTTACTATACAGGTATGACTGGCCGGTTTATTTAATATTCTGTTTACTATACAGGTATGGCTGGCCGGTTTATTTAATATTTTGTTCCCTATACAGGTATGCCTGGCCGGTTTATTTAATATTTTGTTTCCAGGACAGGTATGGTTGGCCGGTTTATTTAATATTTTGTTTCCAGGACAGGTATGGCTGGCCGGTTTATTTAATATTCTGTTTACTATACAGGTATGGCTGGCCGGTTTATTTAATATTTTGTTCCCTATAAAGGTATGGCTGGCCGGTTTATCTAATATTTTGTTTCCAGGACAAGTATGCCTGGCCGGTTTATATAATATTCTGTTTACTATACAGGTATGGCTGGCCGGTTGAATGATTATTTTATTCCCTATACAGGTATGGCTGGCCGGTTTATTTAATATTTTGTTTCCAGGACAGGTATGGCTGGCCGGTTTATTTAATATTCTGTTTACTATACAGGTATGGCTGGCCGGTTTATTTAATATTCTGTTTACTATACAGGTATGGCTGGCCGGTTTATTTAATATTCTGTTTACTATACAGGTATGGCTGGCCGGTTGAATTATTATTTTATTCCCTATACAGGTATGGCTGGCCGGTTTATTTAATATTTTGTTTCCAGGACAGGTATGGCTGGCCGGTTTATTTAATATTCTGTTTACTATACAGGTATGGCTGGCCGGTTTATTTAATATTTTGTTCCCTATACAGGTATGGCTGGCCGGTTTATTTAATATTTTGTTTCCAGGACAGGTATGGCTGGCCGGTTTATTTAATATTTTGTTTCCAGGACAGGTATGGCTGGCCGGTTTATTTAATATTTTGTTCCCTATACAGGTATGGCTGGCCGGTTTATTTAATATTCTGTTTACTATACAGGTATGGCTGGCCGGTTTATTTAATATTTTGTTCCCTATAAAGGTATGGCTGGCCGGTTTATTTAATATTTTGTTTCCAGGACAGGTATGGCTGGCCGGTTTATTTAATATTCTGTTTACTATACAGGTATGGCTGGCCGGTTTATTTAATATTTTGTTTCCAGGACAGGTATGGCTGGCCGGTTTATGTAATATTCTGTTTACTATACAGGTATGGCTGGCCGGTTTATTTAATATTCTGTTTACTATACAGGTATGGCTGGCCGGTTTATTTAATATTCTGTTTACTATACAGGTATGGCTGGCCGGTTTATTTAATATTTTGTTCCCTATACAGGTATGGCTGGCCGGTTGAATTATTATTTTATTCCCTATACAGGTATGGCTGGCCGGTTTATTTAATATTTTGTTTCCAGGACAGGTATGGCTGGCCGGTTTATTTAATATTCTGTTTACTATACAGGTATGGCTGGCCGGTTTATTTAATATTCTGTTTACTATACAGGTATGGCTGGCCGGTTTATTTAATATTTTGTTCCCTATACAGGTATGGTTGGCCGGTTTATTTAATATTTTGTTTCCAGGACAGGTATGGCTGGCCGGTTTATTTAATATTCTGTTTACTATACAGGTATGGCTGGCCGGTTTATTTAATATTTTGTTTCCAGGACAGGTATGGCTGGCCGGTTTATTTAATATTTTATTCCCTATACAGGTATGGCTGGCCGGTTTATTTAATATTCTGTTTACTATACAGGTATGGCTGGCCGGTTTATTTAATATTCTGTTTACTATACAGGTATGGCTGGCCGGTTTATTTAATATTTTGTTCCCTATACAGGTATGGCTGGCCGGTTGAATTATTATTTTATTCCCTATACAGGTATGGCTGGCCGGTTTATTTAATATTTTGTTTCCAGGACAGGTATGGCTGGCCGGTTTATTTAATATTCTGTTTACTATACAGGTATGGCTGGCCGGTTTATTTAATATTCTGTTTACTATACAGGTATGGCTGGCCGGTTTATTTAATATTTTGTTCCCTATACAGGTATGGTTGGCCGGTTTATTTAATATTTTGTTTCCAGGACAGGTATGGCTGGCCGGTTTATTTAATATTCTGTTTACTATACAGGTATGGCTGGCCGGTTTATTTAATATTCTGTTTACTATACAGGTATGGCTGGCCGGTTTATTTAATATTCTGTTTACTATACAGATATGGCTGGCCGGTTTATTTAATATTCTGTTTACTATACAGGTATGACTAGCCGGTTTATTTATTATTTTATTCCTTATACAGGTATGGCTGGCCAGTTTATTTAATATTTTGTTTCCAGGACAGGTATGGGTGGCCGGTTGAATTATTATTTCATTCCCTATACAGGTATGACTGGCCGGTTTACTTGATATTTTGTTTCCAGAACAGGTATGGCTGGCCGGTTTATTTATTATTTTATTCCCTATACAGGTATGGCTGGCCGGTTTATTTATTATTTTATTCCCTATACAGGTATGGCTGGCCGCTTTATTTAATATTCTGTTTACTATACAGGTATGGCTGGCCAGTTTATTTAATATTTTGTTTCCAGGACAGGTATGGGTGGCCGGTTGAATTATTATTTCATTCCCTATACAGGTATGGCTGGCCGCTTTATTTAATATTCTGTTTACTATACAGGTATGGCTGGCCGGTTTATTTAATATTCTGTTTACTATACAGGTATGGCTGCTCGGTTTATTTAATATTCTGTTTACTATACAGGTATGGCTGGCCGGTTTATTTAATATTCTGTTTACTATACAGGTATGGCTGGCCAGTTTATTTAATATTTTGTTTCCAGGACAGGTATGGGTGGCCGGTTGAATTATTATTTCATTCCCTATACAGGTATGGCTGGCCGGTTTATTTAATAGTTTGTTTCCAGTACAGGTATGGCTGGCCGGTTTATTTAATATTCTGTTTACTATACAGGTATGGCTGGCCGGTTTATTTATTATTTTATTCCCTATACAGGTATGGCTGGCCGGTTTACTTGATATTTTGTTCCCTATACAGGTATGGCTGGCCGGTTTATTTAATATTTTATTCCCTATACAGGTATGGCTGGCCGGTTTATTTAATATTTTGTTTCCAGGACAGGTATGGCTGGCCGGTTTATTTAATAGGTATGGCTGGCCGGTTTATTTAATATTCTGTTTACTATACAGGTATTGCTGGCCGGTTGATTTATTATTTTATTCCCTATGCATGTATGGCTGGCCGGTTTATTTAATATTTTGTTCCCTATACAGGTATGGCTGGCCGGTTTATTTAATATTCTGTTTACTATACAGGTATGGCTGGCCGGTTTATTTATTATTTTATTCCCTATACAGGTATGGCTGGCCGGTTTATTTATTGTTTTATTGTCTATACAGGTATGATTAACCTGTTTATTTAATATTTTGTTTACTATACAGGTATGACTGACCGGTTGATTTAATATTTTATTTACTCTTCAGGTATGGCTGGCAAAGACTCTTTGGAACAATGTCTGGTCGACCAGGTCATTGATACCGGCGCGGACGGTCTTACCGCCTTCGTCAAATGGTACTTCGAGAAGGAGGAGGAGAAGAAGGTACAGTGCATCTATTTATTTTCTATCTATAATTTCCTGCAATAAAAAATCAGTAGTTTACAAACATGCAATTTAGAGCAACGTTTTGTACAAATGACACACAGTTCGAAAAAGAGGGCGCTTATTCAATAGAGAATTCTCATTGATTTTTATTGTGCATTCGCCGGCAGAATCAATTAGTATTCAAATAAGTATTTTTTACACATCCGTTAAGGTTAATGTGGTGTTACATATGTTCATTAGGAGGAAATAAAAAAGAATCTTGTGGAAACATCTATTCCTCACTTCGCCAAAATCTTAACAAACTTCTTGGAAAACAGCGGAGGTAAAAATGGATTCTTCGTCGGATCAACTGTAAGTATGCACAATGGACCTGATGTAGGTAAACATTACTGTAGTAGTAACATACACTACCTACATTCGAGTTTGTTCTCGAGCTAGCATGATGTTTCAAGTATATCTAAGAATCGCACGGTTTTATTATGACGTTAATGGTCGTTATGGATGAGAGATCTTTGTATCATAATGTATCACGATATTGTATATGTCGACAAAACTGTGTCGTTTATATACAAAGACAATTCAATTCTTACAGGTTTTCAGTTTACTGCTTTATACAAATATACACATATGACCTTGTGATGTCGTCATTTCCTTGCAAACAATAATGGCATTTTAATGGTCACTGGTCGAATGTCACTTCTTTCTTGTTATCGTATTTAATAATATTGCTATATACATACATACATACATACATACATACATACATACATACATACATACATACATACATACATACATACATACATACATATATATAAGTGTGTGTAAATATATGACTCTGAAGGCGTTCATTTTTAGTTGTGATGACAGAACATTGTTTTAAGAGCTGTTTAGTAATTGGATATCAAAGTTATGAAGTATGGACACTTGATAGTATGATGTTTAATACAACAATGGAATACTTTTCAGCTTTCTGTAACATTTCTTTCAGTAAATGTTATATTTTCAACAAAAAGCTCTCAAAATCGATAAACAGTCATTTTTACCGTAACATTATTGTTGCCTTATGATCAATGACTTCAACTAGTGACAAACTTACACATATCGTGATTTGAATTTAAAACCACAACTTGACTGGTCCCCGACCACAGCAACAGATTGACGGAGAGACCCGAATATGTCCGATTAGAAATCAATCACATGAGATTGGTCTTTGATTAATTGAATATCAATAGTTTTGGTAGATAGTATTATCATCGTAACTGAACAACGGAGACGTAATGTATTGATGTAAATCTAGATGATAAACCTTTGAATAATTGATCCTGTTTTGTATCCTATTTCAGTTGACGCTAGCAGATCTTGCCTGTCACGAAATGTTCACAGACTTTCTCCAGTTAAATGCAGATGCCCTGAAAGATTTCCCCAAACTAGCAGCACATCGTCAAAAGGTCGAAGAAAACGAGGCCTTGAAAGCTTACCTGGAAAAACGTCCTGAAAGCGTCATCTAAAATCCATTGTCAGACGCTTAGCAGCATTGTTAATGTTACTTAAAACTAAATAAAAAAATTACTGTAACAAATTATTTTTTGTTATGTATATCCATATGTATGTAGATATACAGATAAACACACATACGTATGTACAATTTAAAACATGCACAAATATACACATATGCAGTATACATCGTATGCATGTAAACATATCTATTGGGGTTCACTTTCAGCAAATGTTCATGAAACGAAAATATCTTTTCAGAGAGAGAGAGAGAGAGAGAGAGAGAGTTTCAATAATTTCGTATTGATTTGAAACGTTCTACTGATTCATTGTATCACACTGAAGTATATATTTTGCAAATATTACAGAAATGTGTTATTGGAATTAATGACTTCATTTCATTGCCATCTCCTGACGTCACATTAATGACATTATGTCGTATTACATATGTTTTAATATCAAAACTGTTGCACGAGTTTCTGCAATGAATAACAAGACAATCGTGTGATGACCTAAATACAAGTTCTTACATGTGTAACTATTCTTAGGAAACGACCCTTTAAATATCAAACCACGTCATGACTCGGTAAATGAAGACAAAGTGAAGTTTCATCAATATAATATAAAATGAGAACAAATGTGAAATTCAGTTTAATAAGTAACTTTTACAAGCATTCGTGAAAACATTTTATTAGACTTATACAAATTACAAATTGACTATATTCTCAATTTAGACGTAACAACGCCTGTCACGTCATCAAGCTAGGACATCACAATAGAAACAATGATAACCTTGATCCAATCCCTGAGGTCATAATACACGTGTGGTTATGACGTCATTCATGGATAAATATAGCTCGATAAATCCATTCATACTAATTTCAACAGTTCTAGGTCATCTGAATTCATGGATTTAGAGTATTCACGTAATCAACGAAAATTAATCCCCTTCAAAATTATTGACTTTGCAGTAATATTTATGGTTTTTAAAACAAGAATTCCACAGGAATAGACATGTCACCTAGTATACCATCTTCAGTATCAAGTTTTCTTAACATGATGCGGCTTATCAATTTATTGCAACGAAATCGCCGTTAGGGCAACTGACGACAGATGAATTCGCCGGAAATAGAAATTAGCGGAAACACTGACTCTATAGCTATTTGAGGTATAGTATTTTTATGGGTTTCTAACGATGTATGTAATCTTTGTGTGATGTTGCCTTAATATTTTAACATTTACTTATTTGGCCTCACTAACAAAGCTGATATTTCTTCGTTTAACGTCAAGTCTGGCACGTAGGAAGTCGGGTCGATTTCACTTGCGGTAAAAATGAGTGTGAATCCGCATTTTGTGCATTTATTTTGTAAAATGATACTTTGTTTCGTGTGGTGATGAGTGGTGATGAAGAAGTCCAAATGCTGTGCGGGTGTTGAAGGTTTTATTGCGATGTAGGCTTTGGAGAGATGGAATACTCACATGCCTTCAGGAACCGATACATACTGGCTAGAAAGGTGATCGTATTTATACTAGCCATGTTAATTAACTGAAGTACTAATACACATTAGCTAACAGGTAAACATTGATTGCATTGTACATGAGTTATTGACATGGTCTTGCACACATAAATGGCAACAGATTCTGCTGTTTACAACAAGATAAGGTTACACTGACCATCATACAAACTGCTTAGATAGGCTTCAGGTAATGACTAATATAATCAGGGAACGAACTAATACATGAACATGTGTAGTAGATCAGTAACGAGAGAATACCTCTTGCCACTGTTCAGTACATAATTGTTAATAGTAGATGTCGGTACTAAATTAATAGATACATTATGATGAGACATCTGACTTATGTCTAGCACAATTTTGAATAATTGAATCTTGAATCATATTAACTTTTAATAGATGATTCGTCCCTTTCTATAAAACTGATTTCAAATTAGTTACAATTTGACATCATCTATGATAATATATACAGTCCATTATCCGCTTTTAGTGCATTTATTTTGCATAAACTAGAAAAATCAACACAAAATTTGAAAGGAGATGCAAATATTTAAAATATCTTACAAAAAATTAATAAAAAGACGTGTGGAACTATTTTCTATTTACTTTTTGTAGTTAAAATTGTTCGAATCAATGAATTTAAGATTTATACTAAAACCATTGCAAAAGTACCAGGAGAATATGACCAGGTGTTTCTAGTGGTAAGTGTCTTTCGCTTCATCGATGACATCTCTCAATGAGAACAATGTTGATAACAATGAACATCCCTATATTACAACGAACATCGATTATATTCAATTTTACATCACATATTTCTCAAAGATATCATGGCAACTATCAGAAAACTGCCCTATAATCTTCACAAATCTGCATCTGCAAAAACACCTTGTTATAAGAATAGTTATCAGAAGTCAAAATCTCTCATAGAAATTGTGATTTAGATATCAAGCCCTAGTGTATCGAATCAACAGCAGAGGCAGGAAAAGCAAGGATGTAATTACCTTGAATTATCCCGCAATAAGTAAATCGAAATCATGACGCTTCGGGTAGATAGTTATCTCCCTTGGTTGGTAGGACAACAGAGTGTGTCATGTCCTTGATTCCCGTGGACATGATTAATGAATTGGTATTTTAGACATCACTCTACCTAAGCGTGAACCGACGTTACGGTCCTTATAACTTGTCTTGATAAGCTCCTATATAAATTCAGGTTCGTACGAAAACAAAAATAAACCAGCCAATAGATAGATGGACAGCGTTTAATCTGAAAAAGACTCAGGTATTCCATTCTGGAAAGCGACAATAAAGCGAAAAGAAGGGCACAGTAGTGGCCGAGTTTTTTATTTTTTTTTTTATTTTTAAAGAAATGAAATATTTTCATATGTTTACTTGTAAATACATACGAAATTTTCATTCCTTTACATTCCTTTACATATATATATTCTAAGTAACATGGGTGAATGAAAACCTCGATGTTTCTTGAAGGAGATTACTCGAACAAAGCGAAAGTAAATTACATTGCTGGTAACAAGGAAAACAGTGGGATTTTATATGGATCGTTCCGCAATATGAAATACATAAAAGATATCTGCTGTATGTGTTACGCCTAAATATATTGCTAACTTTTGACCCGTGATCAGCATTCATCTTCGTGTTTCGTGTTAATAATAGCTCGGTGTTAACCTTGCCCTATAATCACCCTTTTATAATGTACACACAGGGTATGTCTTTGCATACATATATGTAGTATCATTAGCACAAAGTCGCGTTATCTGCGTGTGTCATACGGTCACACTGAAGAGTCTCTCGCTGGCCGACTCATAAAAAGCGTTTGTCCCTCATGCCAACTTATAAACTAACATATTTTCCCTCTCGTGCGAGGGGGGAATTAATTCGCCTTATATTCACAATTGTTGGACAAACATACAAAAATGACATTATTGCGATGGCAGACTGGCCGCTCTTTAAGAGAAGTAAGTAATATAATAATAAGGGGGTATTTTAAAGTTAACCTGGCTGTTAAATCCCTGATGTGTAACTATATTCGATGTCTGTTTAACCAGGAAAGACTCTTGTTACAATGTCGGCAGAACTTACGTCATTATTGAAAATTTAATAAACAAAATGATAAGGCTATTTCAATTCGTATTCTAAACATGTCATTCTACGTTTTATCTTACAGAGATGCCCACAGGGCAGCTGCCAGTCCTGGAGGTGGATGGAAAGCAGCTGTCACAGAGTCTAGCTATAGCCCGTTATCTAGCCAGGGAATTCGGTAAGGTTTACGTGTGAGGTATAAAAATGACATCTAATTATCACAAAAACATTTTCCAGGATGAAATTTGAATTGATAAATTACATATTTCATTAAAAGTACTATCTATATGAGGGAGACTAACGTTTAAAATCATACACATAGCCATTTTCCCCCAGCGTTTTAAGGCATATCTTGAACTTTTGTTGTTATACATGCATTCTTTGTAAAATAATGTTTGTTTCTGCTGGAAACAATATTACAATACGTATAATTTTCCTCCATGTTATTGTGTCATTTAAACACCCTACTCCAGCACTAATGAAACATGTGATAGCTATTGCAAGGAAAATAACACTTTCATAGACAAAAAGTATGGTACGGTTAAAACAATAGCAAGTAAGCGCGTCAGACGAGCCATGTATATTATATATAAACGGTTAAAACGATTTTCACGTCGTCTTTTTAAATACCTAATACACAGGATTTTTGTTCTTGATAATGTACTCATCAAATTACTGTTGGTGTCCTGTTACAGATCTGGCAGGTCATAGCAGTCTGGAGCAGTGCTTGGTAGACCAGGTGGTGGATACAGCCGCAGACGCGTTTACGGAGTACTATGAATATTTCAAGTTGCAAAGGAAAACGAAGATCAAGGGCAAAAAGGTTGTTGCACAGTCGTTTGGGGAACCTTATTGTTCTTGAATTACGAGTTTTTTTAGCACGACTGAGCTGAACATTTAGTTCGTATATAGTGCATGCTTCCATCCATCTTTGCATGAATCAATTTGCTATGCTATCATGTTGCAGGTTGCAACTGCAAATTCTGAAGCGTGACATCAGTCATACATCTTCTAAAGATAAGACATTTCGTTTTTAGTAAGCTTGAAGATAAGATAGTGTGTTGTTGGTAAGCTTGAAGATAAGACATTTCGTTGTTAGTAAGCTTGAATATGTGAAACAGGAAATAACTTACTTTCATACATTGTTCCTTTTTCCCTGAATAACAGTTACAGATGTTTCCTGTTATTTTTCGCGACAACAATTTGTCAAAATATTTTTTGTCTACCATTACAAGATGAGATTATGATACCTGGATATTAAGAAAAAATAATGTTGAAACGGGCTTTAAACTGCATAGCAACCGAACAATGAACTTGTTTCAAAATTATCTCAATCATTTATCTATCTTCTAGTATTAAACTTTTAAAAATACGTTATAGCGATAATCTTTTTATGATACTTTTCATGATTAAATAAGAGCGATCACTGTGCTTTATGTTTTACAATTTTCGTCTAGGAAGACTTTTTTAATTTGAAATACTGAACTATTTGTTTTCGAGTACTAAAAATATAATTCTTGAATTACGTCTCTGTTTCACTTATGTTTTTTTGTTTATAAATTCTGTTGTATTTGTCAGGAGGAACTTCAGAAAACCTTTGTAAATGAAACTGTTCCAAGGTTTGCGAGGATCTTCAACAATTTTATGGAAAGCAACGGAGGAGAGAACATGTACTTTGTTGGTACTCAAGTAAGTTAATTAACACAACCATTTAGTTGTCATTTCTGTCCAACGAGGAAAAACACAAATATCGTTTGTTAAGAACACAATCTTTTTTATGAAATCTGAATGAAGACGGGGACTTCTATCGTTTGAAACAAAAGCTCAGTATCACATCAGTCCTGTCACATCAACCGTTTTTTTTAGTTTGGATACAAGTGATTCGTTTAGATGCTTCTGTTTACGTTAAAGACAACTATGAAAGATTATTATAATGTTGATACGTGTTAGATATTACGATCGTTATATTGTTAAAATACATTTTTTCTAAAGTGTTTGATAAAAATGTATGATATGAATCGTTTAATATAATACCGTTACACAGCCTTCTGCCCTTTTGGTGGTTGATAAAGGGTGTGTTATCAAAATAGTTCTATGATATAGCCTCTAAGTAAAGCACAAATTGTCAACTATCTCTAAATAAATAGTCATTTAATATAGTCTGGAAGTAAAGCATAAATAACACAGTAGATCTAACGAAATAGTCCTTTAATATAATATCTAATCTCAGCATCAATTAACCAGTATTTCTAAAGAAATATTCCTACAATATAGCCTCTAATTAAAGCATGAATTACCCAGTATCTCTTAATGTCATCAAAGTCGTACTAGTAAAACTCATGTCAGATTGCTGGGCTTGTATTATGTTCTATGCATAATAAGTATATTGTAAAATTATATTTTATAGATTGTAGCTAATTCATGTCTTTGGCCTACTTTTTGAAATAATAAATTGTGTGATCCGAAACCTGTTTTTAAACTATAAAAAGATTACAAACATGATACAAATATTTCAAAAATATTACAAAAAAATATTTTACGGAGTAACGTGTTATTTTTTTTTTTTTTAGATGACAATAGCAGATCTTGCCTGTTACGATATCTTCACGTCATTTCTTTTGTTGAACCCGAATGCTTTGCAAGACTTTCCCAAATTGAAGGCAAACCGCCGAAAAATTGAAGAGAACGAGAGATTGAACCAATACTTGGCAAAGCGCCTGAAGAGCTCTATCTAAATTACACATTATACAGTCGGATGTAGATGTTAAACTTCGTTATATGTGGAAAGAATGAAATGTGAACGATATGCTGTCTTTTATCTGTACGTGTAAAGACATTACAACATATATTAAGACTATGTTAATATGTGATAGTTGTTGTTATTTACTAGAAGCCTTAGATTGCTTTTTGGAGAGAGAAATTTATTTTGACATTTTCATTTTTACCATTTTAGTAAAGTGATCATGAGATAAAAAAGTTGTGTTATTTTGCATAATGTGATGTTGGTTCGTTTCAAAGTAATTTATTATTTTTATTAACGTTGAGAGACGGAATGAATAAAGAATGTCTTCATTACAGTTCTTCTTACGGTTATGGTATACAGATTGATGAACATTTAATTCCCTCTGGCAGATATTTTATTCAGCAGAAAATTCATTTCACAGCCGTTAACCAGGTGCGCAATGAAATATTCATTTCATCAAAATAGCATTGCATGTCTTTGATTTGTAACTTTCTGACATTTACACGCTGCAAAATTGTCATGTGTACGTAATTCTTGTTTTTTATTGACAAGTATGCTCAGAGGCGTAGCAATAATGTATGCTTGTATGCTTAAACATACATTCGAATTCCATTAAGATATATTTGCCCTACTTTTTTTAACCTTACTGCGCCCCTAGACCCCCTTAACCGGGGCTTCGCCCTTGGATCCTCTCTTGAAAGCATACACTCTTTAAAATGTTTTGCTACGCCACTGATGCTCATTGAATTTGTCGTCGTTATACAAAAGTGGCTATCAGGTGCATTCTCACCTTCCAAAAAATAACACAAACATCGAAATATCTTGTACCATGAGACATAATTGGAATATTGCAATACTCTCCAGCCAAAAGACTTCTTGTATACGCATTTAGGTGGTGTTTGCATGTTTCTTGAACCATTTCAATCAACAGTCCATGGAACAAGGAATATGTATGGCAAGATCCAGGTCTGATTCTGAAAATGTGGAGTATTCATTAACCTTTGTAATATTGCTGATGTCTGTAAATGCTTTCCTGAGGACATGTTATTGTCAGTACACCTAAGTGTTTCTTGATACCGTTTTCAGACTGTGATGTTAATAGATTATTGATATTTTTCTTCCTAAATCTTTTTATTTTAAAGACATATTATACAGATATTGAGATAGACCTTCAAACTGGCTGATTTACTCCATTTTGTTGTATTGCCATCGTCCCTTCGTCCCGAGATTATGCTATCTTATATCTAACATATAACTGCTAAATGTTTAAGCAATATGTACCTACATTTTCCCTCTAGTTGGAAATCAACAAATGTGGCGCCAAACTACTCCTCATTTTTACAGAGGCAACGTCCAGACATGCTTCTCTATCGTGATTAAAATCCATTGCATTACGTACTAACATGTAGGTAGGAGTTACGAGCAGACTGACAGGGAACAGTGGTAAGAACTTCGCAATATGTTCTCTACATTTGATGTCAGAACTCGATGAAACTCTTCTTTTATCAGAGATTTTCCGTTCTTTTTTCGCCATCGTGTTGTTTGCATGCTGCAGGATGTGGTCACAAAACCTCAATGGGAAGACTTAGACAAGATATGGTTTTTCGATTTTATTGAATGTTACTAGTAGGTAGATTGAAAAGGCTTAAAGCTGTCGCCGCTGATTTGGAGAGTAATTAAGACAAGTAAACAGTTTACATATTGTTTACTTAGAATTGCCAGTAAGTGTATACCTAATAAAGATATCATTAAAAAGCAAATGATGCTGCTTCGATGATTAGTGCAATTAGAAAACTGATTCGTAAACGTAAATATATAACATAGCAGAGTCAAACAGTCACAGATTGCTGACGACTAGAGGAAATTCAGGAATGCCCGAAACATTTGTATCAAAGCCATCCGTAAATTTGATTACTTTAACAAACTATGTGTAAAACTTAACCTTACTAATACCAGTAACAAGGAATGGTGGAAGATTAATAATAGTTTCACGTCAAACACATGTATTTCCGATAACGGTAACTTTATCCATGACGACCGCAAATAGTCAATGCTTTTAACACTTTCTTCAGTTCACAAGCTACTATTAACGACACTGGTGTTGAAATACCTGGCCCCACTTGTATAAAACATCTCAACTTGAGATTTCCTCAAGTCGAGATTTTCCTCAGCTGATATCTCCTCAAAAACGGCTTGTATAATTTTTTTCAAGGAACAGGAGGATGGCATCAGCTAGGATGTCCTGAAATTCCTTGAGGAATTTTCATACAAAATATTTTCAAGGAGATATTAGCTGACGAAAATCTCGACTTGAGGAAATCTCAAGTTGAGATGTTTTATACAAGTGGGGCCTGATCTACACATATTCCATAATCATTTTCCTTCTGACATACTGACAAGATGTTCTTGCGGTAATACAATCGCTTGGCCGCAAGAAGCTGTTGCTCCTGACTTTGTAAAGGCAGCCGATGTTCTTCCTTACCCTCTTCAAACGTTTTTCAGCTATTCTCTTATTACTTATTAGTTCCCGTCACTATGGAAGAAGGCAAATGCTACTCCTGTAACAAAAAATATGAGTCATCTGTTCTAAGAAATTATCTTCCTATCACTCTTTTCTCTATCTTGGGTAAAATTATGGGATGTATATGTATATCGGGTTTCAGATCCGGTGATTCCACTATAAATCAATTTCTATATATTCCTGATGATAAAGAAGTTAGAATGGTGCTCTGCTTTATTAGTCAGGCATTCAACCGAATATGGCCACTATCCTTTATTTTGTTATCACTGGTATCATTGGACGAGTTCTCGAGCTTTTTTCATACTCGCAGTCAAGCTGTTGTCGTCAATGGTAAACAAACTTGACATACCTTTTTGCTGAAGTTCCTCAAGGGTCAATTCTAGGTCCATTATTATTTCTCATTTTATAAACGACATTGTCGAAGATATTAATTGTTTTTATAAAGTTTTTGCAAATATTGCGTCTCTATACGTTATAGTGGATTTTCCGGACATGAGCGCCGATCTCTTGAATGATAACCTAAAACAAATTCATGAATTGTCCAAAACATAACTTGACGATTGCAATCCCACTAAGACAGTGCCAAGAACAGTAAGTAGACAAACTACTACATCCGGCATTATACCAAATATACAGTATTATCAAATAAAGCAGCTAACTCTCCATACATATAATGTATTTGTAGAGAAAATAATTTCGTTATGTTCGCAGTTAGGAAAGAAAACATTTTTGCATTTTTTCAACGAATCAAAATTTGAGAAAATATCTAATATTCCTACATGCATCGATACTAATCGATAGAGGAAAACGAAATTAAATACCCATGTGGTAGCTCAAACCAGACAATCACCGCGAAATTACATTTAGCCAAATGCAGGAAGATTACTAAAACCTAAGCCTGACTTTACATGCTATCAACAAATAAGCGCACTTGTAAGACAGTGTGGAAAGACTCCCATAAGAAAAAAAAACAAGACCAACTCTATCTTGTAGCGTTATCATGTTTACTTAAATAACGATAACTTATCGTTGCCTGATTATCACTTCACATGTGTTTGCATACACATTTAGCGTCATTATCATAGTCCCGAACTTGAATTACAAGGCCGCAATCACAAGCCGTCTGTAACAAGCCACCACAAAGACATTCTATCAAGACGTCTTCCAAAATGCCGTCATACAAACTGATTTATTTTCCCGTCAGGGCGAGAGGAGAATTGATTCGTCTTGTCTTTGCAGTTGCTGGTCAAAAACACGAAGATGAAGTTATCACCATGGACGACTGGGCGTCTCTCAAACCAAGTAAGTAATAAAATAGTTGAAAAACTATGAAATGCAAATTGTTTTATTGAAATAAGTAAACAATTACAGAGCTAAGCATTGATTGCAAATACAGAACAATATGTTATTGTATTTAATCATAACAATAGAAAGCTTTTAATGGGTATCTCGTTGATTGCAATCAATCCATTCATGTTTAGCACTTCTCATTTGCATTGCAAAAGACCCGGCAATTCGTATTTTTTTTAATTGGAACGAAAGATGAACGATTGAATGAGAGATTGTTATAAATATTTCACAGATATTGTCATTTCTTTGAATTCTAAGATTTGAGACCTCTTGAAGAATAATAGGTGGTCAAAGCTTGCCTAAGTGATAACAAAAATTTATTATACCACAACAATATTATAAACAAGCAGTTCAGAATAGCTTACAGTACTTTACTTTAAACCTTCTATGTTTTTGTCAAACCAGGAAAGTCATTCTGTTGTTACGTTTATATAATTCGATGTATACTGTTCAAGCTAAGGTTGTCTCATATTTTCACTGTATCAAATAGAGATGCCAACGGGTCAGCTTCCAGTACTGGAAGTGGACGGAAAGCAGCTGTCACAAAGTTCGGCCATTGTCCACTATCTAGCCAGGGAATTCGGTAAGAATTTTATCAAACCCATTAATGTACCTTACAAAGACATTTATTCAATGACAATATAGCCCAAGATATGACATTGATAATGACAAGCACGTTTGCATGTACAATTAAGAAAAACTGTCTGGATTGATACATGGTTTAGAGATTGTCAGCCATATAAGTGAGCGCAATGTGCGGTTTAGATATTGTCAGCCATACATTCTAGCACAATGTGTGGTTTGAATATTGTCAGCCATATATGTGAACGTAATGTGTGGTTTAGATATTGTCAGCCATATAACTGAGCGCAATGTGTGGCTTAGATATTGTCAGCCATACATGTAAGCACAATCTGTGGTTTGGATATTGCCAGCGATATAAGTGAACGCAATATGTGGTTTAGATAATGTCAATCATATATATGAACACAATGTGTGGTTTAGATATTGTCAGCCGTATATGTGAACACGTCACATAGTTCTAACATGATCTTACTTCAATTGAATAATTTCAGTATCTTCTTGTTAATCTCAGTTATAATTATATCCGGAATCTCAAGTGTACTTTCTTGTAGAGATATATAATTTTTAATAGGATATTGTGATAGGACAATTGATAATCTAAGACCTGTTAATTTTCCTTATATTACGTAATATAAGAAGCAAAGACTTGACAGGTTCGTATATGTTTCCATTCCCTACAATGTTTAAAATCATGTAACAGATATGGCAGGTCACAGTAACCTGGAGCAGTGTCTGGTTACTCAGGTGGTGGAAACAGCCGCGGACGCTTTCAATGAGTTTTACGAAAATTACAAGTTGCAGGACGTGGAGAAAGACAAGGACAAAAAGGTGGCTTCTACAGCAAACAAAAAATGTTCTATGTTGTCAAAAGCAGGAAATTTTCTGAGATTTTTCATTAAAATTAGCAGCAGATTTGATACTTTAGTATTATATCTTTTCATGGGTTAATTTTCATGGGTTTTGTGGATTAATTCAGGATATCTATTTTACTTTTTATTAATATATATCATTTGCTTTTCCTTGTGTTCTCTTATGTTATGCATATCCGTTTCATCTTCCCCAGGAGGAACTAAAAAAGGTATTTGTTAATGAAACTATCCCAAAGTTTGCAAGAATCTTCAGTACCTTTATGGAAAATAGTGGAGGTGAAAACGGGTACTTTGTTGGATCTAAAGTAAGTTGACATAAACCTACATGTAACTAAGTGATTATAATTCATTGAAAAGAGAATCAACGAACACTTTCATCGTTTTTATACCACCTCCAAGTCCCTTAAATCAATAATGTTTTATGTCAAAGATTATTCATAAAAACCCGGTTTCGTCATGCCTTTTATTACAATTAAAATGTTTATATGTCATTGAAAAATATGATGGAATATTATTTTGTTTAGAGTAATGATTGTGGCGTCGTTTGTTACGTCATGTCGACAAACCCAGGGATTCAAACACTTCTTCATATGTATAAATGTTTATATTGTATTACAAGTAACTACGATAGATCTGGTTCTCATATCCTCAGAGAGGTAAGACACCATCAACAACCCTCAGTTACAAATTATTTTTGTTCATATTAATTCGAAAACGTTTGACTGTTTGTAGTTTTTTCGTTGTTTCAAAGTCTCTTTGAACCCCAAACAAAACTATAGGCATCCGTACAACTAAATCCTGCGATCGGATATTTTAAAAGTAAAATTGTAGATTAGGAATGAAAACATGCTACAGTGTTAACTGTATAACAAAAAGAAAACATTAAAAAGAGGTTTCTTATCTCCTGACTGCTCAATGAAGAATACACCGCCGTGCAATATTCGATGTCAAAATTCTTACACAAAGAGAACATAAAAATCTGACACGGTATTTGATGTGTAGTAATATCTATAGGAGGTTCGGTCAGGATAGTCATTATTTCAAACAATAAGATTCATATTGAGACAACAATGGTTATATATGCAAAATCATTAAATGTATATGTAGTTTGATGACAGATAATGCAACACTAGGATCATAGCTTAATCAAATCAATATCACTAACTCTGTTTGCCGTAATGTCTTGATTGTGATGTCTTTTTCCTTTTTACAGCTGACAATTGCAGACTTGGCGTTCCATGATATCTTTACAACGTTTATCTATTTAAATGCGGACGCTTTGAAGGATTTTCCCAAATTGGCAGCAAATCGCCAAAAAGTTGAAGAAAACGATGATCTGAAACAATACTTAGACAAGCGCCCAGAGAGTTTACTATAGAATCCGGACCTCAATTTATACTACTCTCCATTAACAGCATTTTTTTAAAAAAAATACACTAATTGAACATGAATACAGCGAGAATTTGGGACTGATAAGCACTTGATAACAATGTTTTATTTTATGAAATATAATGTGGAGATCGGACAAATAAACGTCAATTTCTTTATGTAATGCGAAACCAGGTGATGAATTGTGCCTAATAATAAATCTTAAGAGATCTGCATTGACATTTTGTATTCATTTAACACGAATTTTATTCTGTGTATACTAAACGTGTGGTGACACGATAAATTGTATATATTGTAGTAACACATCAACAAAGTCTACCAATATGTTTTATTATATGCATGATTTTTTTCTCGAAATCGCATTGGCATGATCCTATACACGTGATCAGTTCTCAAAAACTGATGAGGACTGGTTTTCCGGTGAATATCGATTTCTAAATATAGCCTAAATGGAAATTCCCTACAGCTTGTCGCAATGCATGCGCAGTTAGACCGGAACGCGATCTGTCAGACGATCACAGACGTTGCGATGGCTGTCGGCGAACGTTTCGCCTCTGTTACAGATGAGGGTTTTGGAAAACTGCTGGAGGATAAAGATGCTGTAAACACCAAAAAGGCAACCGAGCACGCAGTGCGTGTTCTTCATTCGTATCTCAAGGAAAAAAAACCTGGATCTTGAACATATAATAAAACAGTTATGGACTTCTGTGCTGGTAAATATGATGTGATATGAACCTGAAAACATGATATTAACCTCGGCTTCGCATCGGTCAATATCATTTTTTCAGGTTCATATCACATCATATTCACCAGCACCGAAGTCCATAATTGTATAGTATACCATTATCATCTGGAATAGACAATAAAACATCATTTTTAAACAAGCTTTATTTCTATAAGCCTGAGATAGATTGTGAAGACATAAACTAAATAAAATGTAGTTCAAACATATACAATACCATAGCAAGCATAAGTGCTCGGAAAGCGTTGAAAATGTGGAGGGAAAACAATTATGCTCCTTTGCTCTCAGATGTGTTTTTAATCCCAATCATTAATTTTACTGTTTTGCTTTTTTGGTGTTGCCTGAGGTAATGATTTACTGATGAAAGTCCATTTTAATATAATATCTCTCAATTCTAAATTACATGGTTTCATAGTCACATTTTCAATAAAGATAGGACATTTTCATGAGAACGCTTGTTTAGATGTACATTCAATCAAATCACACAACGGGTAGCCTTTCCGTCGTCTTTTATGTATTGTTTTCATAATGCTTTAAATTAAATTGGGACGCATTTATATGTACATTTGCTTCACTATACCGGCTCGTTATTGTATTTTGAAATTGACTATCCGGATGCAAATTAAAGCAGAATCTTTCTTCTAATTTGTACTGCATTCATGTGTATTATCGAAAACCTTTGATGCAGACACGTGATTTGGCATGACTAATCATAATTTGATTTCATCTGTCATTCAAAATATACACTGTAAAAGCCACACAGCGTTTACATCAGACTTCGTATATCGCTTCATACTGTAACAAAATTCCTTAATGCATAATTGCATACGTATCATTGTCTTTCTAACGAGAATATGCTTGAGAAAGAAATACACGTCTGATCAAAATTTATTTACATATAATATTCTTCGCTCAGTGTTGTAAAGGAATTGACATGAACCAAAAGAGCTTAAATACAGGACTTTTCATGCTCTCAATAACGCAAGTTAACAAATGGATTTTTAGGCGTTGTTACAACAAACAACGACGTGTATACGGGAATTCGTTATATCCAACGCCGCTTTCATGGATTTTTGTATTTGGTTGTTGTTTTAGTGAAACATTCGTTGCTATTATAATGTTAGTAAATGGTATTTAAACATTTCCAATACATAGAGATAATACAATAATTTATAAGTAAAGGAAATGTCGGGTCTGGTCAGATTAAAATGCATTAAAATGTAACTAAATCAGTATGCTGCTTATGTAGAGACTATCCGGAGACAAATTTTGACAGTTGTTGACTTCGCGTTAATTGTTGTACTGTTGCCATGGCCATTCTTCTTTTCGGTTACAATAAAACACTAGGTGTACGCGATCATCGGTAGTCTCCGGTACTCCGTCACCGTCAAATCTCCATGTATTGAGGAGAGCGTCCGCATAATTCTTGCCATAGTGCTGTGGTGTATCGTTATTTATTCGAATCGTGGCAGTACATCGCTTGTACGTCCCATCCACTTTACAGTAAGGCTTACAAAGTCTCCCACAAGAGTCGTACGCAGCAACAAAAACTTCTGAAGGTTTATTTGTTGGCTCTCTTATTGGCAAGTAACTGTATCCTACTGATAACGCCATTCTTTCATCTACGATTGTATAATCAGTTGAAAATCCGTAGTAATTCAGTCCATAAACATCAACGAATATCTTGGAGGCACCAGAACCAGAAAGCTGGCACTTCCTATTGGTACCCATATCACCGAAGTCTTCATGTTTTCTCAGCTCAGCGTATTTTTCCGTATCGTATATGTCTAATGTTTGGTTTGCAATGCCGTCTTCAACGTCAAATGCTCTGAATTTTTCAAACTGTTTCCTTTCGTTGATGATTTTAATTGGAAAATAAGCCCATTTACTGGTATCCGCAATGCCATCTAGGACGAAAGTGTTTTGAATAGTTGTGTCCATCTTAAAGCAGGTGTCTTGAACAATATCCTCCATCTCACAGAGTTCCGCTGTTGTGGAGGTCATTAAGGTATCAAAACGTTCTGGGCGAAAGCTGTTCGTACGCCTTCGTCCTTTTGATACACACCTCCCTGTGTGATGCTGGCAAATAAGCCATTTTGAATTACATGACCAAGATTGATCTTTCGAACATGTGGGACTCATTTCATACGTATAAATATCCCGTGTCCAGTTTCGTGAATAACCATCGATATTTCTGTACATACCAAATCCATTCATTATGTCATTTGCCTGATGACCATCGATATCGGTTTCAGGATAGTCCATGGAGGGATCGATACCATTGGCTTCTTGTTGATTTCTAAACCTCCACCAAATGTAGTCAATAAAAGCATGCAACATGTAGAATAAAGGGTCGTGGGCTGCTGAGACTAAGTTCCCCAAATGTCCACCTACAAAGGTGTGTATTCTTCCATGAAAATGTTCTATGTTATACTGGCTTTCTGCATTGGGAACAGTTATTTCAGATGTATAGTCTTTTGATAAAAAGTTGTCAACATCTTGGTAACTCATCAGCTCTCCGCCGTTGTTAGCTGCTCGAGTTAATTTGCCGAACTCTTCATGTTCCCAGTCTTTGTAAGGACCTGTATCAACTTCTCCGTCACTATTTCCGGCAAAACGACGGGAAAAGATTATTGACTTCGACGGATCGCTCATTGGTTCATCCAACGTACAATCCCAGTAAGGTAATGTCACGTCAGGGTCAATTTTTCTCAGTGCGTCTTCGTACCTAAATTCAACATTAAACATTATAGTAATACTTAGTGATTATATTGTTCTATGAATACCATGAAAAACTCCAATAATTGCCTTTTAAGTAAAATCTAATTACACTCTTTATATTCTGATTATATTCGTTAAATCTACCTTGAAAGCATTACTTTTACATAGCATACAGCTTAGTGTCTGGTAATGAACTGTTCTTTTGATTTGATATATTTAATAAGAACACATATGATATGATTGCGATAAGATCTATATATATGAACTGTATGGAACATGATATTTCAAGCCTTGGTATGAAATTTCTTCTACAAAACACCTCAATCTGCTCTTCTGTCAATATCTTATTCTATATTATGGGGAACGGTGGTCTTATATATATCTGATCAATGAAGTAATAGCAACAATATATATTTATATAATCCTTTTAACTCGAATAACTTACGTCATGAGATAAATTCTGTGCCACCCCAGGAAATTAGGTCCCCAATGTGCTGAATGTTGTATTTCTGTATTGTGGTAATTAGCGATAGCATCGTAAGTGTTCGGTTTCAGCCTCTATGTAGAAACAAAATATAATTATTGTAGATAGCGATCGCGTTTGATGCAATACTATATCGTTACTCTAATGTTTCGGGAAATGTAATAAAAATCGGCGAAATCGGACTGCATTAGTCATTCAGCATTCCAAAGTATTACAAATTTTCTCATTTCAACCTTGATCATTTTTAACAAAAACATATATGAATTACTAAAAGCTTAAGATATCCTTATGCTACTCTGTTTTAGTGTTCTCATGGAGTACCTTATCGTTTTTCAGGGCTTTTACTGCTCGGTGATATCGCCTTCTTTCTTTGTTCGACAACATGCGATACTCTTTGCGGACGTAGGGTTTTCTGAACGGCAAAGCGGTCTTGGTTTTTGGGTTTGATGTTTCATCTATCAATCTGTTCCTCTCTTTGCCCTCTTCCGCAATAAACTTTACAATGTTCGGATCAAAATCCGGAGACCATCTCTCCTTACCTGTTTTCCACAGGAAGCTGGACATACATGTATGCAAGACATTCTCTCCAGCTATGTTGCGTATGTTTTCATTTCTAGCCCAGTTTGAGAAACAATCCACTAGTTTTGACGGGATGTCAATGTTTTCGATTTTTGATACAACATGCCAGACCAAAAGACTGAATGTCAAATATCTTAAAATATATTTGACATGTGCCATCTGTGAAACAAAAATTTAGAGGTAAAACATTTTCAAGTTGTGTAACATAACATCACAAAATCTTCATCATCAATGTCATTGTAAACAATAATTCATGTCTTTGCTTGTAATTTTGTTAATTCCAAATATGTGGAACTGGTTCATCATTGTTGCTAGTGGAGATTTGGGGTGATATTGTGCTTGTAAGCTTAAACCAAATACGCGGAAGCAAACATTTCAAAATCAAACTTTTCGCTGTTTTATAATTTCGGACATGAAATGAGTATATTTCTATATTAAACAATAAACAATAAATGCCTTATGTCATATTTAATGCAAACTCACAAAAATGAAGCTGAAAACATTGTTTGGTGGTAGAAATTATTCTGTTTTAAGATACATAACGTCGTTATCTCGACCTCATATGACTCGAAAACCAAGTTTAAATCGAATTATTGCGTCGGTCCCGACAAAACTTCATACTAAGAATTCTAACATACATGAATAGAATACTCGGATGAGTCGAGGTTTTCCCACGGTTCCGCCGACTCCTTGATAACGAGGTTCGGCGGTATTTTTTTTATCATTATCAGAAAAATCAATATGACATGACGTCTCATCTCTAAAATCATTATTCAACATTAAATATTTTTAGGTCTTAATTATATTGTGTTATGGTGTGTTTAATTATATTCAAAATCTGAAGGTAAACAAGGAATATAAGCCCAACAACATGTGAAGAATGTAGAATCTAGTTCTAATCGCAACTGTAACTATTCTTCACTGTTGCATCGTTACTTTATTCTGAATGGCAATGAAACGCTTTCTAATGAGTTTGTCCTTTAATACATGTCACTACTTTAGGTATTAAATGAAGGGAACAACTTCAATACAAATACTTTCGAAAACGAAACACCGGACGAAATAATCAACTCATCCACGTCATTTACAGAGAATTTTTGATAAGCATCGGAAACACGTCATTGTCCATTTTTCAAGTAATGAACAACACGTGGATCTATGACAATATAAAACCGATAAACTGAAAATAAAACAGCTACTCATCTCATGTCAAGCTTTATATATATTAACATGCTGTAAATCCTATGAAAAGAACAACAAATTAAATGTATTTCACCTGAAACATAATTGAATATACTTCGTACATAGGTACAAGTAAGCTAGTACTAAGTACCATAGATAGAAAGGCAGAGGGACAGTTAACGAATACTTACAGACCCACAATTTATATCAGGAATAGGAGAAAGGAATACAGAAAAGAGAGACAGTTAACAAATACTTAGATACAATATACACACGGAATAGGAGAAAAAGACACAGGAAAGACAGAGAGACTTTAAACAAATATTTTAGATAATCACAATATACATATGGAATAGAAGAAAAAGACACAGGAAAGACAAAAAAATATTAAACAAATACCAAGATACTCACAATATACACACGGAATAGGAGAAAAAGACACAGGAAAGGAAGAGAGACAGTTTACAAATACCTAGATACTCACAATATAAACACGGAATAGGAGAAAATGACACAGGAAAGACAGAGAGACATTAAACAAATACTTAGTTACTCACAATATACACAAGGAATAGAAGAAAAAGACAAAGGAAATAAAGAGAGACAATAAACAAATACTTAGATATTCACAATATACACACGGAATATGAGAACAAGACACAGGAAAGGAAGAGAGACATTAAACAAATACCTAGATACTCACAATATACACACGGAATAGGAGAACAAGACACAGGAAAGACAGAGGAAAATTAAACAAATACTTAGTTACTCACAATAAACACACGGAATAGGAGAAAAAGACACAGGAAAGAAAGAGAGACAATAAACAAATACTTAAATGCTCACAACATACACACGGAATAGGAGAAGAAGACACAGGAAAGAAAGAGAGACAGTGTACAAATAATTACATACTAACAATATACACACGGAATAGGAGAAAAAAGACACAGGAAAGACAGAAAGACATTAAACAAATACTTAGTTACTCACAATATACACACGGAATAGGAGAAAAAGACATAGGAAAGAAAGAGAGACATGAAACAAATAATTAGATACAATATACACACGGAATAGGAGAAAAAGACACAGGAAAGGAAGAGAGACAGTTTACAAATACTTAAGCTCACAATATACACACGGAATAGGAGAAAAAGACACAGGAAAGACAGAGAGACAGTTTACAAATAATTATATTTTCGCAGTATACACACGGAATAGGATAAAAACACACGGAAAAGAAAGAGAGACATTAAACAAATACCTAGATACTCACAATATACACACGGAACAGGGGAAAAACACACGGAAAAGAAAGAGAGACATTAACAAATACCTTGATACTCACAATATGCACACGGAATAGGAGAAAAAGACACAGGAAAGGAAGAGAGACATTAAACAAATACCTAGATACTCACAATATACACACGGAATAGGAGAAAAAGACACAGGAAAGACAGAGAGATAGTTTACAAATAATTAGATACTCGCAGTATGCACACGGAATAGGATAAAAACACACGGAAAAGAAAGAGAGACATTAAACAAATACCTAGATACTCACAATATACACACGGAATAGGAGAACAAGACACAGGAAAGACAGAGGAAAATTAAACAAATACTTAGTTACTCACAATAAACACACGGAATAGGAGAAAAAGACACAGGAAAGAAAGAGAGACATTAAACAAATACCTAGATACTCACAATATACACACGGAATAGGGGAAAAAGACACAGGAAAGGAAGAGAGACATTAAACAAATACCTAGATACTCACAATATACACACGGAATAGGAGAAGAAGACACAGGAAAGAAAGAGAGACAGTGTACAAATAATTACATACTAACAATATACACACGGAATAGGAGAAAAAGACACAGGAAAGAAAGAGAGACATTAAACAAATACCTAGATACTCACAATATACACACGGAATAGGGGAAAAAGACACAGGAAAGGAAGAGAGACATTAAACAAATACCTAGATACTCACAATATACATACGGAATAGGAGAAAAAAGACACAGGAAAGACAGAAAGACATTAAACAAATACTTAGTTACTCACAATATACACACGGAATAGGAGAAAAAGACATAGGAAAGAAAGAGAGACATGAAACAAATAATTAGATACTCACAATATACACACGGAATAGGAGAAAAAGACACAGGAAAGGAAGAGAGACAGTTTACAAATACTTAAGCTCACAATATACACACGGAATAGGAGAAAAAGACACAGGAAAGACAGAGAGACAGTTTACAAATAATTATATTTTCGCAGTATACACACGGAATAGGAGAACAAGACACAGGAAAGGAAGGGGGACATTAAACAAATACTTAAATGCTCACAATATACACACGGAATAGGAGAATAAGACACAGGAAAGGAAGAGAGACATTAAACAAATACCTAGATACTCACAATATACATACGGAATAGGAGAAGAAGACACAGGAAAGAAAGAGAGACAGTGTACAAATAATTACATACTAACAATATACACACGGAATAGGAGAAAAAAGACACAGGAAAGACAGAAAGACATTAAACAAATACTTAGTTACTCACAATATACACACGGAATAGGAGAAAAAGACATAGGAAAGAAAGAGAGACATGAAACAAATAATTAGATACTCACAATATACACACGGAATAGGAGAAAAAGACACAGGAAAGGAAGAGAGACAGTTTACAAATACTTAAGCTCACAATATACACACGGAATAGGAGAAAAAGACACAGGAAAGACAGAGAGACAGTTTACAAATAATTATATTTTCGCAGTATACACACGGAATAGGAGAACAAGACACAGGAAAGGAAGGGGGACATTAAACAAATACTTAAATGCTCACAATATACACACGGAATAGGAGAATAAGACACAGGAAAGGAAGAGAGACATTAAACAAATACCTAGATACTCACAATATACACACGGAATAGGGGAAAAACACACGGAAAAGAAAGAGAGACATTAAAAAAATACCTTGATACTCACAATATACACACGGAATAGGAGAAAATGACACAGGAAAGACAGAGAGACAGTTCATAAATAATTATATACTCGCAGTATACACACGGAATAGGATAAAACACATGGAAAAGAAAGAGAGACATTAAACAAATACCTAGATACTCACAATATACACACGGAATAGGGGAAAAACACACGGAAAAGAAAGAGAGACATTAAAAAAATACCTTGATACTCACAATATACACACGGAATAGGAGAAAATGACACAGGAAAGACAGAGAGACATTAAACAAATACTTAGTTACTCACAATATACACAAGGAATAGAAGAAAAAGACACAGGAAAGACAGAGAGACAATAAACAAATACTTAGATATTCACAATATACACACGGAATAGGAGAAAAGGACACAGGAAAGAAAGAGAGATATTAAACAAATACCTAGATACTCACAATATACACACGGAATAGGAGAATAAGACACAGGAAAGACAGAGAGACAGTTTACAAATAATTATATACTCGCAGTATACACACGGAATAGGAGAAAAAAGACACAGGAAAGACAGAAAGACATTAAACAAATACTTAGTTACTCACAATATACACACGGAATAGGAGAAAAAGACATAGGAAAGAAAGAGAGACATGAAACAAATAATTAGATACTCACAATATACACACGGAATAGGAGAAAAAGACACAGGAAAGGAAGAGAGACAGTTTACAAATACTTAAGCTCACAATGTACACACGGAATAGGAGAAAAAGACACAGGAAAGACAGAGAGACAGTTTACAAATAATTATATTTTCGCAGTATACACACGGAATAGGAGAACAAGACACAGGAAAGGAAGGGGGACATTAAACAAATACTTAAATGCTCACAATATACACACGGAATAGGAGAATAAGACACAGGAAAGGAAGAGAGACATTAAACAAATACCTAGATACTCA